TTTTCATCATTCACATTCATGTATTGAATTCAGAGCAATATAAGTAATACTTTAATCCCTAAGTTTTTTCAATTTCTATGAGATGAGTTTTGTTCACTGATTACTAATCTGTTTGTGAGAGTTAATCCGTTTGTTGGAGTTAATGGATTAATATCTAGAGCCGATTGTTCTAATTTCCACAAAAAATTATAATTTGCAAATTAAATTATTCATATTTGTTTTATTGTATAGAATCCCTCTTTCTATGATTAACATTGTGTTAAAATTTGGATTGAATCGATTAACTCATTGGAAAGTTAATTTTTTGATTTTTAATTGATGACTTTTTCACACTTTTACTCCATTGTTAACATTAATTTCAATCAAGTTAAATTTCTTTCTTCTAAACATTTATTTGTAAATATTTTTCAAATAGAAATATAACAATCAAAATAAAATAAGTGTGACATGTGTAAGTAATAGAGATGAGAAGGCCAGTAGAACGGTTGATCCTATTAACCATGCCATGCTGTGCATTCTTTGTTTTGTTTGGTTAAGTAATTAACCAGATGTATTGTACATCAAGTTGGACGAGAATAATCGAGTATAATATTTTTAGAACCCAAATAATACAATATAATTTGATATATTCTGCTTAGATTGGAAAATACTAGAAAATAATATTTTTTAGAATGGAAAAAAATTCTATATAAACTGCAATCATCAGTTTGGATTGATAAATATGACCAAATAATATTTTAGAAAGACTGAATAAATATAAATTGGCGCAAATAATTCTAAAAAATAATATTATACTGGGAATAAAACATCCTGCTACATTTTCTTATTGAGATAATCGGATTTGGTAAATGTTTATATGTACAAATAATATATTTGGATCTCACTTATTTCTAATTATATTATATTAATCTCTATATAATATAGTATATTATGCTGATTATATTTTTTTCCTTCATAATATAATATAATAATTACAATACTGAATGGAAATACTGTATTATTACGCATCTTTTTACACAAATATCCGAAAATAAAACATCTTTATATATATTATTTTATTGATTTCACCAAGTGATACATACGAATACCTTTACAATATCAAAAAAATATGACTTTTGAACATAAGTGATTGTGAACCTCAAGGGCTCAAGAGAACAACAGAGTTTTTGAAAGTTAATGATTCAATTATCATTCTATGTGTATCTATATTGTTTTGTTAATTGTATTGTATTGTATTGTATTTTGTTTACCACCAATTAAGGTGAGTAATACCTCTCGGGTATATCCCGTATATATATATGGTCAGAATTTACGTAATTAACCTTAAAGATAGAACCAGAAACCCCACCTTGAAGGAGCCCTGTGTTCTTTTATGTGCACTTATACATAAAAATACAAGTCCACACCACAGCCTTTTGTACGAGTTGTGGACCACTCAGTCAAACACCCTGAAGTACTTTATGCAAACAAGCAAATTAAGTCTTGCCTGAACCGGGGATCGAATCCGGGCTATTGTGTAAGAGGTACACAAGCTACCGTTGAGCTATACGGGTGGACTATAACTCTCAAGAATAGACTTGATGCGAGTAGAAATAATCTTGATTTACGTCATTAAATATTCAAAATTCAGTCAAAGTGATGTCATATTTGAAATCTACATGTTTAAGTACATCTAGAAATATGGTTTTGAAAATTGTCTATCAACTTTGAAAATTTAATTTTTTTGAAAATGTGACTTCTTGTTCGGGTTGAATCCTCATAGACCCCATGTTACAAAATCACAAAAAGTGAATTATCTTTTCTTGTATTGGACAGATAAAATTTTCTTTTACTGGGCATATTTTAATTTGCATAACTATTAGATACATGAGGTTTATATGAAAATTGAACCACGCAAATAGATGTAATTTAAGTTAAAGGGAACTTTCTACAATACCCGCCATGCTATCTGACCCGAACGAGCCACCTGGTGGTGAATCTAGTAACTACCTACTCGCATCTGCGTTATTGGGGATTGTGAAAGTCTGTGCATGTAAAGCTTACAACGGGAACTTTTGTAGCACCAACTTCTTTTTGGTGTGAGCATGAGAAGTGATGCAAATGCAATATTGTTAATTCAAGGAACTTTGATGCCAGAAATGTAAGTATTGAAAATGTTGTTCTACATTCTCTATCACTAACTTGAATTGTGAAGATCATGGATGGATTATGTTCATAATTGAGTGTCATCTTGTACTTTATTTTTTATTGCATTGATTTACAATTTAATTATATCTCATAATATTGATAATTATTTACAGGTAATAAGAAAATTCTAACATTTCTACCTGAGTTATGTGACATATATTGCCAGGTTTTATGATATTAGTTAATGCCTTACAAGCATTTACTAGTATCTACTTATTTGATATTTTTAGAGATAATGATTTATAGCTGAAATAAAAGTAAAAATTTTCTGGCACAGAATATCAGACAGATACAAACATATAATAATCAATTATCAGTCTATAAATATACTTTACTTTTTCTTGCTTGTCATTCACTTCAGAATACGTTGCTATTTTTGGGTTGGAACATGGTATACATGGACATGTATTATCAGTTTAGACTTTAAGACTAGGAATGGTAAGCCCAACGTCTCCTGATATTTTATAACCGTACATGTATGTATAAAAGAAGAGTAGAAAATCAAAATAAAAGTAAAAAATGGCCACCAATTTTCAAAATAGCTATCCTATAAGGCAAATGTCTCCAAATATCTCTTACAAAGCAAATTGTCTCCAAATATCTCTTACTCTGTTACTTTTAGCAATACAATAATACCATCATGTAAATTGTCAAGAGAAAATATGTCATACTTCTAAGTTACCATATAAAAATAACAAAATTGGTGCAAAATTGCCTGGTCCATTACTTTAAGAGCTGTACCAAAGATATAAAACAACATGCAGAAAAATGGATGGACAGACAGACAAATTGAGGGATTGACTGAGGCATTATCCTTCTGTACTTCGTCCAGTGGAATAATCAAACACTAAAATGAAGTGTAAAAAGGAAATAGAATGCTTGAAAGATATACAGAAGAAAATAGGGCATCAAAAACTGCAAGTTCAAGGAAACAAGCCCCACCATTCTCAATAAATGATCAAATGCACAAAGAAAATTACCTCCTTCCATAACATCACATACAAGTAACAATAACTATTACCACTTCGTCTAAATTAAATTAGAAAACTACTTGAGGATCGTTAGAACACCGTGACAAACCATTATATTAAACTAGATACAAACTTGTGTTGACATAAAAAGAATTTGTTTTACAGGCATTTGTGGTGTGCACTGTTTAGTTGGTATGACAACATCTTGTTCTTCTGAGCTTACTGATGTGATTGATTATTATGAAAATGAATTGACTGATAGTTATTTAAAGATAAACCCATTGAATTACTATTCAATTATGTGTGAACACTTTTGTTGAACTAATCCAAAAATCAATTAAATTCTATTTAGTATACAATGAGGTTATTGCACTATACCTGTACTTTTGAGTCATGCAGATCACTAAATTAAGAATAAGACTCACCAGTTATAATATCTAGCTTACAGACCGGTTTGCAGTTGCTTGTTAAACAATGCATGTAATAATTATATACAAGGCATTCATATGCAAAATGTCACCACCTGCCATTTGTTACAGATGCCAGACAAAAAGTTGGAGACTATAACAATATGTTATCAGTTCTGGTGGTGACATAATAACTGATGGTTACAAACATCAAAAATTCAAAAAACATCACAAATTAAGACCAATGTTTAATGATGCTTGTATACACCCATCAAACAGCACTTGTGGGATTTCCAAAAGGTATGGATATGATAAAATGTTGACATTCCTTTTTTGATATTCATTATTTTTGGGGGAGTTTTGGATAACACAGGTAAATGATTAAGAGAACCATTGGGATCAGACCAATAAGGCAAGTGATCAAGTTACTTCTTTTTTGAAATGTAAACCTTATTAAATTAAAGAGCTGTTCCTGGAATATTGTGGTGGCAGAGCGTGTTAGATATTGGTTCTCAACTTGCCTTTCAATCTTTGGCCTTTCTCTTTTTTGCCCTTGTGCTTACTTTTATCTATCAGTGTCATCATAATTCCTTTTTCATTCTTGATAAAAAACTTAAAGTATACTTTGTTGTAACAGTTGTTACTGTTAGGTTATAGAAATTTTGCTAACACAATTATCATGCACTAAATTCTACACACTTTCAAAAGCATGCTTAGCATCATCTCTTGTGATACTGAATTGAATCACTCAGTTGTTAGGTTCAGATTCATCCTTTCCATTATCCTTTCAAACTAATATTATTAATCGTCATCTTATCAACACAATATTAAGAATCTATAATTGCAGTGTAATAATGTGACAATAAACCATTCATAAAAATGATGCATGCAAACAATATAAAAAAATAATACCACAACTTACGGACATTATTTAACACTTGCAGATTATCTCAATGTTGTTGGTCTAGTTCGGTTGCATGGTACTATAACATATCAATATCTTATCAGTTCAGAGCTTGCTGAGTTAACCTCCATTTTATAGCTTGATTGAATTAATGTGAGTTTAAATAAAAACATATACTGATTTGTTTAATCATTTCAATAACCTAGATCAATTTTGTGTGGGTGTAGCTACCTTTTTATAAATATTTTTGAAGCATCTGTAAACTTTATCCAATAAATAACAAATTGTAATTGTTTCCTATCATGTCATAAAGTCATAATATTTAATTTAGTAGGCTTATATTTGTGTATTTAAAATATTGCTAATCTAGGACTATTCAACAATTTCTCTTTAATTGCATGATGGCTGGTGGAAAGTCTTATCTAACTTCTTTTACTCAATGATAAGAAAATAAAATGATGAATGAATAATAAGTCTGAGATATAAAAGAAACCGCAAAAACTATACCAATCCAGGATGTGTTCATGAATAAAACTGCAAAACAAATACAATAAAAGATATCTTTAAATCATTTATTGTGAACCAGGTTAAAAGTTGAGCAATCTGAAACCTGATATATGATAACCATACGGCGATCACTACCAGATATAATTAAAGCTGGAATTCAATTATTCAGATAATATGGCATCAGATGAAATACTAATAATTGCGGATGTGGGGTATGGAAATTCAGCCGGGACAATGTGTGGGATAGATGCTGCTTGAGATTGAGGAAGATATATTTAGATTAAGTATCTATTGTAAATCAACTAATCCTACTAAAGACAGACTAAAGTCTACATTGCATTGTTTTTGACTGCTATTTTTGGATTCTCTTCTTTGCACTGGCAGAATTAGGCTGAAGTTAAAGGTAAGTTGGATTTTGATGTCATTTAATTAAGAGTCGAGAATTAAACTTTATATGTTGGGGAAAAAAGAATCCAATAAATCAATTCAGGGAAAATTACAAACATGAAAATTCTTATGAAGATATCACTTTTCGAAAGCAATACAAGCCCTGTAAATCATATAACTATAATATAAAGTAATGTTAATATAAAACATAAAAAATTTCTAAATAAATTATTGAACAAAAAGATAATATGTAGATACACTCTAGATATTATGCGATGATTGAAAAAATATTGTTTCTGCTCCAGCTATTTTTGCTGTTTTAGATTCTTTATTTGGCACCCACTGCACTTATATCTGTTTAATTTCTCATAAAATCTTTGCCCATTAAATCCAAGAAAATTAATTAATTAATTCAACAAGGTACTACCTCATAACAAACTGCTTAATCTATCCTAATATAAATTGTACTGGACATGACATAAAAGAACATAAGGTTGAATAACTTTAATAATCATTATCTCTATTAATAACAATGAAAACATACAATATAGGAATTAGTATAAAAAATTTCTCATTTATATTAATAAAAAAACTTTTTTATATCACATTCTTGATGGACAGAAACATATTCATCAAAACAATCACCATTGTGTAAATGACCGACTGAACTGCCATATCAGTGAATAATATTTTTACATCTGTAAAGAAATACACTCAATGTCCATCAATCAACAATTAAATATGTCAATGACGAACTGCGTAATCACAACCCACTAGTTTTATTTTTCAATCTAATAATACATTGAATATAATTTATAGCTGGTTAGCTGCCAGTTTGGTTACTCTATGTTGTTCTCATTAAAATACAAACGTCATAGATTTGGATTATTTCCACTAATCCATTATATTTTTCTTAAAGACATTCAAAGTATAATGTGGAGGATAAATACATTAATGATCCCACATTCAAATCTAAATGCGACCTTGTGAGGGAGTAATTTATCCTCATGTCACTACTGGGTTATTAATGGTAATTTTACAGGCTACATTGTGAGACTGTAACATTTATAGACAATAAGATAATAATATAATTCTGAGTTATGGAAAATTCTTGCATCAAGCAGAGAATATGGCACACCTTAGAACCTGTCACATGCTGTGATAGAGAACCTAGAAATGATTTGTGATCATTTATATAGCTTTTTGACATTGTAGAGGATGGAGTTGAAAGGACTTTACACCGTAACACTAGCACTGGTGCACATAGTATTGGGTAAGTCAAACATATTTTCGAGATTAAAAGGAAAAGACAAAAATGTTACTTGACTTGAAACAGTGTTTGTATATTTTCATACAAATTATTGTACATACAATAGTTATTATACAATTTAATTAATAGCAAAATAGAAAGCTGAGAAAGGATTACATATAATTATCAATTGTGACGAAATGCCGTCTGACATTAGTAACTGGGTGTAAATTCTAAGTTAGCGATCTAGAAGATGTGAACTAATACACTGATCACTTTATGTGTGTTTTTGGTGAGGTAATTAATAAGACCAAAACTCACAATTCAAATTGTGATGTGGAAAAAATGGCGGATATATGATTTCAAATTTTATGATTACGACATGACCAGTTGTTCATGCAAGAATTTATCTTTAAGGACAACTGAAATAGCTTTTCTCAACTTGCAGCTACAAAAATGTGGTATTCTCCATTGTAAGCCCATCGTAGAGTTCTTGCGATAGCCATTATAAAATAAATGTTAGATAACTGCAAATGGTCATAGATAACGAAATAAAACTAACTGATGAATCAAATTGGCCCCCACGTGATTAGTAACGTCATATACAAAATATAACTTTGGTTTATTGGTTCCATAGTAATCACAACGTCACGGCAACCATAGGATTGTTGTGTAAACAAATAACAAAACATTTTGGCATTATGACGTCATGATCTAATGGACCAAAAACGGGCCACGTGGGGACCAGTGAGAGATCACGTGGGGGCCAATAATGTCACAACCAATTCGAATATTGCTTATTAAGCAGCTATAACGATTGTTAGAGTGAAATAGTTTTCACACTACTGATGAGAAAACATGTCCAAATACATCTATCAAAAAAGTATACTGATTCCTTTAGGTTAAAAATACCATTTCATATCTGCTTTAATGGAAGGTCACGATATAGTATCCTTAGAAGAAGGTAACTTGATAGTAATCACTTAGCAAATATCAATTGTTTTTATTATACCATTTGCAGCATCAATGTATAAGATTCCCTCTTGTTGAATATTTTATCCACTGAAGGTTTATTAAAAGTACTTGATAAGAATGAGAACCAGGCCTTTAAAAAGAGGGAGTTATTAATTTCAGTCTACTACACTATCAAATAATTGCACGATAGCTGACCTTGATAATGTTAAAGCAGACAAGGTCATGAATCCTATGAAATACACATCAGACACACATTAGACAAATAAAATCATCATTAACTATTAAAGTAGCATTGACATTGATCAACCTTGGTCATAATGCCTTGAGACCATTGCAAAATGACATCAAGAAAAACAAATTATTGATAAGAGTACCAAATTTCTATGGTGTACAGGGTGTCCCAAAAGTATGCCCCCTCCCCTAGGCAGACACATACCAGTGTCGTCATAGTGTCATATATCATTTTAAAGCTTATCCAATGTTAACATAGATTCGCCAAGTATCATGGTTCAATTCTCAAAAGTGAAAAAAAATGAAATGGCATTTCAAAATTTATTGTTTGACCAAAATTAAGTTCAATTTTACACCAAATCACTAGTCAATGTGTCCTCCCGGGCCATTCTAATAGCAGCAATTCTTTTCAGGTTGGATGGATATTGAGTTGGAAAAAGAGGACGGTGAGGGTAGATTCTCTCAGGAAACTATTCTAAAGTGCTTTAAAAAGTTTTAAGAGGATTACAAAATTCCACACCCCTATTTGAAGGGGTTTTAGGTCAAAACTGAAAATAATTGCTGCTATTAACATGGCCAAGGGAAGACACATTGATGAGTAATGTGGTGTAAAATTGAACTTTATTTTGGCCAAACACTAAATTTCAAAATGACTGTAACTTTTTCACATTTGAGAGTTGAACCATGATACTTGGCAAATCAATGTAACTTTGGGATGAGCTTTAAAATGATACATGACACATACGTTGATGAAACTGGTGTATGTCTGCCTAGGGGGGCCCCATACTTTCGGGACACCCTGAATATAAACTAAATGTACTGCAATGGACTACACTGATATATTTTTCCTATTCATCTGAAACTTTTGAAATAAATATATCAACAATAATATCCAACTGATTAATGATTAAATCTAATTCAGATTGATGCATTAGAGTATGCTCAGTATACACATCACATATGTGTGGGTGGACAGCTTGTACAATTGGCAGAGAAGTAGATCAGTATATAGTAAATAAACAAATAGTTTATATAAACTGTCATTATTTACAAATCACAATTTCATGTATTGAGATACTCATATTCAATGACTCTGAATATTTTCTGATCATAAAAATTAAAAAGTGTGTTTTTCTAATATAATTACATGAAACTTTCAGAAAATAAAGATCAACATCTTAACAATTTTGTGTTTCAACAGAAAATAATATATTTTAGCTACTTTTCTAAATAGTTTTTAATACGGGGTCGCGGCCACCCAGAACGGTATTTGAAAAAAGCAAATCACATCACAACTGTTATAATATGGCAAATACTTTAGGTGCAGGTGCACAACCTAACACCAGTCATGATATGAGAGAATTTCCAGTTTTCAATCTGAGTGTCATCTGCCATCATCATCTTCACATATTAAGACCTACTTTTCAACATATTTTCCATGAATTTGAACACATTTTTCAGACCACTTTACCAAAGAATGGAAGACATTTATGAAACCGCCATTGCTTATGTGATACAAATGCTGCTGGGGTGCCACTCTAAACCTCATCCAATGAGTAAAAAACGTTTTCTTTCAACCCTTCTTTCAACTTGGAGAAAAAGAAGAAAATCACACAGAGCCATAAGACTGTATGGTACATATGGTAGCTGTTCATGGTCAATAACAGTGAAAATATCTCGTAGTATACTTTGTTCCACTTTGATTTCTATCCTGTTCTCCATTTCAGCAGCCATCTTGGAGCAAAAATGATACCAAAATGAGGGTTGCTTGTCTGATGTCATTTTCTTAGAATTAAACATATACAGCCATTGTCATATATGACATGATAATTAAAACACAATTAATTGATTGCTTAATAACATTGGTTTAACATTCAAAATTCAAAGAAAGATAGTGGTCAAGACTTGTGAAACAAGTGAAATGGCAGGAACATTTAGGGCTGAAAGTTGTCATGTGCGAATACCGTTCCTGATGGCAGGGTCCCTATATTAAAAACTATCAAGAAAAAAAACTTGTTGTTGTTGGTCTTTATTATTGGAAAGTTTAAAGTAATTTTATCAAAAACTTACAAAATTAGAGTAGGGTGTCCAAGACTTTTGGATCACCCCTCGTATAGGGCAAGTAAAGGACAAACATGAGTTATATAATGTGACTGACTCAAAGGGACTCTATGGGCACCCTCATGGAAACCCTCTTGCTATCCAATTTTCAATTGGGCCACTTTCGGAATTTTATTTCTAAAAGTCCCTGTATGAAACCTTTTAAGATACTAATCAAGGCATGGTTAGGATGAGGTGAACTGTTAAGGAAGTAGGTGGATGAGTAAAGAATTAGTAGAAGCATGCTTTGAACTATTGGAATGAGAGGAAACTAGTAGAATGGGTTTAAACTGACTGCAGATGGACTTGAACTGCTTGGAAAAGTTGTCAGGTTAAGGTGGACAGGCAATTTTACGCAATCTGAACTTGAAAAGTGGTCTATCTACTTTAGCCCCTTTATCCTGTCCATGAACAGACCTAACTTAGTCAAATTACGTCTTAGTCATATATACAATGTCATTCAAAACAAAATAAGCACAGGGTGTCCAAGAACTCATGAGAATATTTTGAGTCAAGGGTGATTTTTCTTCAAAGGTGTAGTTTAAAAAAGGGCATGTATTAAAGATTTACTTTCCTGTTATCTCAAAATCTGCTTGGAACTGTACCACTGCATGGATTTCAATGGGAAATTCCTCAAAGAGAAAATTCTAGGGATTATAAGGAATGTGTACAGTTTATACCATTTGAGAAATTATTGGCACACATACAGCCTATTTAAAACAGCATTTATATTATTCAAAAGCATTGATTATCAATGATTCCCAGCTCTCTGAAGTTTGAAAAATTAAAATACCTCGGCGCGGTGTTAATTCATAAATAATCCTTGAAAATGAGAAATATTTTTGGGGATTATATGGTGGAATCTTATAGTCAATAAAATGTTTTAAAGTGTATTGATGTTTTTTGGATGAAAACATAAGCGAAATGCATGATACATGAATCAAGATGCAGAATTCTTGAAGTCTTAAAAACAATGAAAAACTATTCTCATCAAAACAACAAGTGAGTGCCAGTTTGAAAACAAATGACTTTGATGAATAGGTTTCAATGTGACTACCAGACCATGAAACATTTATCTATTGATATTAAGTCTATACATCAAACGCTGTGTTTACCTATCACGCTACCACCCCTCATTTGTTAGGGCACTGCCCTCTTTTTCAAATAGAGCTATATAATTGTGTTAAATGTGCCATAATTCAAAACCTCTACAAAGACAATTAAGTATATCACAGTGACATCATTCACATAAACTGAGATTTCTGAAATTTTTTAAAGATTTATAATGCAGAAATGTTAACTGTCTGCACAATAAGATTAAAACAAGTGTCATTCCCTTTCCAAATTATTGTGAAATTAAACCCCCAAAATGAAAGCATTTTCACGAAATACATGTGAGTGCAGAACTCTTGGACTTTTTGAAAATAAGTATGACAAGTTTTCAGTGAGTAAAAAATGTTGTAAATTTGTAAGTGAATTTTAAACATGCAGTTACCCTCAATTCATGATACCCTCCCAATCTAGGTCACTGGGAGCAATAAAAATTGCAAAATAATTCATTAAATAATTGCAAACAAATTTCTGCAACCTTTTTCAGGAGTTGCTGTACAGACAAAATGCAAGTGTGGCAAACCACCTCCAATCAAACAGGGAAGCATAAAACTATCAGATGGGAATAACTGTCGGTCAATCGCAACATATACTTGCAAGAACAGTGAAAGGTAAATACATTTTATAAATTGAGAGATTTTAATATAGTGAAACTATAGTTAATGTTTTAGTTTATAACTATAGGTTATAAATATAAATGAACTAAAGTTATCAATTTTGCTGATAAATAAAGCTTACTTATAAAGTAAAGGAAAACTCTAGATTAATAGTTTTGGCAAGATATCTTTCATTTAAGTTCCTTTAACATGTACAGAATGAATAACTGAAAAAATCATCAGGTCTTGTTGTGACATAAGACACAGTAATGTGTCCAAAACAGATAAGCAAATCTTCACATGTAAGATAGATGATTTTGCAGACAACATAATGCAGGATAATGAGAGACAATTACCAAACTTTAAGTAACATGTACATGTAGTCTTGTAAAATAATAAAAAGTTTTAAGTACTGATGAGAAATTGTAAGTTTCGTTGGACCTGTTTCTAGTGGTCACCCTGTAAAGTATATTTTTAGATCATAGCAAAATTATCTTGACTGATTTTTTCAGACGACCAATACCACGCCGAACTTTGAAGTGCAGAACCAATGGTCAATGGCACACAGGCGACATCAAAGTAGTGAAGTGCAAGAAACAAAAACAAAAAAAGCAACCTACTATCCCTGATAATGCTGTTAAACCCCAACAAACTGCCATAGACCCACCTCGTGAGTCTCTTCCTAATGAGAAGATGTCTGATACTGTTCAAGGTTTTTTTGGTGGGTTGGATCTTAACTACGCAGAATCAACATCTATACATTATTATAATTTCAAAAGAACAATACAAACCTGCATATTTATTTAGCAATGTTCATTGTCTATAAAAGAATGTTGATTTTGATTCTGCACTCACTCTTTCTCTCTAAATTTAAATGTCTATAATATCTTACCTACTTTTCTTCTCAAAATTGAAAGCAATATATTCAAGATAGAACATTTGCAAAATCAATATATATTGCACCTTCAATCCCTTGTTGATTAATGAATACATTGATATGACAAGCTTATATCCCTCTTACAAACATTTATGCAAATCATCAAGTTTCAGTTAGGTCAAGGTCTACTGAATATCATCTGTTTTATTTACATATCTAGATTAAATCTACTACCTTATAAGTTTTTCTTGTCTTGTATGATTTTTTATTATCAATTCTTAATTTATTCTCTTTTATTTAAGAGGTTAGAAACATGTATACATTTCTTTGCATTGTGTAAATGGTACATGGGCTCAACTTTTTTCCAAATCTATTCACTGGTTCCCTTCTAATAGCAGAGGCAAGCAAGCTTTCACTCATTTACAAATGCTAAAAGGTTTAGTTACATTCTTATAAGTTGACTCAAAGATACACAATGATGCCTTGCTGAGTCCACTACTTTTTTTACCTGATTACATGACTTTAATGTAATGTAATGTAATGAGTCATTACTTCCTTGATAGTGAATATTTTTTAAATTTACCCCTTACATTCTTGTAACAATAGCGATAAGGTCTGGTAAAACAAGGAACAAACTGTGGGATATCGTTCAACTGAACATTGTTACATATCTTTAAACCAATGTATGAAGGTAACCAAACCTTAAAAGAGTGTTTAAAAAAGGTTTTCCTATTAGAAGAACAAGACAGGAACCAATGGTATTGCTAAAGCTATGTAGCAGGTTTTGGCTTATCCCAAGGGAATTTCCAGGAACACAATATGCACTTTATAGTCATAGCCACCTTTGGTAAATTTTCTTCAGTTTATTCATTTACTATCACCAAGCTAATATGATTACTGGTATATATTGTATATAATATTGGGTTGCTAATATTTTTTTGATTATTGAACTGGTGATATCTGATTATCCCTGATCCAAATGTTTTATCGGTGATGTAAAGGTCGGTGATGTACTTTAGCCTTTACATTCTGTCTACCACCCTCATAGTCTTGAAAAAATACGTTTGTGTTTAAAATCATCCTCAATTCATTAAGCCATGGACTTAAATCCTTACAATTTTTGTAACACTCAAAGATTACTGCCCAAGAAATAAGATTGCCAATCTCTATTTTAGCATAGTTAATATGTAATGTAACAAAATTGATCATAAAAAGAGGGCTTTGTATAAAAAATCTCGTACCTAGTACCCACATATGTGATAAAAGCTATTTTGGCAAACAATAAAAAACTCAAACTAACAATTCTGGCTTTACTTTATGACTCTATATCTATCTATCTTTGACTATATGAATTTCACATCTATAAATACCATGAGTGCATTAATAGTAAGTTGGCATTAATTAAGATTGAATAATATTTTAGAACTTTAAAAATTGAACCCTTCAAAGACTGTATCACGAATCACATATGTGGGTACAGGGGTACATGTTTTTTTATACAAAGCCTAAAAAGAGATACACTACATTTAACAAATGAATAACAATTAAAATGTCTGTTTTATTCAGGGAGGGATTGTGAGAAAGGCTGTAAAATACCGGTGACACCAAGGAATGGGCGAATAGTGAGCACAACAAATCTAGCGGAACCTGAAAACAGACTTTGCGCAGATGTTGTTTTCTTTCAATGTCGTGAAAATTATAGGCTACACCCAATTAATGGTTCTTCAATAAAATGTGATGACAGTGAGACTAACAGATGGTCAGATTATCCACCATTATGTATACGTAGGTACATTATGTATACACCATATCTGAAGAAAAAAATTTAGTCTGACGGAATAGTAATGTCACAACTTTTAGACTATTTATTCAAGTTGCCCAAAATGAGGAACACAACTATTCAGGAATTTTCTGCTATTGCCCTTTATTTCAAAGATATTCCCTAAATGACTCCCCTAAAGCCTATAAGCCTCTTAATACTCCTCTGGATAACCTGCTCTAATCTGCACTAATAATGAATGCAACTCAAGCAGGATAAACAGGGTGTGCTAAAACAGTCATTATTGTTCCCCAGCTGAGTGTGTAGTAACTTTGATGTGATGTCAAAGTAACAAAATGGAGTAACTGCCTAGGTTTGAGTTCAGTAAGATTTTTGTTTTCTCGATTTAAATCTACATGTTCACTTACAAGGCAAAGTTAAAGAATATACCTTTGGTACCTTAGTGATGTTTTAGTCAAAATAACTAGATGGGTAACAGATTGGGTCTCCTTGAACATAGAATCCTGTCAGTTAGTTTTCATGAAAGGAATATTCAATAATGAGGGTCAAAGAAAATGAATACTAAAACTGGATTTTCTCTTATGACTGGGGTGTTAACACTAAATTATGCTATACTTCCAGCTGAAAGCTGTGCCTCCAAACAACACATGTGTCAACATGGTGGAAAATGCATTATTGATGGGGAAGGAAGTTTTTACCACTGTATGTGCCCCATAGGTACAAGAGGGGATTTCTGTGAATTTGGAGCCCCATCAGGTAAGTCATCATCAATGCATATACAAGTACATGTATAATATATTTTTATGTTACATTTATGTTATCACGCATCAACATAAATGCTCAAGTTAACAGGGTGACCAAAAATGCAACCTTTCAATTTTAGAATAAATATCTTATTTTTGAAGAACCTTTTTGATTTTTTGTGTACATAGATTGCTAAATGGAGAAAACAGCAGTGTAGTTTTCTAAACAAACAATGATTTCCTTCTGGGTATGTTCTTGTATTGGATTGTCCAAAAATCTTTCAAAAGTCAAAATTTTTCTTTCAAAATTTTTCAGACATTGGGATTCCTGTCATTGTCATTATCCGAGTCATTTCTGGATGGCACTCAAACTATTGATCAATAATAAATCCTGTTTTCAGACTTTTCAGGAATAAGTTGGTCAATACGAAGTGACTTTCTAAAATTGCATTTTCATGATTTGGCTTGATTTGGAACAATCCTGAATAGAAAACATGATTTCTCTCAATCACAAAATGTGAAAGGAGTATTCCACTGTTTGCTCCACTGATCACTCTATACACATATGAAAAATACCAAAATTTAGTAATTCAAGTTACTCAAACATAACAGAGGGCTGCAACTTCTGGGGTCACCCTATAAAACATATTAAAGCAATAGCTCAAATCACTTTCACCAAAATCATTAAATAATCTGATTTTTCCTGATAATGAATATTATTTCAATTCTCTTAATTCAGTTATAATATAAATATGTTCATACACATAATTTGATAAAACACATCATCTTAAGCATGTTTCATAATGATTCAACTTTCTTTCAACATAATTTATTTCACCTTTCAGATTGAACCAAGTCCAACAGTTGAAACTTGTTGAAATGAAATCAAGTTGAAAGAACATTGAACATATTATATAAAACTACTTAAATGGACATTTAATGTAATAGATAATCAGCTGTCATACAATATAGTTACAGCCTTTTTTAAAATTGGTAACATATGAAAAGGGGAATCCCCAAGTACATGTATTTTCACATCTGTGAATTGCTGTAACATTTATAGAATAAATATGAACCATTACTGTACATCAATAATGGTTTGTCCATTGATTTACAGACAATCCATGTGACGGCTATAAATGTGTTAAGGGAGTGTGCAAAATTGACAGAAATGGAGAAGCATATTGTAAATGTACCAATGAACATGCAGGTTCTGTATGCCCACTATCTAGAATATTAAATGCACTTTCCACAGACACTGATCCAGGAAAATAACACATGAACTAAATCCAAATAGGAATCAACATGAAAATGATTTTTGAGATTAATGATGTATGAGCATATACATCATGTATTCCCGGTGCTTTAAAAGAACTTCATACAAAAAATGCTGAACACTGAAGACTATACCGTGATGGATGACTTGTGGAGAACACAAACATAAGGATTACAAATAAGAAAACCAAACTGTTTAATCCAATTGCAAAAAAAAGAATAAAAAAAAAATGTTTTAACATTATGTTCAGAATATGTTAAAGGCTACACACATTGTAATAAACACACACATTGTAATAAACAATAGAATAATGATGTTTTATTGGGTTGTGACTGGAGCAATGAATGCAGCCTGAATCAAATTGTGGTATTTACCTCTGTGAACAGAACAAATGGAAGCTGGGAATAGTGGATTAGCCATCCACAAGATCAAAAATCTGTAATGAAAAATCTAGTACATTCATAACATAATGCAACTTGACTACAAGATTCTTCATGTTGAGTGCAACATCATTAATTTAGTGCAATTCAGGTTTCATAAACAATTCATGATTTCCTATACAATATGTATAATAATTTACAAATGTTCTCTAAATTAGGCTTTGTATAAAAAAAACTCCTACCTCATACCCACCTACCCACCTACATGGAACATGATACAGTAATTGAAGGGTTCAATTTTAAAGATAATTAAATCTCAAAATAGCTCAAATTATTAACATTTCTACAATTCCGGCTTTAATTTATGACTAGACAGATGACAGATCCATAAATAAAGACATATACATGTACATAATGTGTAATGACCCGAGGTCGCCCCGGGGGGAATAAATAACTAACAACCACGAGCATAGGTCTAACAAGCCAGATAAAGAAATTGAAAGAAAGTGTGCTAAATTCGATGCCCCGAGTGGGAATTGAACCCAGCTGGGATGTAGTAGCAACTTGCTATCAAGGGTCCTTACAAATGCATCTATAATTCATCATAAACTAAGATTTAATAAACTAAGATCTTTAAAATTGAACCCTTCAAAGACTGTATCATGTCCCACGTACATGGGTGGGTATGAGGTAGGAGGTTCTTTATACAAAGCCTCTAAATTAACGATCTCAAAGTTTCGGTTTTGTGCATAACTGTAGTGGTAATTTGTAAGACAACCCAGGAGTGGGATCAAAAGATTTCTCCACTGTTTCCAACTGTGGGATCACACTATTTTTGGTAAAAATACAAGGAAAAAAACTCACTTTATTTACTTTAAGTCGAATTATTTATTATATCAAACCTAAAAGCTACTTTCTATTTCAATACAAGCCTACTTCACTTGTATAATGCATTCATGGTGTAATGTATACTAATATTTGCCTTGTAATATTTGCTCTGTGCTTATCTCTTACATATGTTGTGAATATCCTGCTAGTAAATTAATTTTTATGTGTGCTGTAAATTGTACGATATAGAGATTTCTTTAAACTAAATCACCATGTATTGTTATAGTTAATTAGAAACTTATTTAATATCACCACAATTTTTGTGATACATCCGGTCGCAGTGATTATCACTAAGAAATGTGTCTAAACATGTAGAGATTCATAACAAACAAGAGTTTATATGGAAAATTCCCTTATATATATAAAACAATGCAACAAGTGATGATAAAGTGTATAAAAAATTTATAAACATTAAACTGATATAGGAGAGTTGTGAAATCTTTCTATAATATAATACAGATGTGATAAAATGACAAAAGATTACATTTTATCTCTAAAAATAAAGAATGCTAATCAATATTGCTTCCAACAAGATAGGTGTAACAGGTGGCAAATGAATGGTTTATTTGTGAATAAAGTGAGGAGGGAGGAAAATCAAACTAGTTTCTTCAACTTTTTGCCTTTTTATATCAAAATTTGGAATGATTTGAGTCAGTAAATATATTGTCTATGGTAAGGGCCTGCCATTGCCAAAATATTTCAGCTAAAGTATATATTTTTGGTTACTTTTTAAAATATAACAACTCAGCAACGAGCTACTATGTGTAAATCTGAAGCTCATTAAGATTAAAGATGTAAAAAGTAAATATTCTTCAGAATAATAATTGTGGGCATCCATATTATAGACAAATGGAAACTAATGTCTCTCTCATACCAGAATATAAATGTATGACAGTTTAGAACTTAGTACGACAAATTTATGGTTACTATGGTAACCATTGTCATGGGTATAAAACAAGCTCAAATATATGTCCTTATGTTGTGAAAGTTTCATGAAGAAAAAAGCAAGAGAACAAACTATATAGCAATACTAACTGAACCCTCTATTGTGAAATTAGCATGATCCTTATTGTAGCCATTTTACTTGAAATTCTCTGATGTTGTTTGCTATAAAGTAGTTTTAATTGTAGATGAACACTAAAAAGAAATTCTAATTAAAAAACAAACATTGAAAAGGCAAAGAAGAATATGTACATGTTTTCTGCTGTTTTTTGTGATATATACACTAAAATCTCTATTGTGCAAGGTGAACCCCATCTAAACCAAAATAAAACTATTAAAATTTGGGGCTGATCAATTCCCAGAGGTTAATGGAGCCAATGGAAGGAATAAAAATTGGATCCATTAAAAATGATGAGCTTGTGGAAGTGTTCATTTCTGAGGGGTATTGGGTTAAGAGGTTTTTGTATATGACATTAACATCAAACACTCAAATAATTTGCACAATGGGTTTTATCGACCAATAATTGAAATAGATTTTAGTTGTCATTTTAATTGGAATTCTGTGTAAAACATCATTCAACAAGTAATAAATCATTATTGAACAATTTACAGATAATATAATTGGGGATTTTACTGATTTGATTTAACATAATATGCCATATGATATGATTAATCACCTCATTTTTAATAACTAAAATTATGCAAGTTCAAAGTATTAATACATTAGCAACATCCATTTGCAACAATATTAATTGAATCAATGTTATTCTTTATACCGAGAATGAACTTTTTAATTATGAAAAGTGATATATACCTGTTTTCTTGTGAATTATTGTAAACCTTGCTTCTGCCAGAATGGATACAATATTAAGGATAATACTTTGTTCCTGTGCACTGATAGCTTCAGGTAAACATTTGTTTGAAACACTTTTTGAGGTTAGTATAACTTTTAAATTTAGGCCAAATTAATAATGAGTTATAAGTATGAATGACTGACCATATAAGAGTGGACCATAGGATATGCTTTTTTTAGCATAGACCACAAGTGTTTCCTCAATAGATTCGACTTTTTCTGTTACCTTATATCTATGTCTGAACGTAATTTCACCAACCGTGCTTCAAGAAAACAGACAAGAGATTTTTTTATATTTAATCAGAAAACTTTTGTCCTTCGTTATTCAGGTCAAGCCTCTCGCCTTAAAAAATGTCGCTGTATACCTGTTCAATTGTTACGACATGGAAATGTGACACTATCTGATGGTAGACTCTGTGGTAGTGTGGCAAAATACACATGTGGCCCTGGCCTAGCACTAATTGACCCCTCAAAAAACAAAAAGACATGTGTAGATAGAGTGTGGATTCCTAGGGGTGCAATCAGATGCAAATCGTTTGGACAAGGTAATTTTGACATAGAAAAGCCTTAATTTCGTTTTATTATTGGTATATTAAGTTAGTCAGTGAGAATGGTATGATAAGCAATTTTCCTGTATTATTAAAAAACAGAATTTACAGCATCCGATTTACTTACAGCACCACCAGATATAAGAAATGGAATACTTCATGAACAAGCAATAGGAGAACAAAGAATTGGTCCCCAGTCTCAGAGATACTCATACAATGACTTTATGCCCCTTGCATGTACTTGTGGTTATCCAATACTTCCTGAAGGTGCATCAGTGTATCCAAATAAGGACCACTATAAATGTGGAGAAAGGGTTTCTATGGACTGTGGAAAAGCAGATTCTAAGAGTTCTATCTATTGTTCAGGTCAAGGATGGAACTGGAATGAACAAGTGAACTGTTTACGTAAGTTTTATAACATTCATAAAAGTGAAACATTTGATATAAATGTGCACCATGTAACTACATACGTAAGTTTGTATAAGTATATGAAAATATGTGTAATTGAAATACTAATGTTGTATAATGTTTCAGCATCAAAGTGCAAAGGTTTCCAGTCTCTGTGTCAAAATGGTGCACATTGTACCATTAATGGGGAAACTAGTTATCCATATTGTGAATGCTTACCAGGAACATATGGCATGTTTTGTGAAAGGTGAGAATCAAAATATGCTTAATATTTCACTGATAATAGCTTGATCATTGTACTGACTATTAAATTGAGTTTGTAAACATAAGGAAATATTATTGTAGAGTTTAATAGTTTCATGGTTAATCAGAATTTGAATCATTTTATACTTTACTATCTAAATTTGCTCAATGTTGCCATATAAATTTAAAAGCTAAAATCTCATCTTGATTGGGGGAAAAATAAACAATGGAAAGGTTGTGACCAATACTAATTTGTTACATTCTGAAATTAACGATGACAAATATTAGTACATTGATTTGTTGTTTTATTGATCTCTTCACTGCTTTGTATTCCGAGTTTAATGACATTCAACAATTACTACCTACTGGTGGATGCAAACCATGTTTTCATCAGCGATAACAGTAATCCTTGCAAAATCTGACATCAACATCATGACATCAACTTGTACATTTATCTCATGCAATAATCATGTCAATTCATTTCTTTGTTCTAATAATATTATATCATGAATATTTCTTGTCTCTTATTAAAACGGCTGATATTGGAGTATTATTAATGAAGATTTGTACTACTATTTCAAATATATGAATTGACTTTATTGTGTATTCAATTATTGATCTAGTACTTGATCAAGGTAGCTGAACTCAATGGACTGTTAATTTTACTAGACTACTATTATGAGGCCAGACAGGGCCTCCTATCAATTTTATCAATATTATAATCTTTTATTATTCCCCATCCTTTTTCTATCCTACTTCCAACTAGCTTTAAACTATCTCCTACATGTTCCTACTAAGGATCTGGGTCAAACTTGGCAAGACATTTTTTTGTCCAGGTCAACGTCAAAATATAGGTCATATTGAATTGTTTTCAAGATTCTCAAAGATTGACACTACACTTCAATAATGTTTTTGCAGATAGATATTAGTATTTTAATAGTGTTTGCTTTTCTTTAAACATCATCTACAAGTTCTCAGAAGTTCAAATCTGATCTGACCTTAAATAATTTGACCGTATGACCTTTGTAAGATAAAAAGTTGATTTTTCAAATTGATTTTTGGATCAAAGTTAGGTTGGCCTAAGGTCAAGGTCATCAGAGAAGGCCACAAACAATGTAATCCAAGTTTCTCAAAGTTTGAGACTACAAACAAATATTTTGGGTTGAAAATCAGGATATACAGGGTGTCTCAAATCATTTACCCAAAACTGTGTCAACAGCACAGATAAACCAATCTATATTTTCATACATTCTTTGCATGGTCATGTAGCCAAAACATGAAAGTTTTCTCCCAATACACCATTTTTATTTCAGTCTTGAATTATTGATGCTTTAACCCTTTACCTTTTACACCACATATTCAATGTAACCCCATATTTCGTGAGTATCCTTACTGCTACATTGTTCATCACATTTGATAGTAATTCCATTAGAATGTCTTGGATTTCCCTTTAGATGTTGCCCTTAAGTTGTTCTAGGTATTTTTGCTTGGAATGAGCATTAAAACACTCATTCGAAAAAATTCAGAGAAAGATATTTGAGGATGACGATGGTAGAACAAACACAGAGAATCAGATCAATTATCAGCAAATGATTCAGGAGTTACCTTCCAGAGTTACGCAGGATAGCCTGGAGACCAAATGATATCCAAATGAAACACAGTGGTCTCAAATTGATTGAGCCCCTCTACGCACAACAAAGGCTACACTAGAATCACAACCAATGCAGTTTCTTGAACGTCTGACCTCTCTGTATAAGGGGGCTATAAGACATTGTGAGGGCCTCCCTATTCAACAGATTGACAGCCCATACTTTTTTCTCCGGGGCTTTTTGAAGGACCATTTTTTGTATGCTAAACCCAAGCTAAGAGACCTAGAACAACTTAAGACCAGCATCCGAACAGAAATCAAAGCATTCCACCAGAAATACCAAATGTGAGGAACAATGCAGTAGTAAGGATATCAGATATGAGGTTAGATTGATTATGTAGTGTAAAAGGTAAAGGGTTAAAGCATCAAAAAGGCAAAACTGAATTAAATACTGGGTATAAGTGAAAAAGCTTACATGTTTTGACTCCCAAGACAATGCAAAAAATGTCTGAAAATATTGATTGGTTTGTTTATGCTGTTGATATACTTGAGATGACTAAGGTTCGAGTTGACTAAGGGTTGAGATGACTTGGGGTCGACTTGACTAAGGGTTGACTTGACCTTATGAGTTGACTAAGGGTTGACTTGACTTGGGTTGAGTTGACTTGGGATTGAGTTGACCAGTTACCATATACTTTTGGGTACATTTTTTGAGACACCCTGTATATCTTGATTTTCAACCCAAAATATTTGTTTGTAGTCTCGAACTTTGAGAAACTTGGATTATTGTTTGTGACCTACTTTGATGACCTTGACCTTTGACCTTTATAATTACTTTTCAGACCCTACCAAGTATACACAAAATTTATTTACTTGTATGTTGATTACAAACTGAACAAGTGAAATGTTTGTGGCAATTATGTTGATATTACATATTTGTTCTGTGACAAATAGTTCAACTTGGCCCATATCAGGTCTGGTAAAAATCTTATTACACCAGCTCTCAAATTTTAGATCCACCCACCACACTTACTTTACAAAAATACCGACTTAATATTTTGAAACATTCTCTATAGTAGAGCATCAGAGTTTTGAAAATGTATATTTATTTAATGTTATACAATATGTAAGGTTAATGAATTGATTAAGAGAAAAAGAGAAGGTTAAACTTCTCAAATAAATAACTTCAACACTTAACACACTATGACTAATGAACAATTTATATTTCAGGAAAGGTCCAGGACGAGGCGAAGACAATCACAACCTCCCTCCTTTGAGGCCTTTTCCACCAGCAGTGTAGACCTTGATGTGAGGAAGCCCTTATAAATGATATTCACATTCCTGGTAAATGTGATGTTCGCAAATATCATTTCACTGGACTACCCAGCTATGTTGTATATACTGTAAATGATTTGAAATATATTTGGCATTATATACATATATTTGACATTATACACATCAATGAAAAACTTCCTATTAAAAAGGTTCTGTGTGTAACTAAGGAACACTTGAGTAACTCATTGCCCATTTTGTCATCCATAATCCATAATGGAACAATAAATTCAAAAAATTCAAGACAAGATGTTGTGTTTTTAATATAAACCAAGTTACCTTACAATACACAGACAACCAAATAATGCCAGATAAAAATTGAGTGATAAAAATGCAGTTAGGCTGAATCAGGAAGAATAAACAGTAGACAGTTACAATAGACCAAATCTATAAAAACATTGCAATATCTTAATTAATGCATAACACATCACGGAAAATGCAAAGAGATACATTGTTGAATGACATCTCAATGAAATTTGCATCAAACAATTGTATTTTATTGACAAATTTCTCTTTCATTTTAATTCCATTCTGATTCAAATTATTCCATTACAATAGCTGAACAATAAGCATCTTTAATTATCCTCCTTATTTCTATCATGACTTATTCCAATATATAAAAATTGTTTCAATTTGTATAGCTAATCACATTATTAAATGAATACTTGAAAACACCTGGGAATAATAACGAGGAAGCACAAAGGGCAACAATTAAATTTTCGTCGTCAGGAGTAAAACTAAAAACTAAATGTCATGGTGGTATTGAGCTTTCTTTGTCTTCCAAATGTTTCTCTTGATATTCTCTGAACAAATCAGTTGCTTCACCAAATCATACTTCTACTTCAAGGACTAACTGCACTGCTGCATGACAAAATGTGTCAGTTAATCCACTGACACATTTTCCATATTCAAATGAAGAACTGCTTTTCAATTTTGAACTTGAAGTTTCATTTCATCCGATTCATGTTCATCATCATTTCAATAATAAAATTGTTTTCCCTCCCAGGATGGTTGCTTGTTGTATATTAAGATTTATAATTGTAATTTATTTTTCCCATGTTTTTCATGGGATATGCCTTGATGATTGTTTGACAACTTAAGTTAATTTGACCTCTAATAATCATATGTTCAAACCAAATGTAAAAGGAGCAAAAAGTATCATAGATATTTACAATAATCATAAACATTATAGACCTAAACCAAAAACAGAATTATAATATTTAAACAGAAATATTCAAGCAACCAAACAACCAAACTATAAAACATCAATCCATCCAAGATTCTTAATGTATAAGATAAAGTTATTAATCAACGTACACCCACAAATATTGCTTTTGGGGAAGGCTAAAAGTACCATAGATTTTGTTTTTAACCGATTTAGAATAAATTCTATTACTTTTTCGGGGAATACATGTAGGTGAACACCTGAAAAACAATTAATTATCATGTCTTGTACAGCATCAAAACAGTGACCTTGCTCTTAAATACTAAACACCAAAACAAAACCCATGATCAGCAAATATAGTGAACATGTCATTGTATACTTTATTATATGTATGAGATGACATAAATCAATAGTAATATAATCCAACAGGCATGATTACAGTCAGGCTTTAAACATATTTAAAATCTTATCACACTATGGCATATATTAACACTCAGGTATAAATTTACATAGTTTCTACTATATTCTTAGGATGTGGGTTATTCAACCATATGTGTTATTTATATGCTTCTTATTTATTGGTAAGTTTTAGTTTTTAGTATAGTTTTAGTATTTGCTAGTGGTGGCAATATAATGGATATCATATGTCTAAAAAGATGTTGACATCAAAATTGGCAAAACAACTATAAACAGAGAGGACCAATGCGATGACATACTTCAAAGAAATAGACAAAAGCGTAAGTAAGGAAACACGAAAGGTGATTTTTCTAGGTAATATACACCCCGAATAACAGTAAAATTCAGTTAAAAGAATAATCTATTAAAAATATAACATGCTCATTAAAAGAATGTGTTTTCTCAGCTTCTCATCTATTTTTTCCTCTTCAACTAAGGAAAGCATTAAACTTTTCAATAAAAAATGAATAAATAGTCTGATTTTCAAAATGTATTTTGAATAAATATACAAGTGGAGGTCTATAAAATCAGATATTTGAGTTATGCCCAAGCACATGGATGCATGGTCAGATACATAAGGGTTATGTACTGGGAGGTTTTGGATATGGAGATATGGAGGTTCTGGATATAGAAACCTCAAAATCAGGATACGGGATATATCTTTCCAACTTATCTCCCTAAAACTCTACTTGGCATAGGATAAAGCCAGCTTCTCCATATTTCTACACATGCTTTATTTGGTGGGAAAATAAGTACCAATCCAATGAACAAATTCATAATACAGATCAACAATCCTGATAATGAAAATCTTATTGAAATACTTTTTAGGTGTCTTAACAGCTGATAAACATTGCAAATGTGGTAGGTCAGCCAAGCTAACATATGGCCGTAAAGAGATGACAGGGGGTCCCAATACATGTGGAACTAGGGCAAAATTTATATGTAAAGGACAAGGATTTTACCCATTCCCATACTCTGAACAAATCTGTACAGAGGAAGGATGGATACCAAGCAGCTCTACGCCTATCTGGTGTGATACAGGTACTTATTTACAGAATATGTTTTTAAATGTGAGTTGATTATTATATCTAACAAGGATGAAATGCCCTGCATGTTTAACCAAACATCATTTTCAAATAAGTGAAAAATTAATTTATCCCATAATTGGATGTGTGTGAGGCATAAAGCAGGATTATAAAATATTTTTATTTTCAAACTTTTAGACAAAAAATAAAATTAAGGATAGAAATCCAGTTTCGTGTAAAAAGTGACATTTTTGCAAAAGTATGAGTATATTAGCGTAAGCTCTTTTCATGAAGAGGCTAATAGAATTCAAAACATCATCTAAAAATGAATGTATAAAATGGAATGAATGATCAAATGATACCATGACTATGGAACAAGGACATGAATTATTTGCATCATGCCATCTATTTGAAGAATGCTATTTGATAGCATATAATTTATTGATGGTGGATTTAATATTGTGAATTTATAGACCTGGAAAGACAACACCTCTGTAGAATTTGAATTTATATTTTCCAAATTCCATTGTGGTGGTTCTTCAATTATATTTATATATGTGTAATTGACATTTGTTATCAAAGAAATTCCAACAAGGCCAGCTCATGTGTGCCAATTTGGGAAAAATCCGATGATTGGTTTTCCTGAAATGGCGATGAGCAAGATTTATCGAAAAACTTCAAAATAGCCACCAGAAAACAAGATGGCCAACTAAAAGTTAATCAGCTCTAGAACTTAAAATTCTCTTATCATGCAAATTTGGAGAAAATTCCATGAGCAGTTTTCCTGAAATCATGATGACAAGATTTATCTAAAAACTTTCCAAATGGCCGCCAGAGAACAAGATGGCTGCTCAAATGTTAATCAGCTCTCGAGCTTGATATCCTCTATCATGTGTGCGAATTTGGAGAAAATCCGATGAGAGGTTTTCCTGAAATTGCAATGACAAAAAGCAGGACAATCACGATAACGATCACGCCATCATCATGACGACTATATCCCACTGATGGTGTGATACAAATAGTTGTATAATTTATTCTAGTATAGTGACACAGCTAAAATAAACCAATCTCTTGTACAGATTATGAAACTGGCATTCTTATACATCATTCTCAGATTTCATACAGTATTCATGCATCTTGAAAGTCATATAGTTTCTGTGTGATTTTATAAAAATTCAAAAATGTTGATAAGATATGTATGAGCTACCCCTAAACATGCTGTATTAGTCCATTTGTCATTTTCTTAACGTACGAATATTTAAAAACATGATGTTTTTCTGTGCAAATACTATCATTAGGGTTTATTGGAGTGATTTAGCTGGGTTGCCAAAAAATTAACGTTGGGGAAATTTTTTGTATCTATCACCATGGTAACATACCAGGTACATGGTGGTATCCCAACACTAAGTCAATAGTCAACGCCATGTTAAGCCAATGCACCCCTCCCTAATTAGCCGATATACTTTTTTCCCCAAACTAACTTTTTGTCCAACCCAGTAAAATCACTTCAGAAAACCCTTGTTATTATAAATTAACCATAAAACATCTTGTTTTTAACAATTCATAGGTTCACTATAGTATGTATAGGGGTGACAAATGGACTATATAAATAAAGCATAGTAAACTTGGAACTTAGTTCACCACTAAAAATACCCTCATTTGTGATCACCCTCAAATCAGCCATGTCAATGTTATGCAGAGACATATAAAACATGTGTAAGGATAATATAAAGTTCATTTGTGAAGTTCATTTACGAGATTAATACTTAAATACCCCTACTACACATGTAAATTACCTTTGATAAAAGTTACAAATACACAATGACAAGCAAACATTTAAAACTATATGAGTAAAGCCCAAAATCCCAACACTTATTCCAAGATATCTATAATTGATTCGCTATTTAAAAAGTTGAAATTTGATACATTTAGCAAAATGCCCTATGTTAACATGTGAACATGGAGCATGTAAAGGTGGAGCTGTGTGTGAATGTGAGCCAGGATGGATAGGGGACAGGTGTGATCTAAACATAGGTAAACTACACAACTGTATTGGCTTAACTAGATCTGTTTAAACATAGGTAAACTACACAAATGTATTGGCTTAACTAGATCTGTTTACCAAATTACCATTAGCATATCTGTTCAAATAATTCATAAACAGATCTAACAGATTTTATCATTCCTATTCATTTAACGATTTATTAGTAGTTTCTCATAAAAATATATATCTTGCTAATTGGTTGAATTTTCTAACAGAAATCACATCATCCCCTCATCTTATTTCGTCTAATTTATGGCTGTAAATATGGGACGGCAGACACATTAGACTGCATTGATCGTCGTGCCCTTTCCAGAGATGCATTCGAGTGCAATAATATTTTAATAGCTATTTACTTTTCTTTCTTTTCTAAAGAACATGAGTGTAGACACATTGAATGCTTCAATGGTGGAACATGTGACTTGTACAAGGACATAGGCATGCCTTATTGTGTCTGTAAGCCTTTCTATGGAGACTATCAATGCTCAACATATAATTGTAAGAAATGCATTTTATTATTATTGTAACAAAGGCTCACCTTAATCAGTGATCTCCACATGATTTTTTCTCAAGTGGGTGCAAAATTCTCATTTTCACAATTCAGACCAAAATTGGTCTTTCATGATTTTTCCAATTTTCAAGTGAGTGCAAATGGATTTTCAGGTGGATGCAAGCCTATTTTCAAAACCTCAGGTGGGTGCTGCGCCCACTTGCTTTGATGCTGGGGAGTTCACTGTTTATACATGTGAAACTCCTATACTCAATGCTGAAATGTCTCAATACACAAATCCTATTCAAGTAATTGATAGTTAGTGGGACAAATAATTTTTCTTGAATTCCAAAAATATTATCAAACCTTTGTGCTTATGTACATACTAATTCAAACAGCATGTTAACCATTTTAGCTGAGGATCCATGTTTTGACATGATATGTGGTTTTGGTGAATGTGTCTACGATGAGGAGAACAACACAAGAAAATGCAAGTGTGAGAAAAACTGGCACGGGCCTCAATGTTTTGAATATACAGTACCTCAGAACATTGACTGGGAAAGCCTTGGCTGGGATAACATGAATGTACGCTAAGTTTTCAGTGTCGCAAATGTGCATGACATCATAAACAGTATAATGTATATTACATTGAAATAAATAAATCAGGGATAGTTAATCTGGAGTGTTTGTACAGTCATATATTAGGCACAATTCATCTGAAACATTGTGCATATTCATATTTTATATTATAACTGTAACCTGTGACACTTTTTCAAATAAATGAACAAGGAAAATGCTTGTATTCATGCAGAATTCACAAATAGATTTTGATATCTAAAAATAAACTTTTCTGCACCCCCATGTATCCAAATATTAAACAAGACTTCCTGTAAATATTACCAGAAATGAAGGGACTGTTGATGGACCTGGCTTAATGGTGACTGCACTTTATCCGTAAAGAACATTGTGTGGAAAACTTTAAAAAACAGACATCTGAAGCAAGACCATTCGTTATATTCAAAATAAAATGTTATATGATTAACATCTGAGAACATTTATTATGTTTAAAGCCATACCTTATGAGATAGTGAAAGGTTCATGATCATCATCCCCTCTCCCAGCATGTTTGGCAGCTCCAAATATATCTAGAAGATAAATCATAATAAATCAATTATTTCCACTTTGAACAATCATTCTAAAAGATAATGAGCAGATCCTTTATAAAATTACAATTGTAGAGTAAATCTTTAAAAGATCAAACTCACATCACTTACTAGTCTTTAAAACTCTACCCAATTGACATAACATTCTTACTCGTATCGTAATAATTGAAAACAGAGTTCATCCAAATACAAGTTAGTTGGCATTTGGCTCTGTTATGTTGTTACTTTGGGCTGTGGATTCATGCACATAATTAATCAGTTCAGTGTCAGCTATTGTCAAGCAGATGATGCCATCTATTCATTGTAACAGCATTTCTAAAATGTTAAAACATAGTAGTGTCAATGATAAATATTAAAAAAATAACCAGACATGAACATGCAAAATGTCACCACCTGCAGTTTGTTACAGATGGTGAAGTCGGAACACCTAATTCTGAGCGCCAACGGGCCAACACCATCCACAAAAAGTAGGATCTATCATCACTTTTTGTGGTGACATAAAAAGTGTTTTTATTCTCAGTTAGATTATAATACAAAACCACAAACCAAACATGAAAATACTCAAAATGACTCAAAACTCTAAACAATATAAATAATATAAATAAATAATATAGTCATGTAAAACCACAAAGTACTCAGGTTACAAGTATTTCATCAATTGTGGTTAGAATGATGGTCTACAATTTCTATCGAGATTGCCAACTCTTAGACTGTATATTACCTCAGACTGGCAATCTCTAGGAAGCATCATTGTCTCTATCTCCCTCTACTGATGTCCACATTCATTTTATAGCCCCTTTGAGGAATAGTATTTATCATATTATCTTCACATATCTTTTCATGTCCAGTTCTTGCTGAAACACACATTTTTAATGGCATTTATTAGAAATAGAAAAACAATAAAGCAGAGAAAAGATGGACAATCCTCGATTTAATAAAAAGGACCTACGGTCCTGTGCTCACACAGGGTTTTGTGAAGCCAATGATGATTGACTTTATACATGAGAAAGTTCCCTGAAAATGACAAAGTCCTACTTTTTGTCAAATTTTATAGAGTAAACCAAAAACTGTAATTTCAAGAGCTTTTATTATTTACAATATACACCACGTTCCTGCTCTGAATTTGTCATTTTATGGGTTGTTTATACACTGTTAACTTACAGTTAATAGTTCGAGTGGCTCTGAGGCATATATACTGAAAAACACGAGATTGGACTTAAAATTATGAACTTGGATATCTCAGTCGGTAAGTTTACAGCTTATATTCTGCTTTTAGTAAACCACCTGGCAGATTTGACCCAGTCTTTTTAACCATACATATATACGTCACCGAATGGAACTAGTTGAAAGGTCTTGCCTACAGGTGAGAAAGCGAACATGATGTATTTCCCATCCGCCATTTTTTTGTTATTGTTACTGCAAAATTTTGCAAATCGCCTTGACGTAACCGTCATGCTATAATAGCGTGTATACTGTCTGAATATATCTACCCTGTGGAGTCTAGTTATGAACTATTCTCTGCCTAGTATAGACTACATTACAGCCCAGCCCCAAATATTGGTGCCTGTGACAGGCCGTGTAATAAATCATTTCAAATCTACCACGGTGACCCTTCTTCCATATTTCGATGACAAACTCTGATTGGCTCAGTGAGATCATGGGCTTTCAACTAAGCCCATGGTGAGATCAAAGATGTATTGTAAACTGGAAGAGTGAAGACGAAGCTCTCTTTTAAGAAGTGAAGTCGAACGAATGCAAAGGGTAGAATATATCATGCTTATACAATTATGTTCACAACAGGTCGCAAAAATTAGTTAAACAATAGCTCTGTTCACTGTGTTCATTACATATTACCATCCAAAATGTTTGACACCTGTCATTATTTCTATTAATTTATTTATATTTATTTGTAACTCATTCTTCACTTATTATGGTAAATCATGCAATCAAAATTGCAATTGTGTAATAATAATTAATGTAGCCATATATGTTTTTATCTTGATCTGACAGATGTAATTGCTGTCAAATGAAAGATCCAATAACAGCTTTTGCGACAAGTACATACTCGTACCGGAATTATGAAACAAAGGACACAAAAATCTTTCATCATCTTCAACTACCACACATGTTGCATCAGTAGATAATTTAAAATCGGAGAATTTATTTCCTATTACCAAAAAGGCACATATAATCAAATCAAATAAAATAGAAATGGAATTGATATCAGTGTGCATCTTTTTTCTGCTTTTGTTGGAGGATGCTATTTCGACTCAGTTAATAACCACAGGGGTAACAGTAAAAGCCAACATGAATGTTAAGATAACTGACGACCCAGATGAAACAATTATGAAGATTAACACGTGGAACCATTGCATGCTGCTATGTGTTCATAAACAAACCTGTAAGGAGTTTAACTACCATGGTGATTCCTCCAGATGCGAGATGTATACGTCAGCGGGTTGCAAGAACTTTGATAATTCAACAGGGTGGAGATTTGGTTACATCGAAGCAGGTTTAAAAATTACATATTACTGATGATTAGGATAATTTTATTAATATTTTGAATTTGAAACTGTATGTACATGTTATTTTGCAAATACTAATATGCCTCCTTGAACTCAAATTTTTTAGATATTCACGGGTTGTCATCGAAAAATTTGTCCAGCTTGATGAAGCATGGTATTTCTTGTAAAAACACTAAAAAAACTTCACAAATTATTTTTTAACTCATACATCATTATTCCAAGGAAAATTAACTACTCCATGCAATGAGTAGTTCATCTGTTTAACTGCTCCATTAAGCTGGACAATAATTATTACAGATTAGACTGATGTTTTACTATATAACCAAAGATTTCTTGAACTCGACCTAGCTTAAGTCAAAATAATTTATTTCAGATCAGCAAAGAAATACAACAACCAGGAACATCAATGTAGCGCTTAATAAACCTACATATCAGTCTGGCACCTATAATGGGATTCCTTATGGGGAGCCTGCTGGTTTCGCAGCAAATGCAGTAGATGGTAGTACAAACACAGAGTATAGGTCTGGTTCATGTTCGCATACAAACCATGAACTAAATCCATGGTGGATTGTAGACCTTGGAAAGTCATATCACATTGATCGAATTGTTATTTGGAATCGAAAATTGAAAGGTAAGAGGCCATCTAAAATTGAATTTTGGTATAGCTATTAAACATTGGTGAAAGCAATTAAAATTGAATTTTGTTACCACAAAGTATATGCATTGACAACCACACAGCACTGCTTGATTCAGCTACATGTAACTCAATGACATTTCTATTTCAAAAGCACACAGACTCCATGACTTTTCTATTGACACCGCCTGTCACTTTGATGGAGTGAACCCAGACAACACAAACTGGACGAGACAGCATCTGCATGTTGGAACATTGGATGTTAATCCTAAAGTCATGCCACTTCCTAATTCCGCAGTTGGCAGATTCGTAAAGATAGAAAAAACAGTTCCTACGTATGCAGATAAGAACATCTTATCTCTATGTGAAGTTAAGATCTATGTAGTCTAATATGCTAATATCTGGCTGTCAGGTAAAAGAACTTTCATCCAAAAGCCACAGACTGTTACAGAAGGGATTCATCTCAAAAAGCAAGGATCAGGTCAGCTAATTAAGTAATCAGCTCAAAAGCTTTTCTTATGTTTTCACTATGCTCACTAATATATTTTCATATACATTCTGAGGTCAATTGATTAAAGAGAGAATCAGAGATAGCGAGCAGGCTAAACAAAAAATTGTTCCAATTTTAGAATATTTTTGGCTCATGTCATTCCTTGTCATGTCTATTTTCTAAAAATCACAAAAGTGCATACTTTATTCCAGGAAAACTAAAGATTTTTACAATAATGTATTATTTTTCTATAAGAATGGTTACCATTCTTATTATTTGGGAGAATTTAAACATTTTTCACTCATTTTTGCACTATGAATCATTAATAACTTCACCAATTTATAACATATTGTGAATCTTTTAGGAGATATTGTATTTGATATTGTAAGGAACAGATTTGTAGGTCAATTATACATGTTGCTTGTAATTTTTTCACCCCCTATAGATCAGATTCTGCCTTTAAGAGACCTTGCAGTTTTTAGAGTTTCAGTCATGTTATTTTGAGGTTATACTACATTAAAATACAAAAAGAGACAGATACGTTAACCAAATCACAAAGAATCTAAAACATAAAAAGTTAGGTCTCTCTCTATAACTATATTTTCCATATAAAAAACGATTTTCAGTTTGGAGAACAAAAATCATTTGCATATTTCGACGTTATCGATGTTGCCAAAAATTTTCATATTTTTATGTATTATTGTATATATAAATGTCCTCTTTTGTATACAGTTTTAATGATGGCAATATTCTTAATTTTTTCATAAAAAATATTAGTGAACAAAGTATACCCTACATCATTTTCATTATTCATACCAACTTTTGATCAACATGTATTGCATAATTTTGTTGGACGGATGTAAAAAAATTAACAGATAATGTATTTTGGCATGTTATGAGCATAAAATGAAAAAATCATTTGAATATGCTTATTAAAAATATTGAAAAACAATAAATTCTTAAATCAAATCAACAGGATTATTCAAAACATGTTGTACGAATCATGAAAACGATGATACTCTTTTTATGAAAAAAATTAAAAATATTCCCACCATTAAAACTAAAGTATACAAAAGAGGACATTTAAATATACAATACATAAAAATATGAAAATTTTTGGTGACATGGATATCATCAATATGCAGATGAATTCGGTCCTCCAAACTGAAAATCGTCCTTTACACCAGTGTCATTTTTAATGTTTATATAAACACATTCATATGTTAGCACTATCTAACTAGAGGTGCCAATGATCTTAACATCTTCTTGCAAGGTAGAATGAGATGAATAAAAACATCGCCAAATACGTACAATTCCTAAGAAAAGTAAAATAAATTGTATAAAATCAAGAAAATGTATTTTAACAGACATGCATGGATTTTCAATCATTATGTCCCACTACAGGGTGGGCCAAAAAACGCCACTTTTTTTCAAGACACTACAACTTTTTTATTTTCCAACCTACATACCCCAAATTTTGCAGTTATGTAGTGCCAGGGGTTGTTAGTAATAATATAATGTAACAAGTCCTTCAACTTGGATTATATTTGATCTAAAAGGGGGTTTCAATTGGTCTGCCATCCTAATTGATGATAAATTTTAGTTTTAGTCTCCTTGCTGATATTGCAGTATCAATGAAATGTTAGTTAAGTTTTTTTTCAACCTGTCTTAATTGCCAGCTTTAGTTGAGCAATTTTCTAGATTGGGTGCCTACATACAATCTCCTGGAGACCTTCCCAGACCCTATACTCACTGGGGTTTGCATCAGGGCTATTAGCTTGGCGATCATCAGGCCGTATCAGTTCAGGAACATTTTGCAAATTATGCTTATTTCTAATGGCATACCACATGTTTAAGTGAGACGCTGGTGACATATTCTATTCAAGTAAAAGTGTGTAATTCATGATCCATGGCTAGATAACAACCTAAAGTTTCATTTGGTATGCAAATTATGATTTAATGTCAAAAATTAAAAAAGTTATAGCATTTTGAAAAAAAAGTGGCGTTTTTTGGCCCACCCTGTATAAGGACGAGGACATAAAAAATATGTGCACTGAAAATACTTGTAATGTCTACCCAAATAATTAGGGGCTTAATATGCAAGGTGAAAGGAGACTAGTACAAATAAATTGGCAGGTATGGCATAATGCAATGGGTTGCTTAGAGATATTCCTATTCCTTCAGAGCATTCCGTTTTTAATTAATAAGATTCATTAACTTTTGGTGTAAACTTTCTATAGACAAATCATCTGATCATAAAAAATGCATTTCCATTGCCTGATGGAAACCACAAATAAAAGAAAGTGTCAAGTTAAGAGGCAGTGTCTGACAAGTGTACAATAAGACTGTAGCCCTCTTGATATTTTTGCATTAGGATATTGTATGCAGAAATGAATTATTAACTGGATGGTTGGAAATTGAACAAAAACCAAAAACCTGCTTTGAATCTGATTGGCTGATTGGGTTCAAATCAAGTGACATATGAGATTCAAAGTGATGGAAAATCCCCTTGATGGTGGAAAGCTCAAATTGTGTTCAATTCTGACAGTTAATGGTCATTGTATTGACTTTTCAATATACCACAAGTTGGTCTCAAGATATATCTACGCAATCATTGTAAATTGAGTTCAGTTCTGACAGTTCCCTGTTCTGTTTTGTTCCCTGTTCTCAATAGGAATATCTCTTGAGTTAACATTCCTAGGGAATAACCAAATAGGTATACTCTACCCATTAATTGCTGTAGGAGGGAAAGTCGCGGGGGTACCTGGCCCTGTTGAAGCCTTACAGCAGCTAGAGAATGCATATTTGTTATAAAGATTACTTCACTCCACTGAGGGAATACTTGTGCATATTCTCTACAAAGTTCAATCTTGTTAAAGTTTCACACAGGCATTCCCAATATAGGATGAAATATTTGTTTTATTATTCACTGTTAATTGTCTCTCATTTTGTAACATAAATGAACCCTCTTTCTGATGGCAATATGAACAAATTCAATGACAAACAGAGTGTAGAAAATTTCCAATTCCAAAATGAGGCTCAAATATCTGGAGCATGTGAAGAGGTTTAATTCTAGTGGAGGGATATAACAAAAGGAGAGGAAAATATCATGTAATAACTTAGGGTCATGTGGCCTGGGTTCAGCCAATCACAGAATGAGAAACATAACAATGGGATAATAATATTTAACATCAAATAACAAACCCAAAGGGATTCACTTGAAATCATTACAGGTCTAATTAAATCATAAAATATAGGGGTGGCCAACTTGACAAAATAAATCAGATTCTTGTTATTGTTTTTTGAAAGTTGACAGGTTTACTTCAAATTTCAAAATCCCTGAAGAATGGTGTTTTAATAAAGGACCCATGGTCCTGTGCTCACAGAGTGTAGTGGATATGCATAAAATGAATGTGGATATGACTCAATCCGAATAGCAGTTTCAATTTATGCGGCCAATGTTGACGGATGGACGGATGGACGGACCAACGGACGGACGGACGCCTGGTCGATCCCATAGGCTCACTGTGTGAGCCAAAAAACAAAACAAATCTTTGTGCAATGAACAAGCATTGAATTTGAATGGTGTATAAATTCTTGTACAATTGTAACATTGATTATTGTGGTTGAAAGTTGTTACTTCTTACTCACCCATTAATAGACAAGGACAAAAAGATAGTGACATTCCTATTATTGCATCTTCAACCTACAAAACAAAAGTGATTATTAAAGTACCCATGTAAAGTTTGAAAATATGTTTTTATCATTCATTTACTATTTTTTATGAGTTTAAAATTGACTTTAGACTTTAGAAAAAAATTTGTAAGCTTTTCATTTTTAAATATACGAATTTCCGGCCATTTTCAAATTAAAGTTGAATTCTTTTAATCATCAAATATTCCACTATACAGGGTGTTTCATAGGTATGCAATTGAAATTGCAAAGTTTCAGAATCCAGGGGTGTCCTTGAAAAAATATTAAATCTAGTTACCTTTGGACCTGTATGTCTTGTGTTTCATCTTCATCCATTTCAGACCTGCCATACTTCACATATCTATGGTTTTCAGTTATTTTCAAATTGCTTCATGTACCCAAAACATGTTTATACTACAATGTACTCTTAAATTGATCATGACATGCCATGTCTAAAGACACAATATGATGTATGGAAACAACTTAACATGAAGGAAAAACATCTCCCATTTCTACTTCATCACAAACATCACATTGTAATAGCAAGCTATGTAATACTGCAAATCTTTATTGGCAATCTCATTGGTTCTAAGACACTAGATACATGTATATAATAACACAGAGGTATTTTACAATCAAATGTAACAATATATAACAGAAAATACAGAAATACTGTAAATTAAAACTTTTAATAAACAACAATATGTTAGCACCGCAGAATAAATACTCATATCTAATTGTTCAATTGGGGGTAAACAATTTGCACAGATTACTCCAACCTATAAGTGAGCATAATGATATGAATTTTATCCTGTAAATAACATATAATGTAATCCATTATACCAAGAAAATGTTCCTGAGCCAGTTGAGTATAATGTTTACTGCACTATTGAAGTCATACACAGTTGCTTGGTGTTCCATCTATATAACACATCATTTCTTCTCATGATCCTTTTTAACATGAGATTCACCATAGAATCTAACTGAAGAAATAGGTGGAATCAAGCACTTCAGAGAGATCAAAGTCACCTGGAATACAATATACAACTTTAACATTTCTCTCTCACAAGTAAGAAAGTACAAAGGGCAACATATTGAAAAGTGAAGTTTAGCAATTGGCCCTATTAATAATGATTTGTGATAATGCTTTGACTGCCTCCCCTCCAAATATATATATTTTTTTAAATCATGTATATATTTCTTATCTTATAACTTTGTATACATCAAGTCATTTTACAATATTACAATATTTGTGAAAAATGATACAATTTCAATTCTTTAACATTATTACAAAAGGTTACAAATATAACGTACTGGTTGCTATGCTAACCATTTAAAATATAAACATATTTTTCATTTTTGCATCATAATCATACACAATGTTCCTTCCTTCATTCTTGGAAGAAGGAAGGAGCGTTGTGTATGATTCTGTAAGCCTGCGATATGGAGGATGCATTTTTGATGATCTCAAAGAACTTCCAAATAAGACTGATACTCAAAGAATTGCAGAAAAAGAAACTGACATTATGACTTTAAAAAAAAAATTACAGCAAACACAGAGTAATTGCAAAGATTGGAAAAATGAAAATGGTGGGAGCAATCAGTGGTAATCATGGCTGAATCTTACATGTTTAGCAACTCTATTATGGGACAATTTGCTTTACTCTACTACAGATTGAAGGAGTTCTCACCTCGACTTGGAAGATTTGATGTGAGATTATCTAGGAATTCTCGGGCTAACCTCTCGGCCTTGTACCTTGAAGTCCTCTCACCAAACATGCTGCAATCAAAAATTAAATACATGTATGTCTATTTATACATGCAGATCATTGGTATAGTGTTGCAAAAATAGCAAGAGGACCGTGTCATAGGTACAGCACTCTACTGCTGAGCTTTATGGGATAGTACTTTACTTCTAACATTAATCTACATACAGAAGGAGTGAGTAGCTCCCACAATTCTTTCATATTCTATCATACTCGGGGATTCCCCAGTATATGATGTCCAATCAAATTGCAGGATATGATAAAGTGAACAATCATGAGCACCAAAAGTCATCTTTCCCCCATGGTTCACTTTATGAAAGTTACATGAAATGTGCATAGTTCAACCTCAGTCTATGGGCACTTGACCGAGTTCTTTAAAACTTTGAAGTAAGAAATCATACTAAACGCAGTAACAATTGAGGCAAAACCAAGAGATTCTGGCTTTTCTTTAAAATTCCAATTTAGATAAACTTGTTTTATGTGGTGGTGACATAACAAAACCATCAATAGATGGATCAATAGATTTACAACAGCATAATACAGAAAATCAAGTCTCACCTGTCATGCTTGAAAGATTTAAATCTCTCAATGAAATGTTTGGACAGATCTTCAAGTATTGGTTGGTTGTGGAGGGCGAGAAATTGTTCTCTACATATTCTATTCATGATCTCTACATCACATGGATGGGTCCAGAAACAGTCATGGACAGAAGCAAATGTTATACCAGCCCTAGAAATAGTGGTAAAAAGGTTTTAAACATTAAGAAGGTAAGTGTATAATAATACAATACAAGGCATTAACATGCAAAATGTCACAACCTGCCATTTGTTACAGATGCCGAATGCTGTTTGCCAAACACTGACGGCCAAGTGCCAACCACAAAAAGCCAAACATCATCCACATTCAACAAAAAAGTTGGAGACTATAACAATATGGGCATAATAAATCATTCGCTGATTCAAATAAACTAGAAAAACAATAATTGTTCTGAAGAATATCTTTTGAAGGTTGAAAGTCTCATATATTCTTTGAGAAAACATTGGATATATAAAGTTTATATTTAATTATGTATGTTTTTACCAGTAAATGAAGTCAAAGTGTGCATTTGGGTGATTCCAGATTGTAATAAGAATTATATATCCCTTGGCACGAATATACTTGATATATGTATGCCACATGGGCCAGTTCGCTAGTTCACCACCATTGTATAATTGAATGAAGACAGTGATCAGATTACTGAGTATGAAATATATGAATATGCATATATACCTGAGGCAGTGAATGGAGGTTAGCATCATATGAGTAGAATCTAACGAATGGATGAAGTTTGGAGGGAATGCATTCTTCTGCTTTTGTGAATTTGGCTTTCTGAAAATAAATAAAAATACAAGTAAACTGAAAACCACATAGATGAATCATGCGCAACATACTACAAAAATGAGGAATCTAATAGGCTTAATAAAATATATGCATAAATTATTTATCTTTAATGCTTTAGAAACAAAACTAGATTGCAATGTCACAGATCACTAAAACCAAATGAGAACAATAAGACAGACAGAAGGACAGATAGGGGGGGGGCTTTACTATTCCCAAATGGACACATATATTGAAACAGAGAAATGGAATTTTAACATGACAAGATGTCACCACCTTGTTGCTCACAATATTTTGAGTTCAATCTTAACTTGTAGATGATTTTGAAAAAATAAATTGTTCAATTTGAAGCAAGTTGAAAAAATACCTTTTTTACCCCGAGAGGGTCATTTGAAGGTGAAATCTAAAGTCATATGTGAACTTCTGAGAACTTGTATTGTAGATGATTTTGAAAAAATGGTCATTTTGAAACAAGACAAAAAAGGCCTTTTTGACCCTCGAAAGGTCATTCAAGGTTAAATTTAAAGATCAGATTTGAACTTCTGATCACTTGTAGATGATTTTTAAAAAGATTGGTCAATTTGAAGCAATTTGAAAAAATACCTTTTGACCTTTTTAATAAAAACCCACTGTTCCTTTAATAAAGTATCGCAAATAAAAACCTTAAAGGAATGTTGAAAGAAGGGAAGACCTACACTGGTAATGATACTCAGGAGAGAACCATTGTAGGTGTATATTTACAAGATGAATTACGCCTGACATCCATTCAAAAAGGACTTCACACAAAGGCCAAGTCTTTGATCAAGAAATCAAAGCTTGTGGTTGTTTCAACAATAGTCTACCAACAAAACATCCCTTCCGATAAAGCGTTATCATTATGGAACATTTATCTTGTAATGATTCTGTTTTTCATTTTCTGAATATTAGAGAGTTAATTTCCGTCCAGCCAACACATGAAATTTTGAGAATATATTGCACTAACTAAACTGCAACACAGAACTATGCAATTAATATAACTATTAATATAAACTTATTACATTTAATCAATGTTTTATACTTGAATATCAAATTTTGTTAATTTCACACACTAGACTCAAATGTAATATATTTCATGTTCACCGTCACATTTACTAACACATGAATAAAAGCAGCTAACGACACCTGAATGTGTACTTTAGCATCGTGAATGTTTTGAAACTGTTAACCATTTGAATCGCTTAATTGATTGCTATTCAGAAATAGATACAAAGCCATTAAATCTCCTTTCAGTATAAAACAGTATTAAACCTTTAATAAATAGTATTTCATTAAACTCATCAAAGAGAACACCTAAGCTAGCTAGTCTCAAGATTTTCCTGCTGTTAAATAGAAGGCACAGTAATCTTGTCTCAAGATTTTCTTTTGTTTCATCTACCAAACAATGAAATGATGTAAAGTTCAATATGCGAGATTCAAAGCTTTCCCATTTAAACTCATAGTTCATTCAACAAAAACAATAGTTTTCGGATGAAAGGTTTTAAGCAAGAAAAACAGCAACTCTGCAGAGTAGCAAATCCCATTGAACAAGACATATTTTATGAAATCATTCTTCATTCGGGACATTTACATTGTCTTATTTTGGCCCATGACATAACGTGATAAGAAAGAACATTGGGAGGTTTAAAGAAAACGTTGAGATGCTGTTTCTATTAGTTCTGGACTATACTGATAAAAAATCATAGAAAAATCACAGTAAATTATAGAAAGGTGTCTCAACTGCTAATATACAATTCTTGCTGAATTCAACCTGGATGAAAACAATAGACCTGAAAAGCTTAAGGTCTGGTACTTCCAGTATGGAACCATTTAAATTGTTCATTTCCCATGTATGACTTTTCCATGACCACAATAATAATATGACACTTACTGTAAAGTAATCCCTCCTGCTTTTTTGATGACTTTATAGTATGGCTGTATGACAGGGAGACCTACTGGCGTGACCCAATCTACAGGCTGACTGTATGTTTTGGCAATCAGTTCGGCTGTAAGTGTTAGCCAATCCTGGGAACAAAGGCAACTCAATAATAACAGGACTTAATTCTGGTAGTGTACATTCAAAATACTGCCAATATTTTTTCACTAATGGTGAGATTTGATTTTAATACTGTATAAACAAGATTTTAAAGGTCTCGAGTTAAAAGTTTGAGCATCCAACTCCTCTTATTATAAAAAATCTAGAGCAAACGGTAATAAATTTTTTGATTGACTCTCGTACTTCTGGTTTTATAACCAAAGGACAAGGTGCGATTATTGGCAAATATCCCTATGGTCAAAATGAATCATTCGTAGGTGTAACATGAAGAATAAAATGTCATATAATACTTTGGAAAATATTAAAGTGCTCAGACACACATAAGCTGAGATAGGGATCATTTCGTTCAGTAAGGTTGTTTTGACTTACATGGGGCTGTGCACCATTGACTTAACATGAGGATATCAGTAGATCCCAATAGAGGCCATTGGTTTCCATTGATTATCACAGAAATACCATAAATACACTATGACCTGAATCGATTGCAAACTTAATAATTTCACAATACGACACAAATTGTTTATCTCATCAAATGTGCAAATATGAAGTTTGCAATCGATTCAGGTCATACTTAAAATTAAAAGATTGTACATTTTTCATCATTTTTTTCCCTACAAAATGGCTATGGAAAAATGCTCCAAAAACAACTTTTACACTTATGAAATATCATACAAGTTTGTAAAACCAAAGATTATACTATTATATTTCATTATGTAGTAACATATTTGGATAAGATGCAGGGATGCGTAGGATGTAAATGGATTTTGACAGACACAAAAATACTTCCTGGTCTGGAATCTATGCCTCTACACTTCATGATTGAATTATGACCCTAATAAGTGGCCTATACTTCAATACAGTGCTGAATATAGGTTAACAAGATACTAGTGTGCATATAAATGTAATAATTGAAGCAGAATACTCATTTTGAAAAATCAGATGAATTATTTTTTTCCCATGGGGAGATCCCAATGGAGGGTGTATAAGGTCCTTTATTGTGTGAAATATCATTAGGAATAAAATGCTTTGTAGTGTGAGGATTTAAAATAGGATAATATGTAAATTTATGTCATTTGCAGGTGGCAGAGGTACAACTTCTTTTTATCTCAAGAAAATAGGCACATTGGCCTCTTGATATGAAATGAGATCCATTATAGCTGCTAATATCAGTAATGATAGACCTTGCCCATAATGCAGCTAAATTAAACAAACAAACAAACCTGTATTTCTTTGGTAGCTGGGAACATTCCCTGTAGACACGTAAAGGTTTTATCTGCTAAGTAAATACTCGCTGCCCACGCTTCACTTTGAGGGAACTCTGGAATGTCCTTCAACTGTCGCAGAATCTGTGCCTTAGCTCCATATTTGGTAACACCGTAAACTGTGGTCATGACTGTCTGTTTAATCACCTGTAATTACAAAGGAGAATGTTTATAGTTTAATAAAACAAATCTTTCCCAATAAAATGGACATATCATTCCCATATTATTCTAATACCCTGTTATTCACAAAGTTCACAAAGCTCTCCTTTATGAAGCCATGACTGGTGAACATGCAGTTAAAGTGATCACTTAAATATTATTTGGGAGAGCCTAGATTAGAATTTAATTGGAATGGACAATTCATGGAGTCATGACATAAAACATGTATGGATTTTAGAATAAATGTAGTTACATGTATATCAAAGGTAGTCATACATACAAAGCTCTAAAATTACCAATAAGGTGAATATGATTTAATATTAAAGAAGTAATCGAGCAGAAAAATGAAAAAAAATGGGTGCTGCTGTGACTTCATTTTACTAATAACTAGAAATTAGTTAGGAGAGTATAGGATAGAGAACATATTTATTTCAAAACAGCACAACAATTTTTTTTCATTTTTGTACTACCTCTCTGACGATGTTAAAATAGTTCTAAAATTCCTGGGGCATGATCTGAGAAAGCTTCAGAAACTAGTTTGATCTGTAATACTTAATCAACAACGCCAAAACTTTGATACAACATAAATCATAACATTTACAAATGATTTTACCATTGAAATTGGTAATCAATGTTGTATTTGATTTGTTTTTTAGGTAAAATCTCCTCGGAGCAACAAATTGTAAAACGTCAAGATTGATAATCACTGGGTTCAACATTACTACACGATTTCAAGATGACGGTGTCAAATATTATGTTGATTTCTGGCGAGTTAACCAATATCATAACTTGCTATCTAAAAACAAGATAAAGAAATATGTAAGAAATTCAATTTTATCGAATAAAACATCACATCGACATGTGGGTTTCGTTTTAAGGCGTTGAAAATTATGAATATGGGGGTGACGTCACTGCATAGCTAGGGTGTTAATAAACAATTTCTGATCGGAAGACCTTGCAAAATCCTAAGTTTTCACTTATTTAAAACAGTTTGTTACGAATTACTTAATAAACTTAAAGAACTGCATGAGGTGAGCACAGGAGGCACAGATTGCACTGAACGAAGGCTAGGAGACTGCTTATTCATGCACATACATGTAAGTGTGACTAAAATACATTAAAACACTATTACGAGGACGTATAATTTAATGAAACCATCCAAATTATATATTTATATAAACTAAAACCTATTTTCATAATTAAAAGCCTAAAGTTGAACATCTGTCAAAGTATTGGTCCTATTGCTCGAGCACTGATCAACCTTTTGCAAGTGTTTAACTACCTTAACATTCCCTCTAGAAACAAAATTCCTTGTCCCATATATCTTAACAATCATCATTATCAAATGATATCCATATTATCATGATGAAGAATACATGGAACAACGGAACAAAGAACATTCATTACTATGGAAAATGAGTGGATAGGATCGTCCTACACTGATGTGGAAAATGTGTAAAAGTCTGTAGGCTTGAGCTCAATTTAATATAATATGCAATGAGATAATACATTCTTAATACTTACATCTGAAGTGTTTCTAAGAAATCAGGTAATCTATTGTCATTTATATATTTTGTTGTTTGTGATATATCATAGCTTTCTATATTTCACAATAATTATCATTAATATTCAATAATAATAAATATATTATGCTATTTTTGTCAGATGGATGTGTTGGCTCTAAATCTTTCATTCCTTGTTAATTACATAGAAAAGTTGCTTATGAAAACAATTGAAGAGGCATTTCTGCTGACAAAGGTAATCTTCAATAGGTCAGGTGAAGTTCTGTTTGGTTAAATATGATCCGTATAAAAACTGTATGGTACTGCACAACATATTTAATCGAATTGATTAGAATACAAATCTGTTCATATAATCACAATATATAGTTAAACATTTGAAACTCCAAAAATTACACTGGATGAAAAGAATATACCATGTATGACTAGGAATACAGGAAATCAATTCCTAAATTGAAAAGGGTCTCTTCCTCCATCCCCAGAAATCGAAACAATTATTACATTACACCCCCCCCCCCTCTTTCTCTGTGGTCTTATATGAACAGTGGATCAATTATCTCCACACATCCAATGACCTGTGTATTTTTCAGTGAAATCTTAACTGGATTTTCTTGTTCCTGAAATGGTTTATGAAGTTCATATATTTAGAACAAAACATTGATAAGCATCAGAATGAGACCAGGTACTCATAAACTGTATTTTGATTGGGGGTCATTAACAGAACTTTCGTAAAGTTACGAATTCGCAAGTCAATTGTTAATTTTACGAATTTGGTAAATGTGCATTAACAGAACTTTTGTAAAGTTACGAACAATTCGCAAAGTTACGAAAAAATGACGTCACGTATGCTTTCATTCGTAACTTTAATAGCACCTCAGACCCTTTCATAACTTTGCGAATGGCACATTTCTCATCCAATTCTTATGTAAGGTATACAGGTTGGCAAAAAGAAATTGTTCTCTATATGCATGCTGAGTTTCAAGCTAAAATATCTACCTATTTGTACATGATAAGCAAATATGTTCCTGAGCTGGGAATCTTTGAAATCGCGGAGACAGGTTTGATCACAGCGCGCAATGATATCAAATGACATCATATTTTTATTTGAGCTAAATAAGATAAAAGATGACGTCACAATTTGAAATTCGTTTACGAACGATAAAACTTATGAATGACTTACGAAAGTGTTCTGTTAATGGCCGATTTGTAACTTTATGAATTCGTAAATCATTCGTAACTTTTTAAATATTTACGAATTTCATAAAGTTACGAATTACGAATTCGTAACTTTGCGAAAGTTCTATTAATGACCCCCTGGTTAATAGAGCATACCAAATAAGGTGTTGAAATTAAGTATTTCAATAATCGTATTCAGGTGTTTGCACTTTAAATTCCAATCTTTCAATCTAGAAAACTAGAGCTTTTGTCATCTGATAATGAGTTTCTAAATTTATCTATCATTGCTACAGTTCAAAAGCAATTAATCATTTAATTAAAAATAAGAACTTATCCCATGTCTCAACAGCCCAACATCCTGTATTAATGTATCTTAAAGTTTAAAATTAGAAAACACATTAAATCTGAATTAATATATTAGATAAGAATATCCAACCATTAAAAGGGAACAATGGAAGGGATTATGATCAAAGAACTAACACATTTTAATTGATATCACTTAATATATTTTATTCTAAAGAATCTATTAGAATGTGATATAATTCCCCAAAGCCTCTTCAAGGGTATCTTTGTTGAAATGACATGAACAGTTAATCCATTGAAATAATCTATGATCCCTTGTTGATGATCAACACTTGAAAATATCTTAAAATGAACTTGATCGGGTAGTGAACATTAAAAGGAAATAGCAAGGCAGAGACCTCACTTTGATAAACAATCCTTGAAATTAATTGCAATTTTATTTGTTTCGAGGATATTTTGTAGGCTTATTCCCTTTTTCTTTTTTACAAGTATGCATGGTTTATTTAATTATAAGAAGACTTGCAGGAGAGCAGGTATGTGAGATTTGATTATAAAAAGACTTACTGGTAACAATAAAGCTGTCACATGACAAAATAAACAAGGCATTAACATAACAAAATGTCACCACTAATATTATGACTTCAATCTTAAGTCAGATTCGAATTTCTGAGAACTTCTAGATGATTTCGATAAAAAATTGGTCAATTTGAAGCAAGTTGAAAAAAGACTCTTTTTGAACTTGAGAAGGTCTCTGAAGGTCATATATCAATTTGGTCAATTTGAAGCAAGTAAAAAATACCTTTTTTACCTTTTTTAACCTTGAGATGGTTAATTATTTCTTTGACCTTGAGAAGGTCATTGAAGTTCAAATCTCAAATCTATAGTCAGATAGACTATTGAGAACTTGTAGATGATTTTGAAAAAGAAATTTGGTCAATTTGAAGCAAGTTGGAAAAATACCTTTTTTGAACTTTTTTGACCTTGAAAAGGTCATTGAAGGTCAAATCTTAAATCTTAAGTCAGATTTGAACTTCTGATAACTTGTAGATGATTTAAAAAACTGAAGTCAGTCTAAACAGTATTTGTTAAGTTATTGGAAGTTGTATAAGAATTTGTTACAGACGCCGCCCACCGATCACCAACCACCACTGCCGATTGTAGTCAGAAAAAATGGAGACCATAACAATATGTCACCACTTTTGACATCACTTTTTGCTAATTTGGAAATTGGACACTTATATTTGCCATTTGTAATTTATTTAGAATACACGGTCACTAAACACAGGTTGATATGCGGGGGAGGTGACCTTCTCAGTAAAGCAACCATACATTTATAAGGGGGGGGGGGCATTACATCACAACGTCACATTTTTTATATCACATTGCTATCATGTAACATGATATTTGAAACATGATTCATAATCAATTTTTCATTCATTTTACCAATAAATTGCCAGAAATTTTTCCTTCTCAATGATTCAAAAGATTCTCCTAAAAATGTTCATCTAACATACTGTTAACATCCCTTTCACAGTTTCAATCAATATTTCACCTAGATTCTGGTGTCTTTCTACTGGAGCACCATAAATGATTTGACTTATGTATGCTTACATATTTAACCTCATATTTACTGTCATAAATTTTAATACAGAAGAGAAGAAAATAATAAAATGCTAATATTTCTTATTATAGAATTGCACTATGTTACACTATAAAAATGAATATAATGAATGGCTTTGAGACAAGTTTTTTCCATTAGTTCCATCATTCACTTATTTGTGATATCAGAGATACCGTAACCAGCTTTGGACCACTTGAGATGAAGTTTCACATTCATCGCATTAGATTATATTGCTTTAAAGGAATATTCCTTGCCAGACCCTTTCTCTCTTGATATGGTAGCTATAATCATATTTATAGTTTCCATATTTAGCAAAACATGGGAAAATGTTTTAATATGGTCAATATTGATAATTTAAAAATCTAGTGCTTATTTCCAGTGAGCTGCCATCTTTTAAGATTTCTTGCAGGAAGTGATGTCATCAACTCTCAACTTCTATAACCTTGCCCATAACAGCATAGGAAAGTAGCACAAAATCACTTCTAGACAAGTGATCATTACTTTCTGTGCAAAAATATTTTCAGGGCTTGTCAACTTAGAATAAAAGAAGAGATTTTCAGAAGGATTAAATAAGATACAAAGTTGAAAAAGAATATTTAGCTGGTTTTGTAATTCTTAATAGCTCCTCACCTAATGCTATATGCAAAGTTGAGAGTTGATGACATCACTTCCTGTGTGAAATTTTAAAAGATGGCAGCTTACTGGAATTGAGCATCACATTTCTAAGTGATCAAATTTGACCATATCAAAACATTTTTGCGTGTTTTGCTAAACATGGCAAGCATATATATGGTTATAGCTACCATATGAGGAGAGAGATGGTTTGGCAAGGAATATTCCTTTAATTAAATGTGCAGTTTGATCAAATACGAAGTGTTATTGAGTGAAATAAAGAATGCAAATATTTACTTTTTATATTACTTTATTTCAAAATCACAAAACAAAAAATGTTTATAGTATAAACCCCAGAAGATTTAAAGATTACAGTGTTGCGGAGCTTGGCTCAATAAGTTCAGAAAAAATGGAATTATTATTCCAGTGATAAGTTACCACTTCCTTTCATTAGAAGATAAACTAGAATTTTCATCCTAGAAATAGTTTAATCCTAAGGGAATGAAAAATTAAGACATGGAAATATGTGTTTTTCATTCTCTGTTATAAAATAAACAAGGCTCTTTAATGTTAAGTCATCAGAAAAATATTACAAACTGGTTTTTATAATGTGTGGATGCTTAATCAAATGTGAATTCCTTTCATCAAATACACCAGGTTCATACGCTATAAAAATAACTGGTGGTTACAGATAAACTAGAGGTACATGAGATTTGACAACTCAGATTTTATAAGGTGTACTATCTAATCCTTTTTGCAACAGCCAATATTTTTTTATTCACATTCATCTAATTGACAAATAAATAAAATACAATAAGACAAAACACATCAAAGTAGCGATGATACCCAAAAATAGATTTTTATACGATGAAGGAAACTTGAGAATTTGAAATAAACCTTTTCAGAGGTTTAAATTAAAGAATGTTTTGGACATACATACATACAAACAGGCAGATAAAATGAACAGACAAGCAGATACGCAACCACTCAACCAAGTTATCGTCCACATCTTTATTGGCAGGGACTTAATAAAGAGCTGAGTATAAAAGATAAACACCATTTAATTATCAATATTACAAACTGAAAGAGTGAGATAAATTGTCTTTGTATTCATAATTTCCATTGATGTTAAAGGGGCAGCAAATAACATTTAAAAGAATTTAAAAAGTTGGAAATAATCTTTTCACAAAATGTGCACATATTTTCTTCACAATCCTAAAATGAATACAAAAAGTAAATAAAGTAAAAACTTTTCTGAAAATTGGCATGAAATGAAAATAATATTGTAAAATTGTGACAATTCTTTAAAAGTTTTGTTGTCCCTTTAAATAATCTTTAGTACTATGAATAAGTTGGGATTATCTCTGCTATGGCTAGTATATATAGGAGCAACAATGATTACATTATCACTACAAAACAGTGAAGTGAAAACCAAGTGAACTGATGCACAGAGATAGGGATATTTACAGTTATAATATTGAAACAGTCTGCAAGTGCATTGAAGCAGGTAAAACCTTTGTTGCATTTTCATTAAATAATAACATAAGACTGAACATGTCATTTTTTAAGATTGCAAGCATTTTACAATGTTAGGGATAATAACTTTGACCTTTGAATTATTTATTATATACTGGAGGAGTTAAATTGTACGTCGATTTGTAAAAGGTTACATTATTTTAACTGAAATATTTAAAGTATAAAAGTATAAGGATTGACAAGGCATTAACATGACAAAATGTCACCACCTAAAGGTCAATTTGAAGCAAGTTGAAAACAGACCTTTTTGACCTTTTTTGACCTTGAGAAGGTCATTAAAGGTGAAATGTCAAATCTAGAGTCAGATTTGAATTTCTGAGAACATGTAGATGATTTTGAAAAAAAAATAAGTCAATTTGAAGCAAGTTGAAAAAAGAACTTTTTGACCTTGAGAAGGTCATTGAAGGTAAAATGTCAAATCTAAAGTCATATTTGAATTTCTGAGAACATGTAGATGATTTTGAAAAAAAAATTTAGTCAATTTGAAGCAAGATGAAAAAATACCTTTTTGACCTTTTTTGACATTGAGAAGGTCATTCAAGGTCAAATGTCAAATCTAAAGTCAGATTTGAATTTCTGGGAACATGTAGATGATTTTGAAAAAAAAATTTAGTCAATTTGAAGCAAGTTGAAAAAAGACCTTTTTGACCTTTTTTGACTTTGAGAAGGTCATTGAAGGTAAAATGTCAAATCTTAAGTCAAATCTAAAGTCAGATTTGAATTTCTGAGAACACGTAGATGATTTTGAAAAAAAAATTTAGTCAATTTGAAGCAAGTTGAAAACAGACCTTTTTGACCTTTTTTGACCTTGAGAAGGTCATTGAAGGTCAAATGTCAAATCTTAAGTCAAATCTTAAGTCAGATTTGAATTTCTGAGAACACGTAGATGATTTTGAAAAAAAAATTTAGTCAATTTGAAGCAAGTTGAAAACAGACCTTTTTGACCTTTTTTGACCTTGAGAAGGTCATTGAAGGTCAAATGTCAAATCTAAAGTCAGATTTGAAGGTCAAATGTCAAATCTAAAGTCAAATCTAAAGTCAGATTTGAATTTCTGAGAACATGTAGATGATTTTGAAAAAAATTTAGTCAATGTGAAGCAAGTTGAAAAAAGACCTTTTTGACCTTGAGAAGGTCATTGAAGGTCAAATGTCAAATCTAAAGTCAGATTTGAACTTCTGAGAACATGTAGATGATTTAGAAAAAAATTGAAGTCAGTCTAAACAGTATTTGTAAAGTTATAGGAAGTTGTAAGAAATTGTTACAGACGCCGGACGCCAACCTCCAACCACCAACCGCCGTCACAAAAAAAACGGAGACCATAACAATATGTCACCACCGTGGTGACATAATAAACTGTATACACATATCTAGGGGTGATATTTCATGAAAATTGTGAATTTGAAGAATCTTATCAGACTCTACAGGTAGAGCATCAGGTGCTATGATTGACAAATGTAAATTGAACAGAGAAAATGGTTGTGTTTTGCCAGTGCTCCATTATGGGCTTTGAGTTTTGGACCATATGATTATAGAATATTGTAATGTGATTTATGATAGAGTGCAAAATATATGATGGTGTATAAAGTATCTTTTCTAGCATATTTCAAGAGGGTTTTTCTGAAATAAAATATATGACAGCCATTTTAACTTTTTAGCAGCAGTTTTAAAATTTGCTTCTCGAGGGGATTACAAAACCCATAAATTTGGGAAGCAGTAACTGAGTTATCACCTGGACAGACAAACAGATAGAAAGTTTCCCTCTATCTCCACTTGAACTTTGTTTGGTGGGATAATTATGCATTAACTGCAATATTCAATACATCAATTTAGCCATAGTTTGACTTGTATTTAATAAATGCATTCTTATTTTGTTGTTTTTTCAAATAGGCAACATATCAAAGAACGGACTGGCGCAAATTTAAGATACAAACGCAGAAGAGCTGAAATTATTGATATACAGTGAACTGAACTGAACTGATTATTTTGAATATAAATCACACCTGGAACAATCTACTCGTACAAGGATTTATTAAAGACCATAAACAAAATAAGATGAACATGTACAACAAACTAAAGTGGAACATGTTGATCCTGACAATTATGAGTACACAATCTACTGACTCCAAATATAAGACCAATTCTACAATATCAACTACTACAGAGGCTACTGGCGATGTCGCCATATTGGATGGTTCAATTAATCAAAATAAATCAGGAGTTAGTGCAAACCCAAATGTCAATGAAACAGAACAGCCAAATGTAAGTGCAAACCCAAATGTTAGTGAAACAGAACAGCCAAACGTTAGTGCAAACCCAAATGTTAGTGAAACAGAACAGCCAAATGTTAGTGCAAACCCAAATGTTAGTGAAACAGAACAGCCAAACGTTAGTGCAAACCCAAATGTTAGTGAAACAGAACAGCCAAACGTTAGTGCAAACCCAAATGTTAGTGAAACAGAACAGCCAAACGTTAGTGCAAACCCAAATGTTAGTGAAACAGAACAGCCAAACGTTAGTGTAAACCCAAATGTTAGTGAAACAGAACAGCCAACCGTTAGAGCAAACCCAAATGTTAGTGAAACAGAACAGCCAAATGTTAGTGCAAACCCAAATATTAGTGAAACAGAACAGCCAAATGTTAGTGCAAACCCAAATGTTAGTGAAACAGAACAGCCAAACGTTAGTGCAAACCCAAATGTTAGTGAAACAGAACAGCCAAACGTTAGTGCAAACCCAAATGTTAGTGACACAGAACAGCCAAACAGGAGTGGCCAAAAAAAACCAATACGTTTGAAAAGAAATGTGTATGAAACACTTTTAAACAAAGCTAAATGTGAAAACAATCCCGTTAAGCCTCTGTTCATCAATGAAACATACGTACTAATTACTCGGGAAGATTATGGATGGCTAGTGCTCTGCATGAACAAAATCACCCCAAAAAAAGTTTGTCTGCCACCATACAACCCCAACAGTAGAAAATATGAAATTTATACAACAATGGGGATCATAACCGAGATTTATCTCTGCATTCCTCTATGTCTGCTTGGTATCGTTGGCAATGTTCTCTCATTCATAACTCTTTCTCGTGAAAAACAAAACACTAGCATACTAATTTTAAAATCCCTAGCTATAATTGACAGCCTATATTTGTTGTTGGTGGTTGTGTTTGAACCTTACTACACTGCATATCATGATACTGATTGGTTGGATAAATCCTCACTTGACAAAGTCTCGCATTCATTCACAAAAGCTGCTACATATGCAGTGCCAGTCATTAACATGGCCCAAATGTGTAGTGCTTGGCTCATGGTTCTCCTCACCATTGATCGCTATGTTGCTATTTGCCATCCTTTCAAGGCTATCATTTATTGTACGTTAAGACGTGTTAGGGTTGGGATCTGTATCATCATCTTTACCTCGATTGTATATAACATCCCCATGTTCTGGGAGGTCAGTTTCACACAGGTCTACCATGAGTGCCTTAAATTGCATATGTTCACAAAAGGGGTAGTCCGTGGCTCGGTGGGCCAACATATCCTTTTCAGAATCATCTATGGCCTTGCAGGCAATCTCATATTCCGTAATCTCCTCCCGGTTCTACTTGTCATTTCTTTCAATTGTCGCCTTATCCACTCTTTGAGAATCGCACGGCGTAACCATGACAAAATGACAGCAAAACAAGATAACGATCTTGATAACCGAGATAAAAATATCACAGTTACTCTTGTGTCTATCTCATTTGTTTATCTCATCTGCATTCTACCAATGTTGGTTTTGAGCATGCTTGACATCCATTACAAATCAGTGCTTACACACAAAAATGACTATATTATTGATTATTATTATAAAGATGAAGGAGAAATTGCATCTTGGAAGGTCTACCTTAAGTTTGAGTTGGTTGTTCGCTTGTTGGTACGTGTCAACTCTGCCGTTAATTTCTTAGTTTATTGCACAGTCAGGAAGGGATTCAGAGGGAAACTAAAAAGCCTTTTCAAGAAAAGCATCAAAAGGGAAAGCTCTGTTCAAACCTTTACAAGTAATGTCTTAGAAAAATCAAATCAGAGAATTTGAAATATGTTTACATGTACCATTCCTCTTGGTTATGGAACAATCACTTTGAAAAGAAAGCACAGGTTTATCATCTAAGTGAAACACAGACTGATGGTTATGCATACCACACAAGATATTCCAGTGAAAATTTCACTAAAAAAAACAAGGCCATATGATATGTGGAGAAAAGCCATTGCACTGTTCATAAAAGACAAAGTGAGAGGCAAATATAAAAACTAAATGCTTACTGGTATATAGTAACATGAATGGTGCAAACCTGATCCATAGTGCGAAGAGCTCCACCCATTTTGTGGGGGGCCTTCGTAAAAAGTTCTGAAATCAGGGTGCTTGCTAGGATTTGGACCTTTTTGTTATAATTGAATTGTGAACCACATTATTTTCCTATATATGAAGAACATTAAGCTGATCTGGATGTAAACCTAAGTGATCCCAAATCAGTGCTTATTTTGCACCCTATAATAGAATAATATCATTATGTATACACCTATTTTATTCAGCTATAGCGGGCTGCATTAAAACATTGTTCAGTAAATAAAACTAGGGTTATATTTCAGTAGTGTATTCCAGGCCCAGGATTCCAGGCTTGGTTAAAGACATCTGGGTGGTCAACATGTATCTATTATCTCCTAGTTTAAGGCAGCATTACTTGTGATTAGTCAATTAATCGAGTATGATCGAGTAAATAATTAAGTTTTGTAACTCATGCTTTGTAACCACCTTGATTGAACATAGATGATAATACCAAGATGTTGCCGGGAAAATGTTTTCTGATGGGAAAAAGTGTAGAAGATAATAACTACTTATATGAATAAATGTTTGTAATTCCAAGCTTTCTGTTTAATATGCTACACAAGCATTTATATTGCATCCATGATGTCTATCTGAATGAATGCATTGTATCATAGATGAACAACTATTTATTGCTTATAATAAGTAACATGCTGCAAGTTAAGAACCAAATTAAATTCAAAATGTGAACTGTAAAATGATAAAGTAATATTAAACCTACAATAATACCAATGAAAAACAATTTGTAAATAGGCTGTTTCTTGTTTTTATGAAATGGCCTATATGACAGATTAATGTCAAAAGTTTGTAAAATTCTGTAAAAATAGAAACAATAATAAAATGTTGGGTGAAAAAGAATTGAATTTCTGTTTGGAGTATCTGATTGATCCAGTTTTAATTACTTATGGTGTTGTACCATACTGAAGACAATCCATCAAAAACTAATACCCTTGAAGCCCCATCTTTCTTTGGTTATAAAACAGAAACATGATATAACATAATTGAGTAATTGATAATGGATAATATGGATGTGTTACATAAGCAAAGAAGATCCGATTTAAGCCTTTTTAATTATGCTCGCTTTTCCACTTTAGATTTTATTTACTATAAAACTTGTTTTATTAGAAATAACATCTTACTAACCTTTCTGCGAATGAAGCCCTCGAGACACTTTGCTATATCATTTCCATTCTCTGCATCAATTGCTCTCTCCTCTTCAACCTGAAACAATAAATAAGAAAATATTGAGTTCTCAGTGTTGTACCAAGCCCTTGTGTTATCAAGTCTTGCATCTCCATTTTTGCCCATCTTTCTCAAAGATGAATACTGTGACAGTGATTTGATGCAACACTTTATGCCTTGCTACTCACAAAGCCCTTCAAACAAACCACAAGCCTTCAGTCATGGATATATCCATGACTGAATATATCAGAGTTGGATCTCAAAGACATATGAATCTGGGGGCTTTTTCGTATGAGTGTAACCTAAGAATGCAACAACGTGGTCTACTTTTGGTTGAACAGAAACCCTTGACCCGACCAAATCATGAAAGGTTTATACGATGCTGTATAAATCCGGATTTTAACTAGAACAGATACATGTATACATACCAAGGCTACTACATCACTGTATACATCTGCTGGTACATCACCAGGAGCAACATTCACAGAGGCAGCTCCAGCTTGGTCTCTGCCTAGAGCTGCATAGTGCTGTAGGCCATTACAGGAGCCATCCTGGTGCACAGGGAAGTGGCAGATATGCTTGGAGATTGAGGGAGACCTGACAGCATTAGCAATCTCCATGCAGCATGCAAGAGTCTGCCAAGGCTCATCTGAACTCTGCCACCATTTGTTACCCTGTAATAATTACATCACTCAGTACAACATCACAATGGGGGTTCTGAATTGATTTAATAATTTATTGTCTAATGTACATTACATCACTCAGTACAACATCACAATGGGGGTTCTGAATTGATTTAATAATTTATTGTCTAATGTACATGGATCAAGCAATCATCATCGGCCTCTCTCTACGTGAATGAAGATAGGGAATAACACACCAATGTCATTACCCTAGGATCTACCAAATATACACTACCCGTCACATGAGTACTGACGGTGGTTAGGGGAAGCTTAGCTACTAGACCTTGTCTCCCAGGCCCCCCGACCGAGACCTCTCACCATAAACACAGATTGCATGACATGTGCGTATTTAATACAGGTGATGTCTCAAGACATTGTCTAAGTCACCACTCCCAAAAATAAGTTCAACACCCAGTATTGTCATAAATTTAAACCATAAATGTACAAACGATATATTTGTATGGCATTTATAATGGACACATATACATGTACATGTTTTGATGATTTGATGAATTGGTGACAAAAACTTGATGTTGATAAGTCTGAACTAGATGAGAATACATACTGTCATGGGGTTATCAGCAGAATCTAAGATGTCTGCCATATGGTCATCGGCAAATGCAAGTCGGTCTGCATTTGAAGATCTGTAAATGGATAATGACATACCATTGTCAAATATTAGAAAGAGACAACATCTTATACTAATGATCATCACCAAAATATTACAGGCCTCAAGATTAATTTTTCTTCTATGCCTGATTAACTCCCTTTCCTCAAAATGGAATTTGTCACTCACCTTTTTTTGAAGCCTGTGAGGTTTATGAGGTGAATCTTCAACCAATTCAGGCCACTGTCACCCAGTGGCTTACCCTGTGCAAACTGTAGCATACCACGCACGACATCGCTACCTGAAACAGTAATTAAACAGTAAATGATCTCAAAGTAGAAATAATATTTTCTCAAGTTATAACCATAACAATGAATGTACCTACAGTTAAGTATATTTTTCTTAGATGAGTGTCTGTGCCAATCTCTTGAAGACTGAAGATAAAACATTTAACATGAATTACTTGTGGCTAACCTAGGTGATTGAAGTGAGGTGGACATGGGTATACTCTGCCTCTGAAGTCCATGTTGTGGGGAAACCAAAATATGCAATCTCGAAACTAAAACAAGAAACAGTGATATTTAGCACTTCAAAGAGCAAAATGGCTGCCATGTTACTTAATCAGCATACCAAAAACTTAACCAGAATGATGTTGACAAAAGTGTGCTGTTGAACCTGTTAAAATTACAAGTTGAACAATTAGCCAGTTTTCCTCCTAAAGTGTGAAAAAAGGCATTATTTTCAAAAATAAATATCAAAAATATCAAAAAAGTTCCACTACTTTGAATATATGTTGTTTTTACCTGATTTGCAATGGAAAGCCTGTAGAGCTCATTGCACCATAAACTGTACATTTCACTCTTCTGTTGTTTAAGGTGCAGTCTATCTTGGTAGACCTGAGCCCGCTCCTTACGGTCCATGTTTCTAAAAGACAAGCAACGCATTCATTGAATATATATGTACTCATGTTACTGTCAGACACATAAATGCTGTAACATGTTTCTGTATGATATTCATATAGAACATTTTCATGTTAGACAAAAACAATTGCATCATATATATATTCATGTACATACGGATTCTTGTAATAAACATGTATACTTTAATATAACAACAGTATTGTTCTGATTTACTGATCCAAAATACTTAATAGAAATTAATTTTTAGGATAATTTTCTACTACTTTTGATAGCGTTCCAATGCACTTACTTAAATAAATGAAGAAAATAAAGGAACCAGTGTAATTCAAATATCTTCTTTTTCATATATAATTATTTACTGTATTGCCACTCACCTGTCCAGATGTGGTATTGATGGGCACTCTGATATCGGGGGAGGAATATCAAGATTTTTATCTCCTTTTGAGTTGAACACATCAATGATAATGTCCAGGACCTACAAGATAACAGAAATGTTGAACCAGAACAAGATACACACTGATTAATTTCGCACTTTGATGAGAACACAAACCACCAAGTAATTTACCCAGCATTAAATACCTAAGTATGCTCTAGCATGTCTACAGGTATTTTCAAATTGAATGGATTAGTGGTTTAACTGTAATAATGACATTAGATTTATTTGCTACGATTTTCATGGCGTCAACCCACCCATCCAGACAGACACAAACATGTATGCCCATCAGCACAAGACCCATACAATACAGCACACAAAATTGCGATAAAAATATTTTTATATACATGTACATACATATCTGCTATTCCAAAAATGTAAGGCTTTAAATTTGGAATTATGTCCTAAAAGTTGATGGAATCTTCTAAATGTTCTTGTGTTCAATGAACCAAACAATGATGGATTAATTGTGCATCAACAATCAACAACTTAGTTTTCTGTCTATACTAGGCATGCTCACACACCAAACCATTCAAAATGCATTTCATTGCACTCTTGGGTGCTATATTGTTATCAATTTGTTATTGCACCTTTGTTTATCATTGTGTTTTTTTAATTTGACTTACTTCATTGTTGATCTTCCATGCACAGCTACTGAGTGTGTTAAGTGAGTCCAAGTGTGTTTTTCTAATTTGACTTACTTCTTTGTTGATCTTCCATGCACAGCTACTGAGAGTGTTAAGTGAGTCCAAGTGTGTTTTTCTAAGTTGACTTACTTCTTTGTTGATCTTCCATGCACAGCTACTGAGTGTGTTAAGTGAGTCCAAGTGTGTTTTTCTAATTTGACTTACTTCATTGTTGATCTTCCATGCACAGCTACTGAGAGTGTTAAGTGAGTCCAAGTGTGTTTTTCTAATTTGACTTACTTCTTTGTTGATCTTCCATGCACAGCTACTGAGAGTGTTAAGTGAGTCCAAGTGTGTTTTTCTAATTTGACTTACTTCTTTGTTGATCTTCCATGCACAGCTACCACTAGTAATCAGGATTTGGTGTGAATGGGACATTTCTGGTGTTAATTGGTATGAAAAATAATTTTACTACCATCTAACACCAAGTCACACCATAAAACTGGTGTGACTTGGTATGAAAGGATTAAGAGATTAAACCCCTGCTGTTCAACACTGAGTCATGCTGTTTGGCTGGTGTGAGATGGTGTTAGAATAAATTTTAATCCCTTTGATCTCTACAAATCAAAATCCACACCAAGTCACACTGAAAACTTGGTGTTACTTAGTAGTAAAATTTTCATAGTTCTTGATTGCAATTTATAATTCCTTTAATCTTTTGATCTGCTTATTATTGTATTTTTTCTAAGGGATTTGTCAACATGTCTAGAATGGAAACTAAACTTGAATTTTTATTTAAGAACATATTTATTTATCATTAATTACTTGATTTTAGTATATGTTTAAAACTTTAATAGTATTCTTATAGGCTTAGTTTGAGTCTAATTCATCTTTTCCAAATAACTAGAGAAAAAACTTAATCGTCAAACATTCTAATTATTATTAATTGTTTTAAACCTTAAAGATTAAAAAAAACTTGATTTGTCAAGTTATTAAAATAGCATTAATGGATGAGTGTCACAAACAGGATTAGTGAAGCAATTGAGCAACTGAGTATAATAAACAAAAATATCAAACATTGATGTCACGTTTTGTTTTTTGGTATTGCTACATTGTTTGAATAGATATGACTTAACATCTAATGAGCCTCATTTTGGACATACAGATAAACAAGCATAGTAAAAAAAAAGTAAGGTAATATGTAATGAACTACCCATCACTGCCATGTTATTAATACATTTAAATGAAAATTGACAAGGATGGGCAAATGTGCCCATACTGTAAACATAATGGAATGACCTGCTCAGAGTGAAGTGTGGGCAGATGACAATTTGACTACTAAATGTCAGGTTTAGAGTCAATAATAGGATTAGTATGCCCATAGATGATTCCTAATTGCCCATAGATAGTCCTAATGTGCCCACACAGTACTATAGACATAATGGAATGACCTGCTCAGGGTGTCACTGAAGTCTGGGCAGATGACAATTTGACTACTCATAAATGTCAGGTTTAGAGTCAATAATGGGATTACTATGCTCATAGATAATTCCTAATTGCCCATAGATAGTCAAAATGTACCCATACATACTACTGTAGACATAATGGAATGACCTGCTCAGAGTGTCACTGAAGTGAGGGCAGATGACAATTTGACTACTCATAAATACTACCCATATATTCCATCATATGGTAATGGACGTTTTGGCCCCATGTATGCTCAATGGACTTATCCATTTGTTGTTCAGTGTTGGGTGGCATGCCAGGCCCTGAACAAAGAGCATTAAGAAGCAACCATCATGTAAAACATATGCAGTTTACAATTGGGTGTCCCATATGGCATTAAGTGGTCAGGCAGCTAAAGTCACCAAGAAAGTTCCATCAGAAACCCCCAAGACTATGACAGAGTATATGTCAATGTCACCATCTACAGATAAATGTTGGACATTCTCTTTGTTAAAAGAGGACTATAGGAGCTCAAGAACAATTGCACATTTTTATGAAAACCTCTACCCTAATGAGAAACCAAATTTATGTGACATTGACCCAGTATGTAAGTTTGTTGGGGAGTGGTAAATATCAAGTGATAATAATGAACGGCCAGAAGAGATAGATTCCTTCTTTCATTCTCATAATATTAAATGTGATACTAAAATATATCACTTGTCTTTTGTGAGCAAACCCTTAGCTTTAGCTGTTGAAGGAGATAGAGTTTGGTTTGTAAATTACAAATAAGATGAAGAGTTATCCTTTTAGTTATATGTATATTGTTGTACATGGCTAGCATATTATTTATTACGATAAAAAGACTAAATGATTTCAGTAAGTACACATAAGTTATTGCCTCTGTTGATTTGTCCACTTAGGAATACAATTTCAATTGTGATGATTATCTATATCTCCCAAAAGTATGCAAACATATTGAATAAATATAAAACTAATTTTAGAATTAATTTATTTTAATAAATCATAGTGGATTTAATTATGAAATTACTTAATTGCTGTATTGGAACACTGTACTAATAATCTATAGAAACAAAAACAATAAGTATAAGGCAATCAAGAGATCAAATACATGTTAAAATGCAATCAAGGATTAAGAAAATGAAGTTTTATGTTTTACTACCGATTCACACCAAACTTTCAGTGTGACTTGGTATGAATTTTTGTTTGTAGAGATCAAGGGGATTAAATTTGATTTTCATACCATCTCACACCAGCAGTATGGTGTGACTCAGTGTTGAACAGCAGGGGTTTAATCTCTTAATCCTTTCATACCAAGTCACACCAGTTTTATGGTGTGACTTGGTGTTAGATGGTAGTAAAATTATTTTTCATACCAATTAACACCAGAAATGTCCCATTCACACCAAACCCTGATTATACTGAGAGTGTTAAGTGAGTCCAAGTGTGTTTTTCTAAGTTGACTTACTTCTTTGTTGATCTTCCATGCACAGCTACTGAGTGTGTTAAGTGAGTCCAAGTGTGTTTTTCTAATTTGACTTACTTCTTTGTTGATCTTCCATGCACAGCTACTGAGTGTGTTAAGTGAGTCCAAGTGTGTTTTTCTAATTTGACTTACTTCTCTGTTGATCTTCCATGCACAGCTACTGAGTGTGTTAAGTGAGTCCAAGTGTGTTTTTCTAATTTGACTTACTTCTTTGTTGATCTTCCATGCACAGCTACTGAGTGTGTTAAGTGAGTCCAAGACTGGGTAGAGCTGCTCTGGGGGACAGGCTGCCATCACTTCATGCTGCTCAGGGTGAGCTTCAGGGAGACGGACAAGTTTTGCTGTAAAAATACAGTATAAGATATATACCAGGTCGTTCAATAAGTTTGCAGAAAAATCATTCAACCTGGTGGTGGTATCTAGCTCATGTTTTTGAAAATTATGTGAAAGAACACCATCATGTTTTTAATATGTCAAACTTAAGTGGTGTGGGAAACAAGTCTTTCAGACAGGACAAATATGACCAGTCCATCTGCGTAGACCTGTGTCATAGCTGGGCATTACAGGTAAATCATTAGCTTGCAAATGTCCCTGTGTTTTTTTTTACTTACTTGAGGCAAGCATGAAGCCCCCAGATCTGACAGAGGTCCAAGGAATAGGTGGCACCAGCATAGGTACTTCATAGATGTCGAAGGTCAAGCTTCGAATCCCTACATCTCTGTATAAACGCACTAATGCTGGATGTGGCTGAGTAAAAAAGAAAGAAAAAATAATATCATTGAAGTGTTAAACTTTTATGTACAGTTGTAGTGAACAAAAAATTGATTTCTACACATATTAAGATCAGTATTACTAACATAATGAGAATTAGGAAACGGCGACTCCACAGAGTAGCAAATCCCACCGAACCAAACATTGATCAAATACCCCATCATATTTTGGACATTACATGATAAAAATAAAACTTGCACTTAATCCTATTGCTCAGGTGTTTTAAGTTATTATAAATCATTTTTCCATGAAAAATGGCAGCCATTTTGAATGAGCAGACATCTTGAAAATTCTTTCTTGACCAGAGTCCTATGTCTCTAAGCCAAAACCACATCTCAAACATTACATTTATTGTGAAAAATGGTGGCCAACCATTCTGACCTGAGCATCTGTCTTGAAAATTCCTTCTTAAACTGACTCCCTCAAACATCAGCATATAAAATTTGAACCAAATCCATCAATTTGTATTTGAGTACATAAACATGGTTAAACATGGTATTTGCTATTGCAACCCTATATCCCTTTGGAATTCAAGCTAGAATATGTTTGAAATATCAAGAATATGTTTGAACATAAGCCAAATAAAGTAACTCTATCATCACATGGTTATATTACCTTGACTTCTTCCTTCATTTTGTTGCTATGGTTACGGTATATGTTGTAGAATGCTGGAATACTTCTGAAACAAAAAAAATAGATTTTTAAATTGAGATGATATTCAAATGTTGAAATAACAATAATCTTACAGAAATGTATCAATTTTCGAGTATCAGAAGAACAAAGGACAGAGAAGAAATCTTAAAAAGAATTACTACTTACATCCATTGGGCTAATCTCATCTGATAAATGTAAATATAAGTTGCATGGCATGTTAAACTGGAAGCGCCCGATTAAACTGAATCATGTGATCTAATTATGCACAATGACTTATACATGATTTCTGTCGCAGTGTTGCGACAGCCAATCAGATTGCGAGTTCTTAATCGGGGAAATGCTATTTGCTTATCGCAGGGGGTAAAAAGAAAGAATATATTCTGGATTTTGAAGCCCTGTGATCAGAGGATGATCAATGTAATGTCACTTACTTGATTCCTGAAACAGGGGTATTGCCTGCAGCTATCTTTGTCTCAGACAGGATGATGTTGTACATGAAGTGACCCACCTAACAAACAAGATATGATATTATCCTATGGGAGCTTTAAGATTCAATGGGATTAGTCAATTCAATACAATGCATATATGTTTTCAAAATTCCAAAGATATTCCTTATTAACAATATTCATTATTAATTTTTGTTTTATATTATTAAAACTAAAAGGAATATACGCTTTTTTTCCTATGCTTTGCAATACTCACATCTCTCATGACCTGTTCGGGCCAAAGTGGATCTTTGACATCCTGAAATTAGTGAAAATGTATTTTTTTAATCATTTTTTTCAAGTGAACATATTTTGTATTCTATAAGTTCGAAACAAAAGTAAAATAGTGCTGTCCCTCGTTGACTTTAGCTGCCAGTCTTCAATGTCCCCTTCAAACAGTTTTTATTGGAGTTCAGAACTCCTTCCCCATTCAATCTTTTTCAATCACTGTTAAAGTGCTTACATGTATACTGTCTTTGTGGCAATTAGTACTTGAAGATGCTACTTCAACAATAACCAAATAATTACATGTAGGTGTACATTCAACAAAAAAAATGAATTTACAATTATTACTTACCAGTGTAGGTCCATCGGTGAACTTCTGGCAAAGAGTTTGCCACATTTCTCTATGATTTCCTTCCTTTAACTGGCTGGCATTGTACTTGCTTATGTATTCATGATACATCTTACGAATCTGATAAATAAAACACACACAGTAATGAATATCTGGATTTGAAGAATGGTTCACCATGTAATTTATCCAGCATTCACAAAACCTATTCAGTTGTTGGCAATAGTCTGTTCTTCAGACTTCAGCATGTGTAAAAGTTTCAAGCTGAACAGACAAATGCCAGTTTTCCTAAAATTTTATGACAGAATTCATGAAAAGTTCGGAACGGCAGATTTGTCAATCTTTTCAAAATGGCCACCACTCGCAATTGCGTATACTGAACCCTCTTAGTTTCTTTGAAACATAGGATAATTTCCTATGCTAAGGGCTAAAAAAAAAAGTCTGATTTTAATACATCAAAAAACATAAGCTGGATTTTAGATTTTAGATACATCGTAAATGTGTTACTTTAACATGTGGTCGAATGAGAAAGTTGCATTTAATGTTTAATATGTACACAAATCAAATAGGTTACCTTCTTAGCACTGCCTGCCTTGTGCTTTGTGTGTATGACATATTTCTGCATGAGACGGTGTCCCAGTGTTGTTGCTAATATAAACATTGATGGACTGAACATTTCTGATGCCAGGCCTAGTCTTTGAATCTCCTGTAAACATTTCAAATAATTATGTGTATGCCAATGGGAACATAATTTGGACATCCAACTACAGCATACATATTCTTATTTATACATGTAGCAAAAAATGTCCAAGACACACAGTGGTAAATATCACACTTTTTTATCAAAAATTCAAAAAGACCGTCAAGAATGTCCAAAACCTATAATCAGAAAACAATATAAAATTTTGAGAGATAAAAACAAATCAAGCCTGGAACTTTGTGCCAGTCAACTGATATTCTTTCTTCTAATATGGACATTCTGCAGAAATCAGATATAAAATGTTGAAATACATCATACCTGCATCATAAGCTCTACATACGTTTCAGGAGGGAACAGTTTGAGGTAGGGGTATAATCCAAGATGTATAGTACGAGTTCTATCATTCTCCAACTCTTTTAATTTCCTCTCAAAGCCAGCCTTCAATGAGTTCCTCCATGCGTGCTGTAGCTTCTTCAGTTTGACTCCCTAAAATCATATGTTCAATTTGCATAGGTAGGTGTGGATATAATGTTGGATAATGTTGAATTACATCTAGCTCAGCCTCCCATTTATTCCCTATTGCCAATTGGAAAAGCTATATGGACTTGATAAAAGTATCAATTAAAATATGACTTTGAGATTATTAACCATTTCATTAATAAACTTTACTTAAATTGTACTACATACCATTTCTTTTTCTTTTTCAGCATTTTCTGGATCACGTTTCTCAATGGACTGTACGGATATATGATCTTGCGTTTCCAGTTGATATTGCTCAATGGCTTGTTTCGTTAAATCCCCTACAGGCAGTACATTGGCAAATGGATTATCTGGAGGTACCTAGATAAACAAATAAACACACATTACCCTTCGAGCTGCTGGATATACTCTGGGGAAAGAGAGCAAGAAACATCCCAATAAAATAACAACCCATGAACATATAAAATGTCACCACCTGCCATTTGTTACAGACACCAACTGCCAAACACCAACTGCTGAATGCCGTTCAAAAAAAGTTGGAGACTCTGACGTGGTGAAATAAATTAAGTTAATACATCCTTAGAGCTCTCCACAAGTGATCAAATACTAAAATCAATAGACATGCACTTAACATGTACTACATCTATTATGTGTTTCCAAATTTTGAATTGGTGATTTGTATTGAATAACTGTACCTCGTTGCTAAGATCATTTAGATCTGAGAGTAAGTCACATGAGTAGTGTTTCGCTATCTGCACTGGATTTGCTTTGAAGTTTTTGTCACACTTCTTAATAGCCTAGAAAAAAGATTCATTTGGTTTATGCTGATTCTGTATGGCATATTTGATGATTGAATCAGGCTGATTCAGAACTGAGGTGTATTAGAGGTGTTCATCTTTGGGGGATTGAGAGGTTCAATAGAAAGAAGAACATTGTTGTATCTTTATTTATTCTCTTTTTAAAATGATCAAATTATTGACTTTAGTATTTAAGCCCTGGACTCAGAGCATTGCATACTGCATCATTCCATTGAAGGTGTTGTTTCCAAATCTTTGCATGACTGCGCAGTGGGAATCCAAAGCTTAGGAAACAATGCCTGAGTAGAATGAAGCAGCCACAATGCATTGAGTCATAGGCTTAAATTCTTTTCACACATTGCAAAATATTTTCTACAAAATTAGCTAAAAGATACAAAATCAGTTAAAGATAATATACAATGAAACTTTTTGGAAGGGTCAAGTTGACAAAGCATCAATTACAATCTGTGAGTCTAGTTATCACATTGACAACCATACAAACAAATGGTTATTGCTTATATAACGTGAAATAGCGCGTTCTGATTGCCTGGAAATGGACACACGTTGCATAGCTATGTGTGAATCTGATATTATGATTTCAGGGCTATTGTCATTTTTGAAACTAACAAAATGAACTACTGTACCTGAATCACTTGCTCTTTTTCATCCATTTGGAAAGCACATGAGCTTAGTATATCTTTGAGTTTAAATTTCTGAAAACATGACAAAAACAAGAAAATTCTGTAGATTCTACAATCATTATATATAAGTAAGTAGTAGTAGCAGTTGTATTAATGTCTCACGCACTAATATAGTTACTCATGTATACATAATATTGTGTAAAAATGATACATAAAATTTTGAAACATGCCTAGTCGATGCCGACCTATGGGAGACAATGGAATGTTAGATTATGCTACACCATTTGGCTTGCATTTTTATAATTGTTTTACCAAGTGTTCGTTGAACAGTATTTTCATTCATTATCAAACAACATTTCACTAAACTTGTTTGCATATCAAAGTCATTATAATCTAACATTTTGACAAAAAGACTAGATCATCCATTTTACATACAATTGGCCCAAGCATTCTATCAATTTTAGCATATAAAATTAATAAAAAGGCAAGGAAAAGTTATCCTTGATTGTCAAGAGTCTGTATTAAGTGATGAAGATTATATAAAAGCTGGCATTCTACAAGGCTCTGTTCTTGGATCTCTACTTTTCCTGATATGTAAAATGATCTGGGCCTGGATGTAGGCCTATAGGTAAAACAACACACCAACCTGTTTATGTATGTCATGTAGAATCATTTCAGCAGTATCATAATCAAAAGGTACATTCTTTTTTCCAGCTAGTAAAGTTTGTCGATTGAGGCACTCTAAGGTAGCAGCATAAGATTGTAAGGTAGGAGCAACTCTATTGGTTTCCATGTTATCAAATAAGGCGATGATATCTCTTAACCGACCCTAAAGAATCAATTTCATTTTAGTTGTTATAGATTGATGACTTACAGAAAAACACATGTTTAAACTTAAAATTCCATAGCAAAGATTTTTATTGTATGTTGTTACTTTTATTGACACAAGACATTTATCATACTAGAAAACCAGCAACTCTAGAGTTGGAGATCTCAAAATGGCTAATTTTGGAAAAGGTTCCTCCAATGGATGGATGGATGGATGGATGGATTTACGAACAGATAGACATTTTCTTTATATCCCTCACAGAGGATGTTATCTACCTGTTTTGCCATAGCATGCATTAATCTATTGTATATTTCAGCATCCTTGATGACATAGCCTTTCTGCAATAATGACGGAGCAATGTTCTTGCAGCTGTAGCAGTTGGGGGTATGTTGAGCAGGTTCCAACTGAAATAAAACATAACATTGTGAATAGACAATACACAATATTACAACCTACATTAGTCTCCTACATGTTGGTATGTTTTATCAGAATTAGGTCTCAGAAAGTAAATATGATGAAATGATAAAATGATGAATAGAAATGAATTGAATGCTTGTCAAAGTGACAACTTTACTCTATAGATTGAAATTTATGCTTACTTGACCTTTACAAAAAGTTTCATTGAAAATATTTTCATTCAGTGATTTCATATCTTTTACATGATTTTGTAGAAAATATTTTGCAATATGTGAAAAGATTAAAGCCCAAGACTTGATGCATTGTGGCTGAGTCATTCCACTCAGGCATTGTTCCCTAAACTTTGGAACCCCGATGCATGGTCATGCAAAGATGTGAAAACAAAACCTTCAAAAAATTAATTCAGTCCACGATGCACTCAGTCTAGGGTAGCTTAAAACTTTAAAAATACTCACCATGTCACAGCTAATACATGCTGTCACATATGCCTCCAGGCTTGCATTGAATTCCTTTGTTATCTTATCCATGTGTCTTTTCTCTATTATAATATTGGCTGCTGCTTTATTCCCTAAAGCCTTAACTAACAAATCAGGATCAAGTTTCATCATATCTAATGTTTTATCCTCCAATGATTTTCTCAGTTGTTCTATCTCTTTAATTTCCTTTTCTATTGCATTCTGTTTTTTTGATTTAGTTACATCAGATTTGTTTGCTTTGACTATTTTGGCCTTTTTGATGCTAGTGTTATCCTTGTGAGGTATATCAACTAGTTTATTCAGATCAATTTCAATTGGATCAAGTCTAGTATCAACTACATCAGTTTCTTTGATTATATCTTGACTAGATGTAACAGTTTCACTTCCTTGTAATTCACTTTCAAGTTGTTCTAAACTAATAGCACCACTGTTAACACACTGTTTATATTCAACCTCAAAATTTTTGCCGGGTACTTCAGTGTCACATAGTTCAGAGGAACTTTTGGATTCATTCTCTGGTTTCATGATTTCCTCATGATAACTGTCTTGAACAACTTTATTCATTTGCTGTTTGAAAGTTGACACACGGTTCAGCCATTGTTGGTTTGAAGGCTTTGCCTTTTTCATTTTTGAGTGTAGGACATTCACCCAGTCTGTTGAAGTGAACACTGTTTTATTGCCGTCCTGTGTAAAAAACTTTGAAGTGTCTGTTGTCCTGTTTGGTACACTGTTCTGTATGAAAGAGTTGGGTAGTGTTGCCCTATGAGGCTTGAATATGCCTGGATTGAATGAACCATCACAGTTGCTGTAGTGTTGTATAACAGGACTAGTGTCAGTATTGCAAGAAGGTTTTAGTCTTTGTAACCTCCAGTCTAAAACTAAAGAAAAATGCATGTTGGATTATAAATGTACATCATATAAATTACCCACATTGATAGTTGACTAAGGGAGCATTTCAAAGAACGGTATCGGAAAATTAACTATATTTGCACAGTTACGGAGGGAGGGGGTCACTTGTCTTAAAAGTTAGCATTCCAACATCGTTCGTGGGAATTTTCTTACAGCATGCTCTTTTTGTCCAGTGCACTTCTGATACAAAAAATAAATAAAAAACATGTACACAGCAAAAGTAAAATCATACAAAAAATGAGTGGCTATTAATTTGTTTTCATCGGTGATACCGAATTCACAAGTCAAGATTAACTTGTCCAATATTAAACCTACTGCTGATAATGTACAGAAATACAGATTTGAATGGTTATAGAAAAGACTATATTACATGTTATTTTAGATATAGTGTGACTTTCGAAACGACGCATATAAACATTTCTCAAACACAGTTATGAGAGCGGAGGGAGGGGGTCACAGAATAACTGTGCAAATACAGTTAATAATCCTAAATCTATGAAAACCAAGTATTTGTTGCTTGGAAGAACTTGCTCTGTAACTCATGTAATGATATCCCAAACAACTTCTTGACTTGCTTTAGTCTAAACTTAACTTCTTATTTGAAAATAGAAATAAAATTGTTACCTTTAACCAATTCTTGCTCTATGATACGCTTTTTGAAATTCTTTTTCTTTTTTGGCTTTTTTGTTCTTGGTGTAGAATTTACAATGGGCAAAGTGGAATAGCGATAAAAGCCCCTGGAAGTTCTTCCTACAATTATAAAAAAAACTAAATTATTCATTATCATGTGGATCGAGTTAGAGACAACAAATAGTAGCATTAAGTTATTTTGTACAAATAGGTGTTATATTCATTTGATCTAAGCTGTTTGACATGTGTTTCTTAAAAAATTCTATAAATTGGCCTTAGGGTATCATTAGCAAGTTATACCAATATGAAAGAGATTGGTCACATACTTTGTTAGAATTGACAAATTCAAAAATATATGGTACATGGATGTCAAAAATCCAATATCAGAGCTGCGTAATGAGACCTTCATAGCATTTGTGCCTGCTATCAGGTGATTGAATCTGTCATTTAGTTTTAGTCTCAAAAACACCATACCTGCGTGTCAGGTTTATTGATTTGTTTCATTGTTCTCTGTTTCCAAAATACATAAATACATACATTCTGTCCAAAATATTAGTTGGTTAATATTAATATTAGTTTAATTGTTGGGACATTAAATGTTAAAATTCAAGAAAATATGCAAACTATATGACTTATCAATTAATTTGTATCAGCATTGTAGTCCTGATTTTCATCTTCAATTCATCAAGGTAATTATCCAACTACACAATTTGGAATAGGTTTCAGCTGTGGGTGAGGTTTGCCTTATCAAAGTCAAAAATTTTTAAAAAAGCAATCCGAGCCCACGTTTATGGGGGTAATGCACCCTGGCCTCAACACATGAATCTAGCTTTGAAAATCAGTTGCGCACATCCCTGGGTCAATAGGTTATGACAAATCACTCATATTCTATGTCATCAGGTGACTTCCACGTCCATAATGGCCAGGTATATATATGCCTATATGGCAAGGAGGGTTGGCATTTGTGTTTATAATTGACATGGCCCCTATGGATCAGAGAAATGAGCAAGCATCTTTATGGGAAAACTCACATGTACAGTGGGGGACAAAAATAAAACTCAACGTTCACAGGTTGTCACAATGAGCTAATTTCAAAGTTTCATGTCTCAAACTCTCCCAAGCGGTAGAAAAATAATTCCCGTTCACTAAAGTAGCACAATAAATGAATCCAAAGCTTCATACCTGCAAATAATGGATAAATTCCTACCAAATCGAATGAATGTTTTCATGAATCGCCATGTTTGTTATCCAAGGAAGGTTGACTCCCAGAATGCAACATCAGTTAACCGTATTTACTCATCACAAGTTTCAAAATGGCGGAACAGCATTTTGAAAGCTGGCACGTGTCATGTTGCATTCTGGGAGCCAATCCTCTGTTCCAGCGCAATCGAGCGACAAAATCACCTCAATATTTGAAGAGTCGGCATAACATGTGAATATCCACTTTTGAAGTTCTTATTTGTCATTAGGGACACAAATTCCACTGTATTTGGACTTACTAAGACAGAGAAAATAGAGCACTGAATACACTGAGGTAAGAATATATTACATGTGCGACAGCATGTAATTTTCATAGCTTTTGCAATTCTTTATGATCCCCACTGTAGAAGTATCGAAAAATTTGTTACATGTATCTACAAAATAAGCCATGACTGAAGGCTGGGCATGAACCAGAGCCATTTTAGCCACGGACCTCTGCCAGATTACCTTCTGTGTCTAGGCTCAATAAAATTACTCATTTATCCTTTGAGCCTACTACCAATAGGGGCTGGATCTGGCTCCGGATCTGTGATTTTAGTCACAGATATTGGCCAGATCGTTTTGTAGTAGGATCTCATAGGCTCAAAGAATAATTCACAAGATACGACACTAAATTGGAAAATTTCAAAAAAATATGACCACCTTTCAAAAATGTTCCTTATACAAAATGGTACCTGCTTCCCCATGACAGATTTTGCACTTATTTTATAGCTGAGATCTTCATCTTTCTATTTCTACTTGTTTGGTTCGAGTAAATAACCTATGGATGCAGTTATTTGACTTTTAATACGGCGAATATTTTTCACGAGATCCGGACTCTTGTGTGTCCAAATATCATTGTACTGATGACGTCACATTTCTGGAACCACGGGAGCAACATTCAGATTTGGACAGACAAGAGTCCGGCGATTAAATATCACTGTTTTGGCCTCTTATCAATGCAGCATTGCTTGAATAACGGTCATTGGTGATAAAAAAGTTAAAGAATAACAAGATGCTTCGAATGAGGTATGATTTGTCTCATATTTTTCTAGTTCAACGTCGTTAAACTCAATAACGGCGTTCTTTATTATTAGGAATTTTCTTGGGGCCATTATTGAGTTTAACCTCCTTACTATTCTTTCCTTTGATGCAAGTTCTGAATCCATCGAAACCATTTTTCCGCGATAACGTGCAACTGATACTTGACAATAATATAAAAACACATAACATCAAGCGATTTAACACAATATTATTGTGTTAAATGTTCATTTATACGAGTAAAATGAGGCTACACTTACCAATCTCTACAGTGACATTTCCGCATGTCTGTCATTGTGTCTGTTCGTCTGAGTGTCCCGGATCGTAAAATTAAACTACCAGCGAAACGAAATTGTTGTCAAATAGATTGATAATTATTATCGCCATTACTCGGGATAAAAAGATCAATTTTGAGGATAACAGGTATCTTTGATTAATTTATATAGCGCATATATACACGCAAAATAGTTATTAATTGCAAACCAACTGTTCGTTAATGCAGTGCCGTGATGACGGTTAATTCCTGAAACGATTTGCAATTTCGATGTTACCGAAACTGACCGACATTTTCGTCATATTCCAAACCTGTCTCCAATACTTTCGTAATTATGCATCAATAGGGTCTAAGGGGGATACGGGACGGGGTGTATGTGTTTATAAGGTATGTATGCATGCTTGAATCACATTCTTTGTGTAATATTGCCATGTTTTCATGGTTCAATTAGTTCCGCTTGTCGAAACCTGCTGAACGATTAAATTAACGCATCAAAGGCAAAATGGTCATGGAGGTTAGACCTAGCCGGGCCATAACACATGTCAGATAAGAAACGAGGCCCGGGCTAGGTCTAATGTTGTTGGACTAATATTTTTCAGAAATGGCTCCATATTCGTCATTTTAAAATTTGAAATTTTCTGAGGTGTCTCATCTTGAGGAATATTTATTGAGCTACTGATCCTACTACAAAAGAATCTTGCCGGGATCTATGATTTTAGTCACAATTTTTTTCATTTTCAGTAGACTAGTCTAGACTAGTGTTGTCGCGATGTGCCATAATCGTACATCGATGCATCGGCAATTTCAGGAGTAAACATCGATGCATATCGCGATGTACATCGAGAAAAAGTCCGAGAAAAGTGCACTGAAATACCGAACGCTAATGCACTAAAATACCGAACAGAACAAATTAATAAGAGTACGCTGGTACATACGGGAACTTCTAGTAACGGTGAAATGAAAGTAAAAAGTATTTTTTTTAGATTAATGGTTCATTTCGACTAGCTAAAGCAGTTTTAAAGCGAAAGAATATCAGAAAACATTTGAAAATGAAATAAGTCATGAGAAAGGTAAGCGATTTGCGTCAAAATAAGATAAGAAAGGGTGATTTTTAGCAAATTCAATTTTTTTTAAAAACATCGATGTTTTGTTTCAGACATCGATGCATCGCCAGAATCAGCTTTGGCGATGTATATCGCGATGTATCGATTAAGGTACAGCTGGAAAGTAACATTTTGGTAAAAAATTGCTATACCTGCACATGTTATTTTCTGGTACAAAATAAAGTATGAAGCCATGTGTCAATTTCCTTGCTTTTTTCAGGAAAGTATCATTACATTGTCTTCTTTTAAAATATCTGGTAGGCGTTCAATGGGAACTCCAGGAAATTCTGATATTTCACACTTTCTATTTTTCCAAATTTTCTTTCAAAGTTTCCAGACAACACAGGAGCTACCATTGACCTGTTTCCAGATATTCTAAAAGAAGATAGTGTAATGATACTTTCCTGAAAAAAGCAAGGAAATTGATACATGCCTTCATACTTTATTTTGTACCAGAAAATAACATGTGCAGGTATGGCAATTTTTTACCAAAATGTTACTTTCCAGCTGTACCTTAATCGCGACAACACTAGTCTAGTTTCTAGACTAACCTGTCTCCTGTGCTACTATCCTTACCTTTTTCGTGAATTGTTGATTGAAGAGTTTCACAATTAAGGCATCTTTGGAAGGAAACAAATTTATTTTGTACATTGGCAGCATCGGATATCTTAAGGTGTAGTCTTAATCCATGAATTCGAAAAATTTGTGACATTTTCACGTTTTAAAAATTATACAACCGGAAGTCAAAGTTTGGGAGCATATGATTTTTTATTTCAATAAATGTATTTTCAATTAACGTATTTGAGAATGAATTTTATAAACATAGGCTATCTAGAAATTTAGAAAATCGAATCGCCTGGACATTAAGATATGCAATCATGCTACAACATTTGAGTAAATGTGTTTTGAAATTTGAATACTAAGCAGGAAGTATTGCCTGCGCATGCTCAATTGACCGCCAATTTTGATTTTTGATTTTAGGACATCTTATCATGCAATTATCAAATACATAGCTATTTCAATTACATGTTTTCGTGAACCTAAGAATCTTGAATAAAATTTAGACATTTCCAATGAAAAGCTGTGCATGTAGATCTAAAGGTAGGTAGATATTTTACGATTCGAAAAAAATCTAAGTTACAAAACAAGGCAAGCCACAAGAACCTCAAGTGGCGTACATGTATCAACTGACATACAGTTGGGGACATAAATAAATGACAGGTGGATTTGCTGAAGTGAGGATTTGCCATGTTAAAAATAAGAGAATTTTCAAGAGGCCATACATCAGTGGATGAGATTATACAAAATGTAAAATATACAAATTTTAAGGGATATATATCTAGACAATATTGGGAATTATGGGCTTTCAGACCACCATAATTAGGAAATGGTGATCGAAAATCGACCTGTCATTTATTTTTGTCCCCAACTGTATCAGATATTGGTTGCCAAAGCTGGAAGAATAAGTTTATGTTCTTTTTACCTATTCTTCAAGATTCGGCCACAAATAGATGCAGGGTTCTCCCCAGAATCTAATTGCATGGCGCTCCCCCCTGCTCACCTAATTTTCCCCCCTGTTCCCCCCCTGCTTGCTTCATCCCCCCTGTTCCCCCCTGCTTGCTTCACCTGCCCAGGGTCCTCAATATAATCATAAATGGGCCATATTATCATGTAGTATTATTAAATAAAAGGTTTTCTAAATGAGATTTGGTGTTTATTTACATTTTGCAACCCTGTAACCATATGAGAGCTGCTGAAGTACATATTGACAAAGTACGCGAGTGATGCAAGCGGCAAAAATTGATACAAAAATCACGCGAGCGAAGAGAGTGGCGTTACTTGTTAAAAAATCCCCCCCTGCTATCAAAAAATCCTGGGGAGATCACTGAGATGTGTTGATACAGTTTCCAGATGTTCCTGAGACAAAAGATAGCAATGAACATCTTCATGAACTTCATGATGAAGTTCAATGAAATCAATGTAAGATCTAGGCCGCCCCCACAAAGCTAAACTTATTGATGTTATTTTGTTGGATTTAATCTATACTACATTTTATTTGGTAACCTATTAGCTTGGGGTCTTTTGTAAAATGTCGATGTATAGAGTTAATTCGACCATGCAGTTATTTCGACCATGGTCATGAATCAAAATTCCATGTTTGGCCATCTTGGATTAAGATGTCACTTATTGGAGATGGATTTGGTTCAAATGTTGTAGGCTAATGCTGTCATGGGCATAGAACCTTTCAAGCAAGCCACTGAATTTCAAAATGGCAAGCATTTTTCATATAAAAATTAATTAATTTCTGATAACTTTAAACACGGGATACTAGAGTATCCGCGTATATTCAGTATGACCGGTTCTTAGGCTACGAATATGACCTGTTTTGGAAAGTCATGAGAGGCACAGCTGCTTAAAAATGGAAAATAAAGGTTAACTTCTATATTATCCTTTTTGAAATTGTGTTTGTTGAATATAGTTTATGCTGTATTTAATAGTAATGTAACAAAAAAATGTTAAACATGAGCTATTTTAGCAATGTAACTGTTCTTAATGGAATATCAATCAGAAAGTACAGATTTCTCGCCTTAGAGCCAAATCATTAATATCACAGTAGAAAAAAACAAATCCCAAACCTTTTTATGTCTAACCTGAACAAGATCTCCAAATCTCAGTTTATATGATCCCCCGTAGAGTGAGCAAGAGAAGGATTTATCTTTTCCCAGAGGATACGCTTGTGAAATGTCATGGAAACGAGTGTAACACGGCCCACTGATTGATGTGATCGGAATGTTACCGGTGTAGAACATGTAGAATACGAGTGTATGCTCCTCAATAAGAGGTGTTACTGATGCTGCCATCTGAAAAATGTTGTATTTTAAGTTAAATGTGTAGTTTCAGCAATTTGGTTACAGAGTAATATGTTATATTTTCAAATACATGATAAACTTTTCTTTCCATACATTGTAATGTATTGGTATAAAACCTGTCTTATTATAGGTGATCTAAAAGCATATTTTGCCATTACTTTCGCCAACATTCTGAAATCGGGTCAACTGATTTAACCACAAATCTACAAAAGGTCTGAAATGGGACAACATAATTATAATCAAACAAGGCTATTGTTTTCGGTCTACGTTTAACTGAATTCTTTTGGAAAAAATAGGCTCTGGACACTATAACTTATAAGTCATCTACTCTTATTTAGTTCTTCCCACTTTATATTGGAGACCTACTGCAAGCGTCTGAAGAGCCTCAACATTCTGGTATTTCGAATTACCTTTTGCATCTGTCACCGCTAAAAGTCGTATCCAAACACCGGTTAAATGCCGATCCAAGACATTTCACAACCGTATTCTCCAATAATGGGGCACCAGTGACATTCGTATTCTCAAAAATTCAAAGATGTATCATATTTGGACAGAGCAGGCTAAATTATTTAAAATATTCATGACTAATTCGTAGATCTAGCTATATATTATACATAAGATGTGTCATCCTCTTCGGAGTTGCGTTGTGTTACACAAAAACTGATCAAAGATGCTGGAAACTAGGATTTTATGGCTTCAATCTAATATTAATACGTTTTCTCTTGATTAAGGCCCCTTGTGATATGCCTGGCATTATAAGTATACCAAGTATCATTCATTGACCAAGTAGGATAAAAAGAAAACGTTCGAAAGTGTTCATAAATAGCAAGTACTCACCTCGTCTGTTTATAGGAACAGAAATACGGTCACACTCGTAAGCTTAGAACCGGTCATACTCAATATACGCGGATACTCTAGTTACCCGTGTTTAAAGCTATGTGGAATTTGGTCTCATTTCATTATAGCCATCGTTTTTCATTAAAAATGTAATCTTTGACAACTAAGATACCAGTTGACAGATTTGGTTCAAATCATATATGCATATTACAAAATCTTCACCACTATCCATTGCCCCTCTGGCTCTACATATCTAACCCTATCCACAAATTGGTTAAATTCACTGCTATAAACATGTTGTCATCTTGAGTTCTTTTGACTTTTCTGATGCCTGATTTTTGAAATTGTGCCAAATGCACCAATTAAGATAATGAATTTGCCATGTTTTTAGATCCATCTTCACCTCAATTGATACAATGTAGCAATTTGTGACATTGATAGACAGGTATCAGATATGTCAATCAACATAACTTTTGATGATCTTTCCAATGATATATCACACTTAACTTGGTACCATCCATTAAGGTTTTGGATGTAGCAGGAGGGACAGGACTTTTGTTCAGTGAGACTTTTTGTGTGAAATTTATATCTTTTTCTTTCCAGGAAAGAGGAGATAGCTTACCATGCGGATCCAATGTAGTATCTGTACTGAACTTTATGAACATGATAGCATTATATCTGGGCTACCTTGTGGCCATCTATTCCACAGGGAATGTGTTCAGCGCTGGTTTACAAGCAGCAACAAAAGAGACTGTCCCCAATGCAGAAATCATGTGGATAGGAAAAAAGTTATTGATAAACTTTATTTCGTGGTTGGTGACTATGACAATGGTGAAACAGAAGACAATGCACCCGAAAGGATAAAAAACCAGTTGGATGATGCCAAAGTTACTATACGGGAGATTAAGAAAGACAAAGAAGCTGCAATAGAGAAATATGCAAAACTGCAAAGAGTTATCAATGAAATTAGTGATGAAAAACACAGTTTAAAGCTATTGTTTGAGCAAGAACAAGCTAGTAATGAAGGACTCCAGAGACAGGTTGCCTTCCTCCAGGCTCAACAGAGGGATGCTCAGAGAGCAAAAGAAGAGTGCAAAACTTACAAGAAAAGGGTTACAGAGTTAGAAAATGTAGAGAAAGTTGTTAAAGGTAAATTCTTATTTAAGATAATCAAACATTCTGTAATTTTTCAGATTAGACACTTCCATTGTATAATTTGAACTGAATGGAGAATTCTTAGGGAAGAATACACCAGAAAATAGGCCATCAAAATTTGAATTATCCCAAAGAAAATTCATGTCTACTTTATAACATGATAATATGCAATGTTTTTAAACAGAGGCTCATGTGTTATAGAAATCCAGGAAGAATGTCAGAATGACAGAGTTTAAACCACTTTGGCTTATATGCATAGCCTAATCCAATGTAATTAAAGTGTGGTATGTGAAATGTGAAAAATCGTGAATTTATTTAAAACCAACTTTTAGAGAGAGGTCACATATATTTTTATGAGCGATAATTTACACCAATGCATTCATCCTCACATGTTTTTTGCTGAAAAATGTGTTCATAAATTAGCAAGAAATGAACTCATCCATGTAGGAAAGTGGTTCAGAGAAAAATGCATTTCAAAATTTTAGTTCTCATAGAAACCAATGGTTCAATAATATTTAAAACATATATTCTTCCTTTCAACCTGGTTGGACATTAAACATTATTACCACCTTGCCGGACCTGTTCTAAGGGTATTTTAGTTTGGTTGAGAAAGCTTATATTTTGCTATATTGACCTTAGCAATAGTTGACACCATAGCAGCAGGCCATAGTGGCAGGCCAAAATCATTTCAGCCCAGTGATGTTCCTTGGGAAATGAGATATCGTTCAGTGCATAACCCTTATGTATGTTCTTTTTGTATAACAGCCTGCCTTCTGGTTAAGAGAGTGATGCTAGGCTAAATATATTTCAAAACTCCAGCTATTAAATGCCCAAAATATTTTAGTTAGCTGCATAGAAAATATCTGAGTGTACTTAATGCATCTACACTGACTGGTGTTTCAATTTAATTAATCGTAACATTGTCTATTTACAGGCTGTGAAAGTGAGGTACGGGAACTGATATCCCAGCGTGGAGATGGCTCGGGGAGTATGAAGGAGCTTGCACAGTGGAATATCACACTCAAGGGAGAGTTGACACGAACAAAGAGAGACAAAAGATTCATGCAATCTGAAAATGACAAGCTACGCATCCAACTATCGAATGTTAAAAAAGCATTGATGGATAAAACTACAGAATGTACTGCAATCAAAGAACAGTTCAATGATTCTGAAAATGATTTGAAACACACTGAGAAGGAAAATGAAAAGTTGAAGAAAAAGTTGGCACTGCTTATGTCATCACTAGGGTCACCTGGAGATACTGCAGCAGGTTTTGCCCACAGGCTTATGAATGAGAGTCCCATGCCTCTGCCCCCTAAACTCTCTACCCCCTCTTCAAGTGGCCAGATAGACCTTGATTCTGGATCCTTTGTAGTGCCATGTACACCAGAGATTGTAAAACCTAGTCCAAATACTCAGATTAAAAATGACTGTGAAAATAATGGAATTAAATACATCAAAACGACATCATTAGCTAATCCCTCCAAGAAACGTAAAGCTGATGAGCCTGTCGAAAACTTTGTAGTAGGTTTAGGAAACTTGAATTTGTTCAAGAAAAAAGGTTTAATTGAAAACAGTCGCATTCGTAATGGCTACAATGGTATGGGTGGTCATGAAAAATTCATTGAAATGAGGAAAGGACCTCAAATGAAACCTTTAAAAAAGCCAGTTCAGAAATCAGGTCAACTTCCCAAAGCTTCAAAGTTGGCGAAGAAAAACCCTCCTCTCCCCAAGTTAGATTTTTACTTGTCACAGAATACATCTGATTAGGTTTGGATATGTAGTATTTTTGGAAGTAAAAAAATATAGAAATTCAAAAATCAATTTAATTTAAATCATAATCTCAATGAATTCTACGACTTACACATATTTATTGTCTGGTTTTCTTCATGCCGACTCAAAATGTGCTATTGACTGATCAGGTTTTTGGCTTTTTTACACAATTCTGATAGCCATAATCACTTGTCTTTTTGGGGCCATTCCCATCAAGCCCAGGCTTAGGATTGGTCTTGAGATTCATATTCTGTTAACTTACTAATGATGAAAGTTATTTGCTGTGAACTGAATAACCACATTTTACGAATTTGTTGTACAAGTAAATCATTCATAAAGGAGGAGGGAAAGTATCGCAACAGATTCGGACAGTCATATGTTGGATTTTGGCTATTTTCTGTTGTTTGCATCTTCCCTGTCTCAAAATCGAAATTATTTTATCATGTCTATGAGTTCTTTTCCTGGAGGTAATAACATATGCATGTGTTTAAATCCTCAGAAAATAGCCAAAGTCCAACATATGACTGTCCGAAATCTCTTGCGTACTTTCCCACCTCTTTTCCCATTCTTATTAATATACAGAACAATTTTTTCGAAATAGAAATAATTTATTGTATAATTTACGCACATTCTAATGTTACTTATACATATCACAAATTCATCATTAAATCAAGTGACATATTTCAGATTCATGAATAATTTCTTCGTTGGGATTTGCTTCTCCTATCTGTGGAGTTGCCATTTTCTAGTTCAAGTCTGTAGAACATAATTTTTTGTAATGACCATTAACAACTGGATCTGATTTTTAACATTAATACATATTATTGAGTACAATTCCTTGTATGTAAATATTGTATAAAATAGTATATATCTACAGTTTCTATAAAATAAAGTATATATTATTTTTACACAGAATAACATCTTATTTTTGGTTTAATTTGACATCATTTACTAAGCACACAAAATTAGTTGAGTCAAAAGCCAAGATTCTTTTATTTATTGCCTCAATGCACAACCATTGCCTTCATTGAGTTATAGGTTAAAACAAAACAAGCTCTATATGAGTCTTGCTTATGTGCATGTTCAATAACAAAAATGACATGTATTTGCAATAAATCAAAGAATTCAGGTACTTGTGTCACATAATATCTGGTTTGTTTTGGTGTAAATGCATATATATGAATATCACAGTAATTGCAAATTGAGAACATCAGTCATGAACTGTAAAATGGATATAGAATAATATAAAGAACTAGCTCATGCAGTATGGTTACTCATCCTCCGAATGCAGAGCTCCAGACATCTTCCACTAGAAGGAGGTATGAGTTCTAAAGGCCTGTATTTGGAGGATGTGTTCACTACACAGGAGCAGGAATGTCTGAGTAGCTTATCCATAAAAATGAACAAAAATTGTCATAATTCTGAATATCAATTCAAATAGATAAAATATCACTACCTGGCATTTGTTACAGATGCCAGACACCGATCACAAAAAGTTGAAAATATAACAACATGTCACCACTTGTGGTGGTGATGTAAAAATGGATATGAGATAGTAGTTGATTGTCAGAATATTTTATGTTACTTTCTTGTAAATGTTGACCACTGGTTTAACCTAGAAGTCTAATAAGCACTGGCATGTAGCGGCCCTGATATCGATAAATTCTACACGCAATATAACCCGATTTTAGATGCTTGGTTAAAACTTTACACGAAAAAGCCTCGATATCCGGGCATTTACTCTTACACTGAACTGAAAATAGCATCGTCTAAACGTGTATGTCTTGGCTTCCGGGTGAGTTTATCAACATTTATACTCAATTGAAAGAGCAGTCGTGCTTATATCGTGTACCAGTTTGATTGTTTTATATGTGTGTGTATTTATAATATGATAGCCTAGTAATACCGTGTCCTTAGAACAAGTGCTAGATATCGAACTGATGACCTGAAATTAGATTATTGGACTGATCGCGCATCTGATATTAGATGATTAATTTGCATTGAATCTGATATTAGCTTGCAACCCAATACCACAGTAAATACCATGACTTTACATTAGAATGATAACACGGCCTCATATTCTAATTTATTATACGTCCATTGCAGGCCAAAAATGTTTCAATGTGGATATTGTAATGCACACGAGAATACATTCGATTCGTATATATTGATCATACATCAATTGAACATGGAGATTTTCCTGTACACTTTTCCCAAATATGTGGAATAGACTAGATGCGAGTAGAAATTATCTTGATTTATCCTATGCCAAGTGGGGTTTTAGGGAGATAAGTTGGTAAGATATATCCCGTATCCTGATTTTGAGGTTTCCATATCAAGAACCTCCATATCTCCCGTCATATCTCCCGCTTCGGTGCATATCTTCCCGCTTCGGGGCGTATCTTCCCGCTTCCAAAAAAAGTGGAAATGCAATAAAATGACTTTGCATATGAATGATTTGTTTATTTTTTACACCTTGTACTACTGAAAACTCTACTTGGTATAGGATAAAGCAGTTATGTACGGTCGGTTTGGATATTGGGTTCATCCCTCGTGAGATATGCACATCTACTTTCTGTCCCTACGGTCCCTCAGGTAGATATGCATATCTCCCTCTGGAAAAACCCCATATCCAAAACCCCCCAGTACATAACCCTTATTTATCCCATGGTTACAAGGATATAGATCGAATATCACGTGAAGATATAATTGATACGTGGATGAAGATCATATTTTAGCAAACAATTCCCAAATCATCGAATATCACTTTTGAAACCATCGAATGTCACTTTTTGAAAGGTGATATTCGATGGTTTCAAAAGTGATATTCGATGGTTTCAAAAGTGATATTCGATGGTTTTGATTTTTTCAATTTTTTTATTAATTCAGCAAAACGATTGTTTATATATTTATTATATATTTTTATTTTTTGGGATCTTGTTTTTACGGCGTTCGCATTAAATACAAACCACTCTGTTACGTCACGTATATGACGTTCGTTGAATTATCGCAATCAAAATGTCAGACCAAATGGAATTTCCATTGCAATTTATCTGACTATTCAATGTTCGCTGGATAATAATTCCCAATGGGATAAACGGACAATCCTATGTTTTTTCAAAAATATCACTTATATCCACTCATGGATATCAGTATCTTCACTCATTCGCTGCGCTCACTGGCGAAGATATCAATATCCACTCATGGATATAAGTGATATTTTTTCAGAGCCATAGGATATTCCTATATTATTCCATAGTTAGCATGATATCCATAGGATAACATGTCAAAATAAAAACGGTATTTTTGAAATCAGTGGTAAAATATGATATTTTTGGCAAATTTTCACTTAACCATAGCATACGGTGTTTTTGGGGGGGGGGGGGGCTTTTAGCCATGACATACGGCGCCGTATGCCATGGTTTATGGATTTTTGCTACTTCAGACTCAAAACGAGGCTAAGTGTCAATATCGCCGTATCGTTTGGAAAATTCGTTTTAAATCACTTAATTCCCGACGATTCTGATGATGACTTTAACTATGGAATATAAAGAACATCCTATGATTTACTCGTGATATGATTTTAATCCACTTATGGATGTTGATATCTGCACTCTCTCGCTACGCTCACTCGTGCAGATATCATATCCATTCGTGGATAAAAATCATATCACTCATAAATCATAGGATATCCCTCTATTTAAGATGTGATATTCGATAGTTTAAAAGTGATATTCTATGGTTTGTAAATTGTTTGCTAAAATATGATATCTTGATCCACATATCAAATATATCATCATGTGATATTCGATCTATATCCTCCTTGCAACCATGGGATAAAGCTTTACGCCCCGCTACGTCATAATCGCCGCTTGCATGTTTGTTCATAATTTGTAACGTTCGCGGAATGACTGTAAACGGCAATGGAGAAAACACAGACAATCAGGGTCTGTTTGATAGTTAAAAAATGGGAAAGAGCATCCACTTAATCAATAAAAAATTCGAGAAAATAAATATGGGAATATTTGAGAGAACATGAAAATCCGCCCACGGCCAAGAAAACAAAACTGGACATGAATATTCTAAAATGTTTCCACGATTTAACAATGTGAACCAGATGACCAAGATTGGTATGGGATAAACATATTATCCTATAGTCGCGGTTCAGGATATTGGGATTATCCCTTGGCCAATATATAGGGGTTATGCAATTGGAGGTTTTGGATACAGGGAATATCCCGAGGGATATACAATATATCTTCCCGAGGGACCGAAGGGACCAAGGGAAGATGAATTATATATCCCTCGGGATATTCCCTGTATCCAAAACCTCCAAGTGCATAACTGTTGTATATAGTTTAGCATGATATGTACTTCTTTCTGTAACTGGAATACGATTCTAATATACAAGCAGCACATACGTATTCCCGGGGAACCATAAATATTTTGTGTAGGGTGTGGACATTTTTCTTTTCATTTCTCTAAAATCAGATTATTCTCATAAAATTCATACAAAGTTGGGCCTAAGCCTCTATTTTCGTATTCTGCATGTTAAGATATTTATAATGTAAAACCTAAGAGATAAATTCAATGTCTTCAGTTGAGAATAAGTATAAGGTAAATGTGTGAATTCTGCTTGTTGTTGCACTATTTTTATAATAAACAAGGTTCGATACGCAACACTGAATAGACTGCAGTCATAGCTTAGTTGTAAAGAAAACAAAAGAAGTGGGGCGTGATCATGCTTGAATACGATTTTAAATATATCGCCCTTTACATTTGTTGAAATCGGCCTGTATTAATTTCAACAGGTGATCGGTGTACAAGGGCATATATTTGAGTTATTGGTTTAACGATAAGTATGACCTATGAGTGGGTAATGTTTTACAAATGCATGAAACAAATACTCCAATGGCCTAATCTCAATTTTCCTGCATAAAGTATTACATTGAAATGATGGTCATTTGCTCTCTAACTTCCGCACCGCATACGTAACTTCGTAACAATTCAATAAGCCAAGACAGGACCGCTATAATCGCTACATGCCAGTGAATAAGGGAAAGTAGTAATACACTCCATTAGATCTTCTAATTGAGCTTAGAACTACTTTTCCCATAGCCTATGGGTTTGACACCAATTGAGAGGTGATAAACTGGTCTTGCAGTTCCATAGAACCAGAAATTAACAGACAAACATTACTACTTAAAGCATACAAATTCTAAAAAAATCAATTAATTTTCATTTGACTTTAACAACATATTATCAGCAATGATATGAACCAATTGAATTTTGTCAGAATAAGGCCTATTTGTAAAAGGTCCACATCAAACAAACACCAGACTCCAGACATATGGTAAATATTCACAATAAGTTCATTTATATATGGCAATGCCATATTTCATAATTATTATCATGATGACGTAAACATAAATTACATATTTTATAAGAAAAACAAAGCAAAACTTGGTTCAAATCATATGGTGAAGTGATGTGAATCACTTGACCAATACCCTTCATTTTGCTGATAATCTGCATACAAAATCAAAAGCCATTGTGACCTAGATTTTATAAAGAATGTACATTATATGTTCTCATTTTGTCTTGAAACCAAACTGATTGTTTTTTAACCAAGAGCTCTCTAATAAAAACAGTCGGATCTAGTAAGCAACTTTTTCAAATAATGTTTCAATAATACAATATTTTGGGCTCATATCCTTTGTCATATCTGTATTATAAAATTCAAGATTTTTATTGCACTTTGAACAAGCAAAACATGCAAAATATCACTACCTGCCATTTGTTACAGATGCTGACTGCTGAATGCCAACCACATTATTTGTCCATATTTAAAAAGAATATACTGGCAGGTCAATTCTTCATGTAGCTTAATATTTTGTCACCCTCTATATTTCTGATTCTGTCTTTAATAATTCACATTGATTGCACTAATCTAAAATTTAAGATCCTTTTGTTTATGGCCTGGTGAAAATAGTCTTGTAGAAAGGTGTAATGGCACAAATAAAAAATGCACCTGCGAAAATAACATTCAAAAATAGACCCATTCTTAAATTCGAAACTCTGGTGACCAGAAATAAAAATAGTTGTATAGCACTACATATACCCTGTATGTTTGAGCTGTACTCGAACACTACTGTACACATGTTGTGTTCCTCCTTCATTGAGCCACACCCTGTATACAGTACAGTACATGTGTACCCTGAGATCAATAAATAAATAAATGTCGGCAGGCACGTAGCCAGAATTTGCCAAGGGGGGGGTTCAGTTTTCAAAAATTTCCAGGGGGGTGCACATTTGATAATTTTGGCCCAAATATGGCTAAAATCACTTGAAAAGTGCTCAAAATGATGGAAAACTGAATGATTTTGAAGGAATTTTTGGCCAGGGGGGGTTAGCCCGAACCCCCCTTGGCTACGGGCCTGGTCGAATAAAACATTAAACTCCTGAGTCTTGCAGTCTTGATGTATAATTAGGCCTTTACTTGTATATCAGATCAACAAAATATTTATGATAATGTCTTAAGATACGACATAAGCTCTAGTTATAATCAAGGAAAGTTGATTTCAACATGTATAAAAAAAACACCATAGCAAATCAGTGGTTATCTTATTTTGACAAGTAGAGGATTGAGCTATCACTTTTGTGATAAGTGTCACTGATTCTAAATGTACATTACTTCGAACTATATATCAAATGCACAGATCTCTAGTGTCCAAAGTGGTAGAATGACTATGCACTGCGTGCCAGGGAGGGGGGAGTCAGATTTGATACGGGCCTAGCTGCTGCATCATATTCCAGAGTCTATAATATAACACATGCCTGACTGCTGGGCTTCTGACCACTTCCTCTACTAGCTGCAGGATTGACTGTAGCTGCAGCAATACCTGCAACCCTGAGCTTCTTGCTCTTATCCTCAGTCCCTTCAGGCATCAATGGACTTCTACTACGTAATGGTTGATTATTGGAGTCAGTCTCAGATTGGCCATTAGGTGAGGTGCCTGTAGGACTTGTCATACTCAGCACAGTAGGAGCTACAAATGTTAATTCAATATTTCATTTTTATAGGTTATTTCATGACCGTATTGCAATGGTTAATTAACTACATCTGTACATGACTATTGTACATTGTATTTTCATTAACTCACAAAAACATGTAAGAGACTCAATGTGACTCTTTACAATTTTGTAGATTTTTGATAGATATGAATAGCCATATGTTAATGCTAGGAAACATCCATTTACTCTCATTTGATAAATGGGCATTAAGTTGGCATATGGCATAATATGAATGGATGAAAATAAAACAATGGTTGATACCATAGTAGCATTCTCAATGCTCAGGTGCCATATTACTGATTACATGTAGATTAGCTCAAATACCTCTTTTTAAGTGGATACCCCTTCTTATCTTCTCCATGTTAGTGTCATTGAGGAACTTTGCATATTTGGGGTGCTTCTCAACATACTCCTTGAGGAGGAAGTCATGTGCATTGACCACCTCAGTTTGGACATCAGCAATGGTTGTGTCAGAAAGCACAGTAATACGACTGCCCTGCTGATGGTCAGCACACAACCAATGGATTTTCCCTGTTGGCAGATGACATCTAAAGAGAGAAAAAACATAAATTGTCCAGTTTTAAAATCTGAAAGAGTACCAAAGGGAGATGGAGTCAGTTGTCCCATTTAACCTAAAAGTGCAGAAAAATGGGTAGTAATCTTAGTGATGTTTTTCATTTGACATATAATACATCTAATCAATGAATCAAATAACTGTAGAACTAGAATTAATCTATAACAATAAAATAATATATCAAAAGCCAAAGTACTTACCTTGATAGGTTGCCTTTAACAGACTCTTCATCATGAAATATGAGTTCATCTCTTAAAACATTATATGCTTGGCCAATATCTGATCCCTCCATCCCACGCATGGCATTTTTCTGGATTCTCTTGGCAAGTTGTTCATTTTCTTCCCCTGTTGTGAAGAACTGAAGGCCAACATTGCTGTACTTGAGGATGGTGAGAAGTCTCCCGAGGTAGGCAGTTGACTTGTCTATGAGGGCTGTAGCAGAACTTTCATCACCAGTGTATGGTATGGCATTCCCACATATATGCCATCCCTAAGGAAACATATTGTATGTAAAATAATAGTTCAGTGCATAACATTTTTGGTTTTGGGTTACCTGACACCTTCCTGAGGAAAAATCCTTTTTCCTTTGCTATTAAGGTACTTTATGCCTAGCTCTGTCACTAGGTTACTCAATATATTCTGCAAGGAAAATAGCATTGAATATTCTCACTATATTCTAGTGGGAAAATTGCATTGAAAATTGTTCAAATAACATGCTATTTTAAAATCTGGACTCATAAAAATGATCAGTGATGTTATCGTCCCCTTCCCTACTGGCTTAACATATACAAGCAGGGCCTCAATTCATTCAATGTGGCAATCATGTAAAGTGTGATTAAAATCTACATAGGACTGATTGTTATAATATTAAAGGGTGACGCATATCGTTTAGCAAATCGAACGCTCGTTTCTGGTGTTGCTCACCGTTTAGTATAAAAGGCCCGATCCCGGAATAATACTCAAGGGTTCACAGGTTCGAGCTCGTTGTGTCAACACCTCTAACTGTTATATAGTATAAGTATATTATAGATCGTCACACATTTATAAAAGGATGATTTTTATTTTGACAAATCAATTCCACATTTATGGGTGAAGTTTCAGGATCTTCTATTTGTGTACAATAAGGAAAAATTGGCATCTAAATTTCCCCATAACGTACTAGCACACAGCTTGGCATATGAAATATCCTACAAATGAAACAAAGCAAGACAAACCGGTTTCTAATACAAGGATTTATATTGGCTGTTGTACATGTATTCTTTGAACGCAATCACTCTTTGGATAACGTTTTCAAAATCATTATAAACGGATTACTTTATCTCAAAGACAATTTCAATAAACTGGATTTTACAGAACTCCCCTTATTTCTTAAAAATGGACTGATCCAGTTGATTCGCCTGGAGCCGCCATATTGTTTTTATACGGGATGCTAATCGGAACCCTTTAAAACCATTGTTCTATCATTATTCATTTACACTTAAAAAAAAATTGATTACAATCACAGTAACTTACATTTTCATACTCGCAGAGAATTCTGAAACAATACGTCTGCTTTTCAGTAGTGCCATCTTTATCAGCCTCCATGAGGTCAAGGACACAGAGACGTGGATATATGGCATGTTTGATTTCTCCCTTGTGTTGTAAAACCTCCAATAAGCGCATGAATTTCCTCTGAGCTAATTCATAAACTTCCTAAAAAACAATACATACAGTCTGTAGAAGCTAGTCGGGCATCAATCCCCATGTTACCCCAAGTCACTCTCAGACATGGGGAAATAGATGGTGATGGTAGAAGAGATTTAATTCCATCATAGAGACCAGTGAGAAGCAAAATTATGTCAATGCAAAACAAGTTTCATTTTCAATACTTGAAGTGTTCAATTTAGAAATTGATACCCTTAAAGGGAGGTACAGCACATGTTCACCATTTATTACTTTACCATACACCTGCTGAAAATTTTACATTAAAATAGACAAACCTGATATGAAACTTCTGTATCATTGGTTTTAAAACAACCAGAGTCATTTTCATCAGTTTTGCATCTTTGAGAGGCCGCACTTGTAGGCCTTGATGGTCTCTCTTTTCCAGCATATTTTGCTTTCTCTGATTCTTTGTGTTTTTCAACATCTATTATTGTTTTTACTTTCTCTAATAGTTTATCAAATGCAGTTTCACTCTTTTCCTGGAAGTTAATTTCGTCAGACTTTCCACGCCCTGTCAGCATTGCTGCCTAAAATGTCAAACAAAATAATATTGATGATTTCAATTCATATTAATCAAATTTTCAACCGTACCATTGGTCTTTGCATAAAAACATATTTTTAAGACTCTTTGCAGTGTTGTTGATTTTTATTTGAGGTTTTGAAGCTATTTTAAATATAGTCTAATAGTATAACGATCTGTTCCATCCAAAATCATAAGGGCCATTTTTTGTAATGAATTCCGTGTACTAACATAGAAGCATTTTTTGGTTATTTTTCTATTCCAAGTATACTGTCCTGTGGCTTCAACTGATTAATATATTTACAAAATATTTGTAATAAACCACAACTGTGAGTGTCTCATAGTAAATTTACATTGACTGATGCAACACTAGTATAGTATACATATACTTACCTCTGTGTACCTCCAGTTATTGGAATTTCCAACTATGGCTACAATGATTGGTTTATTCAATGCACATGCGGCAAACCTCAGCTCCATCATACAGTTGGTAGAGTCAGCATACTGCTCAGATACACATACTACCACAACCTTAGAATGCCTTAGTCCATTACTGATCGACTCAAACAGGTCATTCTGAAATATTTCATGCACAGAGCTTGATGATTGCTTTTAGGACTGTTTGGAATTGATAATCAAATTAACAAAATACATGTATTAAATTAGAACTTAACTCAATAGACATTGGTGGTTTATCATAACAAACTGCAATTTGTATCATGAATAGATACAAAACTCTTTCCTGTAAATACTGTACACATGTACATATAAGAGGTTATTTCATAATAAGAGGAAACCTTTTTTATAAGAGGTTATTTTGATTATTTAAAATGTAGGTGTATTTTAGAAGAGCTCAGCACCACACTCCACTAAATGATAATGTGTTACAAAGTCCATCTTTTCTCACCTGCCCAGTCTGTTCAATATCTATCCAACAATCTATTCCATTTTTTTCCAACATATCCTTCATGTCCCTTGGGTCTCCCCAACCAACAGAGCCATCTTTTGCTTTGGTGCCCAGTTTAACTGCCTGGCTACTGTTTGCCCAGCAGTAACTTATGAAGCATGGTGGATGAAGATCCTGTAAAAGGATTGAACAATATATACAATGAATATGAAGTTACGTAGATATAGAATTCTAATATGACTCCCAATGGGGCACTTTTAATATCACACTGTTATAAGAAAATTGCATCTTGCACGTTGCAAGTATTTTTCATCTTTTTATTTCTGACATTTGTCACCTCATTCAACAATGGGTGCCTGAATATGTACTTCTGCAGAAAGGGTAATAAAGAACACTACAGTGTCACATGAAAATGAATTCTCTTGAATTCTCTTCTCCAAACCTCTATCTGATGTAAACTGAGACAGGTTATATAATATATTGGCATTGGGAAAATCCCAAATCTCCTGAACCTCATTTAGAATAGTCTTAATGTACCTCATTTGCTGTTTGATTGAGAGTCTGGGTAACGGCTTGTTTCAATTCTTCTAATTTAGCCTCATATCTCTCAAGTTGTCTCATGTTGACAAATACCTGGAAATTACATTTATATTAGATCTGGAAAACAAATTAAAGTGGGACTAACGCTTATACCTAAATGAAGATTTTCTGTTTTATCAACCTTACATGTATATGTGTAGTTTTTTTCAAGTTTAGCCTGCAAGAACCTGATTTATAGGTCTTCAGTAAAACATATTACAGAAAATGTACTGTATAAAGCAATAATACAGGGAACTAGTTATACATGTATTTCAGTAAGTTCATTATATATTATGTTATAGAAGTGAGTCAGGAGATGTCTCAGAACTAAAGTAGTCACACTAATTTGATTCTTGTGTTAAGTTGAGCTAGCTGATTTCCCTACATTGGATTGTGGTATATTGTACTTGAGCCACTACAACCATGTTTTACTGTACTATACAGGCCCGTAGCAAGGATTTGCCAAGGGGGGGTTCAATTTTCAACAATTTCCAGGGGGGGGTTCAAATTTGACAATTTTGGCCCAAATATGGCTAAAATCACTCGAGAAGTGCTCAAAATGGTGAAAAACTGCATGATTTTGAAAGAAATTTTGGCCAGGGGGGAACTCTGCAAACCCCCCCTGGCTACAGGCCTGCTGTATATTGAGCATCTTACCTCCTCTCCCACTAGGAGTCCAGCTGGAGTTTGTTTCCAGTCATATGAAGCTCCCACTGCAATGATCTGACATGGCTTCTTTAGAGTCAACTTAATATAATGGTACAGCTCCTGACATTTGGCATCTGCAGCAAACTCATCTGACATAAACACTAGCGCCATCTAAAAAAGAAAGAAAATTAAGATTAAAATGGAGGGATTTCAGATCTAACATAATTAAATGGCCAGCCGTTATGTTATTTATCTATACATTACATATGGCAAAAAAGCTGGCCTGAATCAAAAGCAACTGGCCATGGTAGTTTAATTACTCAAAGGATAGGTATCGATATGGTGAGCTGAATTCAACAATGTTTTTCTCTTCTCTTAACCAATTTCAAATTATAATGCCACCATCCAAAAGATGACCATTAAATTGACGATGTGTAAAATTTTCAGAATGTTTTGCTGACTGGTTTAAGAGAAACGAGTGTTCAAAAAGTTCACCATATCGATACCACTCCTTTCACCAGCTGTTCTTAAAGTATTTAATTTCTGGTTACCTTAGCATCCTTTATTGGAACCACCAAATCATTGAAAGACCAGAGGCCCATATCTTCACGATACCAACTGAAATAATCAAAAACAAATATAACATAGAAAAATCAAATACGTTGTCTCGTACATGTAAGTAAAAAATTCTAGTAAGCGTTTTCAAGATAAAGATTGCATATTGATATAACACCAAGTACTTGGACCACACCAAATGCACGGGCATTTACTTTTAAGTTAATTCTTACCATTTGTATCCCAAGTTTTCCAAGTCGACTTTCACCTTCTCAGGCTGGACAACAGAATCATCACCAGGTGGCGCATTTGCTTGACAATAGCAGAAAAAGATGTCAGCTGACATATCCCTGTGGACATCTTGCAGTTGACGTATTGTCTGCTCTAAATTGATGTTGAACTCAACTGCATTGCTCGGAGGCATGACCGCTGAAAAGAAGCAATATCATACAAATTGAATTATTGGAAATAAATACATGATCAAAACATGCACAAATTAAATTTAAAATCATTGAGCAAAATTTTTGAATCATGTCATTATCAGTATTTCTTTAAGCAAATCAAAATAGTCAAAGTACATGAAAATCAAGCTAGAAAGTTACTAATAATGTAGAAGTACTATATAAGCACATAAACATTAACACCTCCTTGTTTTTACAGTAGAAGTATTACCTTGAAGTTCAGCCATCGAGATGCTGTGGAAGTATTTACGACATTGTAGAAATGGCGCCTTTACATCAACAGCCATATGTACCAGGTGATGGTCAAACATGCTGGGATCCTTTGTGCCCTAGAACAAATTGTGAATTAAACATGAACGATTTACATAGTAGATATCATAGTACTACAAGTACATTTGTGAATAATAGACTGCTTTTCTCAGATTTAACTCTGTAAAAATTTGATAGTATTTTGTGTTAAAAGTGTTCTGGCAATATTGTTTCATTAGCACGGAGCGGTAGGCAAACTGCGCGCCTACTATGCACGCAGTTTGGAACACTGACAAACTGCGCGCCTATTCACAAAATGACAGACAGGGAGGACACGACTCCCAAGAGGATGGAAATTACTGAAAATACTAGGCTAGTTTTGGTTTTCAGACAGTACCAAGATGTGGAGACTAACTTAGTTTATACGTAGCACTCGATTTTTTTCCCGATGCATATCTAGTTATCTCAAAATAAGGTTCCCAAGGAGCTTTTGTGTTAAAATTATACAGTGTTGCGTCATATAATGTCTGTTTTTCGTAGTTTGACGTTTATTCAGCCCTTGTGTTTGCATATTCTGAAAGATATAGGATTGCTGCACATGGTTTAAGTAATATAGTTTGTTTGTTAAACAGGGACAAGCCATTAACGTGATTTTATTTTTTTCGCTGTCAAACTGCGTGCATACTTTCACGTGGATTTCACAAACTGCGTGCCTAATATTTACAAACTGCGCGCCTATATTTACAAACTGCGCGCCTAATTTGCAAGCTGTGTGCAAGTTTGTTGTGTATTTTCAGAAAACGTAAACGCCACTCACTAAACCTGTCCCTATATAAAAAGAAACCAAAGTCTGACCCTAACAAAAATGTAAATAACAACGGCGCATCTTCAAAAACCATGACACCCCCTTCAGAATTAAACAAGATGTTATTTTAAAACGCACCAATGAAGAAAAGGAAACCAATCAAGAAACCAAAGAGGCGATTATTTAAAGGTACCAGTGACTCATTTGAAAAAACATTAAAAGACTGTGAAAACCTCTTGCCCGATGTCCCCTCAAACCTTAAAAGAAATAGTACATTGTGTCAACCCTTCCTCAATTTCTTTGGATTTATCAGGCTCGTATACTATACATGTACTGCAGTCGGGACATTCAAGTATTACTTCCTTTGGCATATGCTATAAAATAGACTCGGAACTATTGTATCCCCCAAAAATTCAAAGATTTAAGTGAAAAAGTTTTGAATTTCTGAATTTTTGCTCGTCATGCATGCATGGTCACTTATTTATGGTAAATAAAAAAAGATTCAATAAATATTTACACAATTTTTATGAACGAATTGTATTTATGTTGCACCATGCATCATGCACCATGTTAGTTTGAAATAAAGTAGTAAAATAGGCACTTCGGCACTTCGATGGGGACTAGGCGGGGGCCACCTGGGTGTCTTTTAGTAAGACCCCAATAGAACAAAACCATTTTCATGAGATTTTTGAACTCAACTCTATATGATGAAGTCGAATTATTGCATCAATTTTTTATTAAATCATATAGACAAGAACAAGATAAAATATAAATATGCACATTTCCAATGGTTGTCAACCATCAACCCAATTTTAGTTTTTGATTTATTTGAACCTTTTCAATCTCTACCTTTTCAACTTACTTACGTACTCCCATGAAATCACATAGGCCTGCATTACTGATAAGTCATCGATAATATGCACGCAGTTTGGAAGAGTAGGCACGCAGTTTGTGATTTCTGGCTAAAATAGGCGCGCAGTTTGTGTTTTATTACTTCTTTCTGTCATGTTCATCTGTTTTAATACGAAATATTTTGTATTGTACGGGAAAACTGGGTTGAGATTTACCTGTGAATCAAAACCCAAGTGTTTTATATTTCTGTGAAACGTGCGATATCAACTTATGTATCGGTGATCGAAAAATCGATGTCAATTTTTTGTATTAATCTGCTTATATTTTTAAACCTACGTTCATCTGGACATACATTTCGCTATCACATGGTTGAATCATATAATCGCCACCGAATGGACGTGTTGAACTATAAAACAATTCAGAATAAATGTCTTAAAATGACGTTTGAAAACACAGACTCCAACTTTTATGATGCAATGTTGATAGGCGCGCAGTTTGTCAGTCTTTCAAACTGCGTGCATAGTAGGCAAGCAGTTTGGCTACCGCACCGTGATTAGGTGCAAATATGCCTCTGTAGGGTCTGAATTATATCTGATGTAAGTCAAAACTCCAAATAATTTAACTCTTCGGTTTGTCAACATCTATTGCTTCTCATGCAATTTTCTATGCTCAATTAAAAAAGACATTATGGCAAGCTGAAATATGATTAATTAAAAGCTCAGAAATTATTATCATAAATGTATTCCATTGATTATTGTTAACTTTAATGGACTAGTTGATTAGTGGTGAATTAAAAATGGTCAATTGGTATTTGATTTATCAAAGATTACATTGTTCATGAAATATGGTGACTTTTTGAATTGAATGGCCATATTGAACATTCCTTTTCAAATTCCAGGTTGTTCAATAAGTTCACGGAAAAATGCTCTCATTTTAAAATCTTTTGATATTTTCTCATGAAATTTTCACATAATGTGTAAACAAAACATTTTTTTATTGATTCAGTAAATATCAGCTTCTCTAATGTGATTGGTCAAACATAATGGTTACTATGGTAACTAGACTTTTGGGTAGGTGGGACCCTTTTTATGTTACATATTATTCAAAAGTATAACAGAATAGTAAGCAAGTTAATGAGTGTATCACATGCATTTTCTCATCTCCGCTTTCTATGTGAGGATGATATAACTTAATGTAATAGTCGTAACTATTGTCCCATAAGGTCCTAGATGGACACAGCTGTATGTCTCAGACCTTGACAACAGCGGAATACATGTAGATACAGAAATATATGTTCAACCCCCTAGATACACTACATATTCTTTTCTCCTTTTTTATTTTTCTCTTTTATATCTTATTGAACTCTACAAACAATACGATAATGTGACCTCAAAAATAGAAAGAAGTCAATGTCCTCATGTACATGTAGTGTACTTTGAACCTCAGGTATGGGATACATACTTTTCAATATTACCTACCTATTGATATATTTAAAGTGGGTCTTGACAGGTTCAAGTTTATCAATATGTCTGCCTTAGATAACAAAATGCTATATATGTGCAACCTTGCCTTTTCTGAATTGCTACTTAATATTGTCAAATAAGTCCTGACATAGCATACAGTATAACCCATCAGTTGGATCAATGTTTTTTCTTTCTATGAATGTCCTGTTATATGTTTAAAGGCCCCATATAAAGTGTAAACCACTTAATATCATTATCTTACCCAATGTTTTCAAAATGTAGTTTGTGAATCTTTTCAATCTAATTTCAAAAGCTTGATCTTTAAGGACTTTTTGTTAAAAAATTGTGAGTTTCTTCAAATAAAATTTCAGTTGCCACACATATACAAACATACACAGATACATCGGAATCTATTTTTGTTGAGAAATTAAGAAAATTGGTTGAACAATAAGCAAGAATTTGAAAGAGTGGTTCAGAGAAAAAAGCATTTTGATATTAAAAATGATGAGAAATTAAAATATTTTAAAATTATAAGATGAATAACTATTTTTTCAAATCACAATTTTCAAATCAACTGAAACAACTGAAAATATTATAACTAATATGGATTAAAAGCATTTAACAAATTATTCATTTATATCATACTCAATGTCTGAATTAGATTTATTTTAGATCTAATGCACTCAGATTTTCAATCTATGCAAGTAGGTTACATTTTGACCTTTTTTATGAATTCGTGTCATACAGAATTAGGTTTGGATTACTGTACTTAATGAACACTTGAGGTGATATGAAATGGTTTCAATAACTATAACTTTTTATCTAAATATGAAACACTTATCCAATTTAAATCCAAAATTGATAAAAATTTATATCATTTCAAATGGGTTTAAAGGTTGAAAAATCATATTACAGAATGCCAATGTATTGGTTCGGCATGAAAAATGAGATAAAACACCAGTCAAAACCAGTTGACATGTTGACCAGTTAACATTTATAGCACAGTTGAAATACCGTATTCTCTTTAAATTGGTCAGTTATAGACATGAATTGTTTTAATGCAATAAAAAATAAAAATAATAGAGGCATAAACTCCAATAAATGCACACCCTACTTTTCCAAAAATGACATTGGCAATTTAATTTTGAAAAAAATATTTGGCGATAATAGGGTTATTTGGACTTAATTCACTTATCGCTAGCGACTGAGCTGTTTTTTGCAAAAGTTACAGACATGGTTCTAGAACTTTAAGACATTTATGATACATAGCCTTAAAGTGGTGACTAAAAAGCTATAATGAATGTTAATTCTGACAAAAGCCTGGGTCGTCATTTATTCCTTTATAATCATGTAGTAGTATTATTATCATCAAATTTATTTTATCTGTCTTTATGAAGTCCAGTCAGTAACAAAAAGCCTTTGGATTTTGGCCCAGGTATCGCCATTAATTTTCAAAATGGCAGTCTGCACAATGTACAAATGAATGTGAAGGAAATATTTTCATTGATATTAAATGATGCATATATGTCCATTGACCTACTAAACATATTCCATGAAATGTTATCGCCGATATATTTACCTTTCGAAAATCAGCTGGAGTTTGTAATTTAAGACTCCTATGTATATGAGAATTTGGGAGGCACACTGTGCATTCATTAGAGAGAATATGGTAGGTGAGAATGAGCCTAATTAATTGTATGTTATCAAGCAGGCTACTTCAGGCACTTCATAATAAAAAGGTACTGAATATCATTATGGCTAAATTGTGTGTTTCGAAAATATTTTATAGAAAATCAACAACCTTAACTTATAAAATTTCCTTTGTCAGAAGGAGTTAAAAGAAGCCTCTGTTATCTTGTTCAATATGAATATGAGGAATGGTACAGTAGCTTAATAGTAAATATAACAGTTTACCCTTCGTACCCTTCTATAATGCCATTGGGAGATTGAAGGGATACTAGTATATAATGTAATATCTTGTAATGAAATAAATATATTTTAATAAAAAATTGAAAAAAAAGTTTACCACTTTATTCATGCAGTCAGGACATGGTATCTGGAAAGTGTAGTCTACCCCTTGAAATGACTCCGCAATCAGACCCTCCAGGACTTCATGTATTAAGAACAGAACATTTTCTGGTTGGGGCCCCCTTACAATCACAGACAGATCCTTGTCACTGCAAAAACAATCATGCAGGTCATCCCTCATAACAACAGTAACATGAAGGGAACCATTATGAGTAACAATACATGTACGGTAGTTGCTTAGATGCTATTGCAGTATAATTTTAAACTACCAATTACAGTCACTCAGATGCGAGTAGGTAGGTGGCTAATTCATGGAAAATAACATCGCAGAGTATTACAAAATTCCCTCAAACTTGAATATTGATCTGTTTTAGTGGTTCACATTTCATATTACCCTTATGTATCTGATAGTTATACAAATTAAAATATGTCCAGAAAAAGAAAATATTATCTGCCCAACACAAGAAAAGATATTTCACGTTTTGTGATTTTACAACATGGGGTCTATGGGGAACCCCCCCCCCCGGCCTACGTAGAAGTCACATTTTCAAATTAAATTAAATTTTCAAAGTTGATGAACTCATTTTAAAGCCACATTCCTAGATGTAGATTCCAAATATGACATCAGATTGACTGAATCCAGGGACTGAATTTTGAATTATTGACGTAAATCAAGATTACTTCTCCTTGAATCTAGTCTATTAATTTTGAATTTTGGGTGTGGTTACAGTTATAACAAAAATTTCTAAATAATGATAAACATGTTTAACATACTGTGTTATCAAAGCTGTGTGGTTATTCTTGTTCAAAATGGAACCTCGTTTCCATATTGCAGCTTTGTTTGAAAACTGGAAGAGACGAACTTGGACTCTGTTGAACAATCCGGTTGGCAGATATGTGAACTGATACACCATCTTCATCTCACGTGTCCCAGGGACCTCGTCCTTTGGAGGCCACTCAAACTGAAATCACATTTTTAAACTTTGATTTGATATACCCAAAAGTTTATAAAATGTAAAACATGTGTTTAAAGAAAATTAAAAACTCCAAAATAGCTGTCAGAACCGATAATGGTCACACTAAAGTTAGTCAGTTGTAAAATAAGGTTCCATGCCACATGTCTGAGAATTTAGAGGAAATCAGATAAGCAGTAATCCAGGAATTCTGATGAAAAACTGAATGGCATCACAATCATAATAAAGATTGCACAGCCATTATGATGACTATATTGCATGACTGGTGCAAACTAATATTCAAAATACAATACAATTGGTATGTAAATTTGAACGACCCTTAGTTCAAGAACTTATTTTCCTGGAATGTACTAAAAACCCTTCGACCCTTCGACCTACGACTTACAGCGTGTCAAGAATTTTTGAAATATATTTTTAGAAAAACCCTTCGACCTTCTAGATATTTCTCAGTCCATATGAAGTTGCTGGAAATATTACTTTGTGTATAGAACTTAAGAATCTGTCCCAAGAGAGTTAAAGATATTTAAAGCTGGACTCCGATCGGAGCCGGCGATATGATTTTGGAAAGGTTTCTAAATGAAGAACGTGACGTCACTTCTGAATCATAGCATTCAAAATAAGTAGCGTTTAATTACTCCCACCATTCACATTATCACGGTGGTCCAGCGGTAGAATGCTCGCTGAGTACGCGGGAGGCCCCGGGTTTTAGTAAAAAAGTAAAATAAGACTTTAAAATAGAGGCCACTTTTCAAAATGGCCACCTGGCCAATGTGCCATACTTATGAGTATCAACATATCAAATGTGAAAAAATAGGTCCACTACTTTTCAAGTTAATATGCAAAATAACACACACTAAGTTAGAAGCCATTTTTCAAAATGGCTGCGTACTTGCCAAAGTGTCATAAGATAGTGTCCCATGCTTATGAGTTTTCACAAATTATATATGCAAAGATCGCTCCATAGCCTATTACTCTTCCCAGTTACAGCAACTTAGAATTTTGACACACATCAAATTGTCCGCTATTTCCAATTCTGATTGAACGAAATGCGATGGTACCTTCAGACCCTTGGGTTGCCATTTGGAAGTGATTGTGTTTTCTGATTTGCTTAAAATCTTGCAAGCAAAGGGATGCAAAACAAATAAGCTAATTCTCATTGCCTATAGTCTAAATTAGTGTGTTTGTTCATTTCCCGCCTGCCGGGCATAGAAGATAATCATTCATTTTCAGTTATTCATGTTCTTTCTGGTCAAATATAGAGAAAAGTACTTCTCCATTAATCATGAAAATTATTTCTTAAATTATCGGTCAACTGTACTAAAAACCCTTCGACCTACGACCCTTTGACCCTACGACTTACTGGGTGTCAAGAATTTTTGGAATATATTTTATTGAAAAACCCTTCAACCTCTGATTTCCCAGTCCAGTTGATTACGTATAGTTCCAACTTGAGCTCCCTGTGTACGCAAATACGCATTTTACCTGGTAATTGTCAAGCAAAAATGTTTCAGTAGAAAAATTTCTAAAAAAGTTTGTCTACACAGCAAAAATACGAACGCCGAAAAAAAAACGTATGCATTTCGTTCGGACTTTTCACGCGAATTACGTATATGTCACGCATTGTGTTCGAAATTTTTCGTCTTATTTTACTTTTTTACTAAAACTTGAAAAGTAGTTGAACGATTTTGAGATCAAAAGTTCGATGGGATTTGCTCCACCTCACGTTGCTGTTATCTAGTTCTGAAATGTTTCATATCTATGTCTAATAAATATAGTTGTATAGATGTGTTTGTAATAACCTTTATGCCCTTAAAATGTATATATTCAGGGGGGGACATTCGTGGGTTCAAGTGGACCACTCCATTGGCCAAATATTCTCTCAAAATCAGTACAATTTTCACGATTCTGAGCATTTTCAAGATTTCTGGGCCACTTGAAAATTGTCAAATGTTCACCCCTTGATCCTTTTGAAAAACTTAAATTGGCAAAAGCTGGTTATACGAACCTGATATGACCTAGCTTGCAAGCTTTTTCTTGACGGTTTGTGTTTATTTTCCTTGTACCCTTGCATGCTTTGGATTTTGTAGGATGCAAAACAAAGAATCTACTTATTTAGTTGGCATTAGATTCTTAACTATACAAATCCAAATTGAATCAAAGTTGATAAAATCAAAAGACGGTTCTCTTTAGACTACATAAAAAATTTGACCTGAAAATATGCACGATGCGCCACTGTTACAATGTGATGGGAAAAGCACAAATATTTTTACTGAGGAGGTAAGAAACGTTCACATTCGAATGTGCTTGAATACATTAAACCTGCACATCGCTCCAAAACGCAATATGTTGACATATATTGTTTTTACATTTTCAAGCTCTAATATAAAGTTTATGTAAATAAAAATAATTATCTGCGTAATGTCAAAGAACAATCATTTAGTTAAAAAAAATAAAAAGGCGAATGCAGGTTTCGAACCCGGGCCTCCCGCGTGCTAAGCGAGCATTCTTCCGCTAGACCACCGTGATTTTATGAATGGTGAAAGTAATTAAACGCTACACATTTTGAATGCTATGATTCGGAAGTGACGTCACGTTCTTCATTTAGAAACCTTTCCAAAATCATATCGCCGGCTCCGATCAAAGTCCAGCTTTAAATATCTTTAACTCTCTTGGGACAGATTCTTAAGTTCTATACACAAAGTAATATTTCCAGCAACTTCATATGGACTGAGAAATATCTAGAAGGTCGAAGGGTTTTTATCAAAATATATTTCAAAAATTCTTGACACGCTGTAAGTCGTAGGTTGCAGGGTCGAAGGGTCGAAGGGTTTTTAGTACATACCTTAGTGAATTAAGCTTTTTAATGGTGTATAAAACATAGTGATTGGTCTTATATTTCTAGAGATATCGTAATTTCTAAAAATTTCGTGACATATACGTAATTCGCGTGAAAAGTCCGAACGAAATGCGTACGTTTTTATTTCGGCGTTCGTATTTTTGCTGTGTAGACCTAGGTGTAGACGAACGTTTTTAGAAATTTTTCTACTGAAACATTTTTGCTTGACAATTACCAGGTAAAATGCCTATTTGCGTGCACAGGGAGCTCAAGTTGGAACTATACGTAATCATTTAGTAAACTGGACTGGGAAATCAGAGGTCGAAGGGTTTTTCAATAAAATATATTCCAAAAATTCTTGACACCCAGTAAGTCGTAGGGTCGAAGGGTCGTAGGTCGAAGGGTTTTTAGTACATTCCTATTTTCCAAGCAAAATGGTAACATCTTGTTGATGAAAAGGCCACAGAAATGATGTCTAGTTTAGAATGTATCTACATGTTACCTTTGGTTCTTGTTCGGATAGGAGGCAAGGAACAATACTGACTGGCTCATCAGGCAGGGGGAATGTCAGGTCAAACTCTTCTGTCAGGCGTAGCAGCCACTCATGCATGTTAATCTTTTTTTGTCCTTTTCCTTTGCTAAAATAGAATTTTCATACACTGTATAATGGTCCTATTTTTAATTAATTTAATGAATTCAAAATATGGTTACCAAAAATACAAGTAGTGGCTGTACTTTCCAGTATTCATGGCAATATTTAACCCTAATGCCTGCAACCTTTTTTTATAACAAAAGTTGGAAAGAGGGGTCATTTGGACCCCCCTCTGTGATTTTTATTACTTGTCTGATTTCATTATAATTGGTATTGTTGTAAACCTTATTCAATTACCTCTTCAGAAAAGTTTTATTTTCTTAAAAAAGTAGGTCAATAAAGGTCAAGTTGAGGTCAACGTGACCTAAGGGGTGTAAATTTTTGATATTATGTGATAAAATGTCAATTATCTTTCACAATAAATTTTTGTGCAAAAAATGCTTCGCTGCCTTAAAGGATAATCTATTATCTTTCAAATAATACTAAAATCATGGTAAAAGCTTTTCTAGAAGTTACACACTTACAAAGATAGCAGGTATCGCGAAATCCCATTGAAATCAATGTAACGTGAAATTGAGTCTGCAATTTCAAGTTCAACTTGTTTTTGTCTTTAGCATGTATATTTCAAGATGTATAACAAATGCCAATAAGTGATTTAGTATGCAGATGTATGAATATGTGACTTGGTATTTTTTCAATAAAATTTTGGTCGATGATGTTGCCTAGCAACCACCTAGCAATGGCACAAACATCGAAATAGTGAAATTTGGGGTAAAGGAGAATAAAAAAATCATATTAAAATTTGGAAGAAGGTATCATCATAATTCTGATACCACAGTGTGCATAGACATTTAGGAATATGCAAAACAAATACAAAGGTATTCATAAAGTAGTTTTTTTAAAACCCGTTTTTCTCTCAAATTCAAAAAGAGAACACGTTTCGAGACTACATGTACTTGGCAATTTACAGTTTTTTACATTTAAAAATTCATAACACAGTCAATAGTGGCTCGATGTTCATGAAATAAAGCATATTGGAAAGAAAATCTAATATGCTACATGTAAATCATTATCTGTCAAACAAAGCAATAATCATCTTTTTGTATTTTCCTAAGCATTAGAAACAAAGTAACAATCAATATTTCATGGATTTCAATTTTATTAGCATCAAGTTCCAACTATCATAACCTTGCCCCTCTACCCCAAATCACCTTGGTTTTTATGCCAAAAAGTGTCTTATACATTGTATCGTTGGCTCAGGCTAAGGCATAAATCTATGCATGGTCTGCTAATGTTAGCAACACGCGATTGTAGCGTGAGAGCATGAGCTAGATAACCTATGAAAATAATCATCGGTTTCAAGTTACATTTGTGAAGGTGATTGATTAAAAATACTGTGACGAAATTGTGATTTTCATTTTTGTTTGATTTTGTATTTTGAGTCAGTCGGCTCATTTGGAGAGTGAGATGACTCATGCATGTACCATTTAGAGATGAATTTGCTCTGCTGCCGAGGGAACCCCTGGAGTAGAATGGTACAACCTGTATGAATGGAATGTTAGCTAGACAGAAGAAGAAAGGTCAACAGGATGCCTGGATTATGGCTCATGAATATTACCCAGAATGCAACACCAAATGGGATAAGCAAAGCAATCCAACCAATCAGAGGGTTTCCCGACGCATATAATTAGTGAAGTGAGATAGGACAGAGTGTGGCCTGATGTGCGCAGTCTAGCTTTTTGTGTCGAAGTATCAAGAGCTGTATAGTGATTCTAGGGATGATATAGCCGGAAGGTGATGGAACAAACTGTTTTATGATGGAATATTGAAGCATTCGAAGGCATTGAAGAAGCTGAAGGATTCCAAAGTGGAGAAAGGACATTTTTGGAGTATATTTGCGTGTTGAACTAGCTGTTTTGTAGGACGATTACAAACAGTAAGTTATTGGATTATTAGCTGCTTGTGTGTTGGCGACCGGATCTAGGATTGGCAGAGATATATTCGTGGATTATATAAGTTGCAGTCTAGAGGCGCCTTGGAGACACCTTGCAGAGTTGCAGTTTGTGAGTGTTGATTGATTTATGTTGTTCCTTTCTCTGATAGATTTGATGTATTGATCCATTTGTTCAGCGTAGCCATTTTGTGACTTCATTTCTTCTTCGTCTTCTTCCCATAATTCATTGCGTGTCCGCCATCTTGGATAACTTCCGGGAGGCGAGTGACTCTGGTCTAATCTCAGTTTACTGATTGACATTCCTGAGTTATCTCGCCCAGAGCTGTTGTGATCTTGTTGAGAGACGTACTTACTCCCACATATGTGTGTGAGTTGGGTCTAATCTCATCCTTGATTGAAATTCCCGACTCATTTCACCAGAGTGGCGATTCGGAGCGAGAGGAGCTCCCATTGACGTGTATTGACTACTCCCAGGAGAGGGACAACTCTGAGAGAGAGTGTGTTCCTATTGATGAGAGTTGGCTACTTCTGAGAGGTGACGACTTAGAGCAAGTGTCTTCTATTGAGGTGGTTAGCTGTATCTAGGGAGAGAGAGTGACAATTAGGAGCAAGAGTGCTTCCCCCTACGTGATCTGATAAGTCTCAGTAGAGAGACAACTTCGACCAAGAGGTGACTGACCATTGAGGTGGCTGACCTGCTAGCACAGAGGCAGAAATCTTGGGTCTAATCTCATCTTTGATTGATATTCCTGACTTCTTCTGTCTGGAGCTAGAATTCTCCCATTGAAGGTGATTTCCACCCCTGCAGCAGAGCTGACAGGTAGAACCAAGCAGAGCAGGCAGAGCCGAGTAGATCAGACAGGCAGAGCTGAGCAGAGCAGAGCCGAGTAGAGCAGACAGGTAGAGCTGGGCAGAGCAGAGCCGAGTAGAGCAGGCAGAGCAGAGCAGGTAGAGCCGAGTAGAGCTAACAGGCAGAGTCGTGCAGAGCCGACAAGCAGAGCAGAGTAACCTAGACAGCTGTAGCAGAGCAGAGCTGACAGGTAGAGCAGAGTAGACTGGCAGAGTAGAGAGCAGTAGAGAACGAGCAGAGAAGACAGGCAGAGTCGAGCAGAGCTGACAGACAGAGCCGAGTAGAGCAGACAGCTGGAGCAGAGCAGAGTAGACAGCAGAGCAGGCAGAGCAGAGACAGACAACTCGGAGTCAGAGTGTTGATTCTCAGTGTATATAGAGATATTTATATTTGAGTTGTTGAGCCATAAAGGCATTTGAGCACATTTGTGAAATTTATTGTTATATTATAGTGTTCAAAAGATTATTAAAATCCCGTAATTGATTGTTTTGTATATTCCTATATTCTCCATCTCCTAGCTCAGTGACAGCCGAAGCACCAAACTAGCTCGGCGCCTGTGAGAAACACCTCCGAATCCCTTATCATCGCCACCAGACCTTCTCCGAGGGAGTACGGGTACTCGGCGGGAGTCTGGCGCGCGACAATACCATACAAAAAGATCTTCAAGTTAATTTTTAACTCAACTTTAAGGTATGGAATATTTTCAAGAACAACTTAAAAGGAGAACTTAAAAGAGTTCAATGTCAATCTGCAATATAAGTTATTGAATGATTTGAAGTGCAATACAGGATATATTCTGCTTGAGAATTCCGTATTGGCACTCAAATTCGTCTCGTTCCAAAACAGAATTCTCGAGAACGAGACGAAGTCAAGTGCCAATACAGAATTCTCGAGCAGAATATATCCTGTATTGCACTTCAAATCATTCAATAACGTTTTTATCGTGTGATCGATTGTCCCCTCCGTACCGATATTTTCTGTATTGCGACGGAGATGATCAACGGGGACAATCTCAGTAGCAATACAGCCTGGTACAGCACAAGAACTGACCAATCAGAGGGCTTCATTTTACAGATCATACGACAATCAAATATATTGCTTAATAAGTGGAATACAATGAGCAAAGCAGTGATTATACATACTCAAGTGCAATAAAATCACTAGGGAAGGGCATTTGTACTGAAGGGAGTGTTTTCGGTATATTTTTAAGGACATTTTTAAGTACAAAAATGCACTGAAAAATGTACTGATTTTTGAAAGCAATTTTAAATATAATATATATTTAAAATTGCTTTTAAAAGTCAGTATATTTGATGAACTGAAAAATATATATTTAAAATTGCTCTTAAAAGTCAGTGTATTTTTCAGTACATCTTTGAACTTAAGAATGTCCTTAAAAAGTCAGTATATTTTTTGGTACATTTTTACCTAAAATGTTCTTAAAAAGTCACTACATGAATATTTTTCAGTGCATTTTTGTACTTAAGAATGTCCTTAAAAAGTCAGTATATTTTTTGGTACATTTTTACCTAAAATGTTCTTAAAAAGTCACTACATGAATATTTTTCACTACATTTTTGTACTTAAAAATGTCCTTAAAAAGTAGTCAGTATATTTTTCAGTACATATGTCTCAATTTTAGAGTTCCTGATCAAGATGTCTAGAATTACACACACCTTGATTGCAAATAGAAGGGAGAAAGGAGCCCCCCTCCCCCACCCTATAAATTGCTTGCTACGTCAGTGTATCGAGTAAATGTTCCAATACAAATGAACAATTGTTAATACAAGTGATTCTTCTGATTCTAAAACAGTTAGCAGATAAACCCGGATCTCTTAAATTGGTATATATATCTTTAATCAGCATATGTTTCAGCATGTGCACTAAAGATATTAAAAGCCCATGGTTTCAGTACATTTTTGTAATTAAAAATGTCCTTAAAAGTCAGTATATTTTTCAGTATATTTTGTACTTAAAACGCCCTTAAAAAGTAAGTTCATTTTTCAGTATACTTTGTACTTAAAATGTTTTTAAAAAGTCAGTATATTTTTCAGTACATGAATATACTGAATTTTGTACTTAAAAAGTCAGTATATTTTTCAGTACATAAATATACTGAATTTTGTACTTAAAAAAGTCGGTCCATTTTTCAGTACAAATATGTATGCTGAATTGCTGATGTACTTACGAATGAATTGCATTTTTCAAAAGTGTTTCCGGCCACACACGCTTCAAGTCACGATGTTGAAAGCGTCCATTTTTGATTGGTGATTGTTTGACAGACACCACACATGACATGGCATCCACGATCCATTGAGGGTCAATGACGATGCAATCTCGCAGGTAATCATTGTCAAAGTATTGCACGGTTCCCAGGAAAGTCAGGAATGTGATAGCCTCTTTCATCTAGATAATATAAAGGGAACATTGTTTCATGATTATAATGAGCACAATTTACAAGTGGTATAACAGACATGTGACTTGAAATAGCATTGAAAAGTGAATGAATGCTACGACTGGTCAAAATGTCAAAATTGAAATATGGATCAGTTTTCTAGTTATTTTGTTATGCAGGCTGATGAGCTGAAGATTATCAAAACAAATTGCTCAAAAATCACACCCCCAGTACCACTGCCATCCATTGTATCAGAACTTAATGTGAACACTTAAAATACCAGTTCACACCAGCAATGCTTCATTCAGACAGGTTTAACTGTACATGTACTTTGAAACTAAAATGAGATAACACTGAGATCCCTACTCACATCGTCATGTTCATAGATGCCACACTTTGTGCCAAGATTTAATTCCTCCATTGCATTCCATGTGATCACAGTCTTCTCCTTGGAGAGTCTGATCATCTCTTTCTCAAGGTCTAGCCAGGCTTGTGGGATCTTCTCTCCCATATAAGGCTGCTTCATCGTCTCTGTCATCAAATCATCCTTCAGTTTACTTATACCCTGCAACATGAGAAGAGATTGTCTTTACTCTATATACATAATACAGTAATCTCCCAAGCATCAAAGCAAGTGGGCGCAGTACCCACCTGAGATTTTGAAAATAAGCTTGGATCCACCTGAAAATCCATTTGAACCCAATTGAAAATGAGAAAAAAAATCATGAAAAATGACTTTGTTCAACTGGCAATGATTCAACAGAAATTGATTAGAATTTAAAAACATAGATGGCATTACAGTCCTTCCTCCCATTAAAACCATTTACACATATAAATAATCAGCACGTTTTGACCAATTTTGGTCTGAGTTATGCAGTAGAGATAATTTTTGAAAAACAACATTTCAATGATTCAAAATGTGTTCACGTTTGATACATTTCACTGTACTATACACAAATATATATCGAGGTCATTGGATTCCAGGACAGTATACTTTCAACAGTTAAAGCATTTGGATTGAGTTTTCAAAATCATGGGACATTTAAAAGTGTTCATGCTTTGTTGCATGATGATGGTTGTTTTTCCGGTGCCTTGTCATGGAAGTAAAATATTAATGTATCCTCTTGATGCAGGCTATAATAGCAGACTTATGAACATGTTTAAACTCGGCAGAATGCTCATTAAGGCCAACCACCAGATCACATTTGTTGTTTCCGACAGAATGAAAGAAGATGCTTTGTTTAAATTGGCAGAGGGAGGAAAAGTGGATTCTAACCTTAATGTAATCAGCTATAAAACTCCACCAGTGGATCCGACAGTAATGCACGTGAGTACTGAGAACCAGGACTTTCTTGAAGCATTGATCATAAGGGACTTTGCACAGACTTTGAATCTTTTTGGTCAAGCATTAAGTATTGCACTGAATAGCACACTTCAGGATAAAACTGTCATTGACCAATTGAATGCACAACAGTTTGACCTTATTATTGCGGATGAATTTTCACTGTATCCAAGAGTCATTGCTGCAGAAAGAAACATTCCGATCATATTGTATTGCAATTTTGGCCCCATGTCTTCTGATTCTGATATCATTCCGAGGTACAGTTTGGCATATGTAAATGCAAATTTCAATAGATTCAGTGATGTTATGACATTTCTTCAAAGGCTGGAAAATGTATGGGATTATCTAAAAATTCAATGGGAAATGTCTGGTATCTACACATTAGCAGAAGCTGTTTGCCAAGAACATGGTTACGGGAAGTCTTGTGACAATATCAGGGGGATCCACAAGACTGTTAACCTTGTGCTCATGAACAGAAATGATGTTACTTATTACCCTGCACCCTATATGCCACATATTATTTCCTCAGAAGGGTTCTTCCTTGATAAACCAAAACCTTTGGATAGTTACTACACAGATGTTATAAAAAGGTCAGGAAGAGATGGTATCATCGTGGCTAGCTTTGGGTCAATGTTCCGGAGATTAGCACCGAAATATCGCACCATTTTTGCTGAAGCATTTTCTAAAATGCCGCAAACTGTAATATGGAGCTACGAAGGTGAAACACCAGAAGGTCTTGGAGATAACACAATTGTTTCAAAATGGATTCCTCAAACTGATCTACTGGCAAATCCTGCAGTTAAACTGCTCATAACACAGTGCGGGGCTTCTTCATTATTTGAGGCATTAAACTGTGGTCTTCCTGTTGTTGCGATTCCCTTTATTGGGGACCAGGAGTACAATTGTCTTAAACTTGCGGACAGAGTCAAATCAGCCAAGTTTGTCAAGTTGAAAACTATTACGAGTGAACAACTACAAAGTGTAATGGAAGAGGCTATAAATGATAAAACATACAGAGCAAATGCAAGGAAAGCCACATCAATATATCATGACCAACCCATTGATCCAAGAAATAAAACATTGTTTTGGATTGAGTATGTCATTCGCCATAAAGGAGCAGCACACTTGAGATCAGCTGGGGAAAATCAGCTGAACTTTTTTCAATATTATCTTCTCGACATAGCTGGATTAGTTGCAGTCATTTTGTTTACTGCTTTGATAAGTTTGATTGTGATCCTGAAAGCAGTAATTAATTGCTTGCTAAAAACTTTAAAACATAAAAAGGACTAAATTCACATTTTAAAGACAATATGTAATACTTCACATCTTGATGTCATTATTACTTTTAGAGGTACTGTACTCCAACTTATATCCGATAGTATTAAATTTCTTGTTTCAAAGCTATTATATTTAACTTATTTTCAGTTTTTAATTTACAACTATTGGAATTTCGCAGCTATTATATTTTGCTTATCCAAACCTTTGAAACAGTGCAATATATAGTTGTACGCAAAAAATACCAGGAGTACAGTTTATCATAAAATGATAAAATAACAATCACTTATTAAAATGGTTGCCCTATTTTTCAAAATATGATCTTTGACTAATCAGCATCATTATAAGATAATTAATAAAAACCATTTTAGTCAATACTAAAATGGTCTCGAAATGATATATATTAAAAACTGCTGAGATAACAAAACTTGTATTTGTAATCATATTCATATGGGACATTTACAAAAGTACACAAATTGATAACTCTCTCATATATAGCCACATAAATTATTGTATTCTTATCTGGCGAAGAGCAACTAAAGCTTTAGTGTTTCAAATTCTGAAAGTACAAAAAAGATTCTAAAGACTGATTACAAACAGTGCTAGAACAGACGATTCCTCTCCACAATTTAAGAAAATAAAGATACTTAAATTAGTAGATATTCACAAGCTAAATGTTGGTATTTTTGTATTTAATTGTCTTGAACGACCAAAAGAATTTCCTCACTACAGTACTTCATATCAAATGCCCAAACTCATGGACAGGGACACGTTACAGATTCAATCTTAGATCTAATCAATTTAAATCCACATTTGGACAAAGGACCATTAAATACAGAGGACAGACAACATGGAATGAATTACCTGAAACTTTTACACATCTAAATTCTAGAAATAAGTTAACCCCCCTGTCACACCAAACTAGTTCTTACCCGTTCTTGCCAGTCCTACGCAAAAGTCATAAAACGGGCTCAATCTGGCTGTGGTCAGGAAATATGTCTAAAATAATTAGCTACTTCGTTCATAAAAAGTCTTCAATACGTCCATCTCATTCGCAGTTCGTTCAGGTCGCACCAGGTCGGTGTGCAACGTCATATAACGCGTCCCTTAGTCTAGAAGGTCATCATGACCTGATTACAGAACGGTATGGTCGCCATCGAATTTTGAATCTATTCAAAATTCTAACATCACCTTCCCGTCTGAGAACGTTCATGAAGTTCGTAAATAGACCTTAGAAAGTTGCAGCTACGTTCATTCCGTTCGCACACAGTTTAAAACCAGTTTTGAAGAACACAGTAGCAACTTGTTTGGTGTGATAGCTATATTTTTGCTAACTCGTTCATAAGCAGTCTTAAATAAGTTCTTTATCAGTTTAAACCCGTTTGCAATTAGTTCTACCCCTTTCTCAATACGTCCTCAGACAGTTCAACACGTTGTTAAAACGTCCCTAGTAGGATTGAAGTACGACGGTTCCATTTGTAGTACGTCCAGCTCGTCGTTAGTACGTTGTCACTTATTCTAATTGTAGAACGTATCAACCACCAGAACATTTTGAGCATGTTCTAAGTTCTAGGGGACCTACCCATTCGAGTACGTTCGATAAAGTTTGTATATGGACCCCAAACAGTTCTAGGTATGTCCAGTCCGTTCGTACACAGTTGAAGGCCGTTTTCGAGAACATAGTAAAAATAGTTTGGTGTGATAGTAGGGTTAAGTCAGATTTAAAAAAGTATTATCTACACACGTATTAAATTAAACTGTATAACATTTAGCTATATGTGCTTTGCTCTGTCAAAATCGCCAATTTCTCGGAAACCGAGCGAACTTGAGAAATGGCGATGATAGGTCAAATAGGCATTATGGATATGCATAAAATGAATGTGAATATGACTCTATACGAATAGCAGTTTTAATTTGTGCAGCCAATGATACTTTTTGTCAAATTTTATAGAATAACCAGAACAACGGCAACGCCAAAGCGTAGCGAATCCCATCGAACATTTTTCAAAAGGGGCACCTTCTACCAAAAGTGTCATTAGACAGTGTGCCATGCTTATAATATTCACATACCAAATATGAACAAAATCGCTCTACTACTTTTCGAGTTATAGTAAAATACGTTAAAATGGTGGCCATTTTGAAAAATGGCCGCCTTCTACCAAAAGTCTCATTAGACAGTGTGCCATGCTTATAGTATTCACATACCAAATATGAACAAAATCGCTCCACTACTTTTCGAGTTATAGTAAAATATGTTAAAATGGCGGCCATTTTGAAAAATGACCGCCTTCTACCAAAAGTGTCATTAGACAGTGTGCCATGCTTATACGTATTCACGTACCAAATATGAACAAAATCGCTCCACTACTTTTCGAGTTATAGTAAAATAAGTTAAAATGGCAGCCATTTTTCAAAATGGCAGCCATTTTTCAAACTGTCTGCCATTTTTCAAAATGGTCGCCTTCTTCCAAAAGTGCCATTAGACAGTGTGCCATGCTTACAGTATTCAAATACCGAATATGAACAAAATCGCTCCACTACTTTTTGAGTTTTAGTAAAATAAGTTAAAATGGCGGCCATTTTTCAAAATGTCTGCCATTTTTCAAAATGGCCACCTTCTACCAAAAATGTCATTAGACAGTGTGCCATGCTTATTGTATTCACATACCAAATATGAACAAAATCGCTCTACTACTTTTCGAGTTACAGCAAAAATCGTAAAATAACGAGTAAAGGCGGCCATTTTTCAAGATGGCTGCCATGTGCTTTTTTAATATCTACATTTCTAGCTTTATTAATGTCCTATATATTTTTTTTTACATTTAAAACATATTGCTATTACAGTTTTACATATTGCACCTAAATTACTGTAAAATCTGCACTAAAATGGCAGCCATTTTTAAATGAGTGGCCATTTTGAAAATCGGCTTTCGAGCAGAACTTTTACCCCCATAGGCTATATGTGTACAAAATATGAATAAAATCGGGCCAACGGTATTTGAGTTATTGCCCGGACGGACGGATGTACGTACAGACGGATGGACGGACGGACGGACGGAGGCGTTCCCTATATCCCTCCGAACTTCGTTCGATGGGATAAAAACCAAAAACTGTAATTTCAAGAGTTACATATACAGCAACTAGTACAAGTTAATTGAAAGTTCTACTTCAACAAAGTGTATAGTATTTACAGAAAATTTGACTTTTTGACGTCAAAAGCAGCAATTTCTCGGAAACCGGGGAACTTGGGGAACTTGGGAAATGGGAAACCGCGATGATTAGGTCAAATAGGCATTATGGATATGCATAAAATGAATGTGGATATGACTCAATCTGAATAGCAGTTTTAATTATGTGGCCAATGTTTTTTTGTTTTTTTTATAATAAATTTATTTCTGATTTCATAAACATATCAATACAAAACAGTGCATTTGATACATAATACAGTATAGAAATATACATGATATAAAAAGATATAATAGGATTCAGAGATAAACATTTATTTGAGGATCGTTGAAAGCCATTTAACAAAATTAATTAAGCTCACTATCAATCACTGAAAATAGATGTTTATAACATACAATATTTCTACATATCACTAAGTTTAGATCAATATTTTTCCATTTATCAATTTATTCTGACAATTAACACCACTTGGTGTAAATTGCTAAATAGATTATTGTAATAAGAATGTTTCTGAAGTGGGTTATGTTGTTTCCTAAAGGCCAACCAATAATTAAATGTTTATATTTGATATGACATTTTAGAATCTGACTAAATTTTCCCCGGGGGGTTCACTGTGTACAAAATTTGGTGGGGGTCCTAGGCTGAACCCTCAGATATCAATATATTCCCATACCAAAATGTCTAATTTGGATGTGTTCCCATACCAACCAATATAGTGTCCGAAAGCCATACCAAATGCCTAAATATGAGACCAATGCCATACCAAATGTCTAAATACAGGACCAATGCCACACCAATGCTATGACTGGTCCAAAGTAGAATATTTCCCAGGAAAAAAGCTAATATTCAATCTGAAGAAGGTCCCAAGAAGAAGGTGATTTTTAAGGAAAACATTCCAAAACAACCTCAAATTTAAGGAAATGTGTAACGACTAGACCAATGCCATACCACAAGTGTGAGATAACATATTTTCCATGACCATTCTCATTCCAGAAAATGGAAAAATGTGACCATTGCCGTACCTCAAAAGTCATAATGTGGGGGCATTTTCATACCAGATCTTAAAATGTGGGTCCATTGCCATACCAAATGTCAAACAAGAACACAAATGTGTACAAAATGTCCCCACCAATGGGTGATCCCGTCTAATGGTTATCTTGAAAATGGGTAAACAAGACTTAATTTGAGGATGGAAAATCCAAAATGGCGACCTTAAAATTTACCCAGAATGCCATGAAAATTTGAAATTGATCCATCACACAGTTAACCAGAAAACATGTAAACAAGACTTTACAGACAAGATTTTAGGATGGAAAATCCAAAATGGCTGCCTTGACATTTACCCAAAATGTAAAAAAACTAATCAGTTTGTAAATTTTCATACTAAAATTCATCCCTGAAAATATGAAATTGATCTTCCGAATGGTTCACCTGAAAACGCATAGACAAGACTTTACAAACAAGATTTTAGGACAGAAGATCCAAAATTGCTGCCTTGACATTTACGAAGAATGCCAAAAAACTAAACAGATGTAGATTTTCATACTAAGAATCATCCCTGAAAATTTGAAATTGATCTACCAAACGGTTCACCTTAAAACGCGTAGACAAGACTTTACAGGCAAGATTTTTAGACGGAAAATCCAAAATGGCTGCATTGACATTTATCTATACTGCCAAAAAACTAATCAGATCTCGATTTTCATACTAAGAATCATCCCTGAAAATTTGAAATTGATCTACAGAATGGTTCACCTTGAAATGCATAGACAAGACTTTACAGACAAGATTTTAGGACGGAAAATCCAAAATGGCTGCCTTGACATTTACCCAGAATGCCAAAAAACTGATCAATTCTAGATTTTCATACTAAGAATCACCCCTGAAAATTTGAAATTGATCTAAAAAACGGTTCACCTGAAAACGTGTAGACAAGACTTTACAGACAAGATTTTAGGACAGAAAATCCAAAATGGCTGCCTTGGCATTTACCCAGAATGCCAAAAAACTAATCAGATCTAGATTTTTATACTAAGAATCATCCCTGAAAATTTGAAATTGATCCACCAAACGGTTCACCTGAAAACGCGCAGACAAGACTTCACAGACAAGATTTTAGGACGGAAAAATCCAAAATGGCCGACAATAAAAAAGTGATTATGAGTTTTTGCTAATTTCCTTTTACAAAATTATCACATATAACTACTGTTAACAATAACATAGGCTTTTACAAGAAAGTACATCTGAAATTATTTATAAAGCTACTAAATAGTTAAAGTATGAAAACTCAAAAACACCATTCAATATGATACAAAGTATTATCGCGCGCTAACTTTTCTTAAGACATTCAAAATGGCTGCCATGACTGAGCTAACAGGTTCAAAACCTAATCAGATCTAGAATGAAGTGAGCTGAACAAGATATTAAAGTTTTAAAAGCAACTGTGAAGCCGTTTTTCTTAAAGTTTGCAGACAAGGATTTTAGCATTTGACTTCAAAATGGCCGACAGGAAGTAGGTTTCGAGTTAATTTTTTTTCATCCACATCTGTATGCGCTCATAAGTTATCCCTGAAAATTTGAAGGTGATATCTGTAGCGGTTTTGGAGAAAACTCCCGGACGTACGGACGGACAGACGGACGGACGGACGGACAGACGGACAGACG